TTTTACGCACATTGTGGTTTAGCCTGCAGGGCTTTATAGCACTTTGTGAATACTTTTATATGCATTATGGATGAATTCGATTCACTCTGTGGATGGGTGGGAGCCTTTTATGCACATTGTGGTTCAGCCTGCAGGGCTTTATAGCACTTTGTGAGTAATTTTATGCACATTGTGGTACAGCCTGCAGGGCTATATAGCAGCTTATACATGGATATGATTTTATATGTGACTTAGTCAACTGCTTTCATGCACATTGTAATATAATCTGCAAAATGTTATAATTCTTTAAAAATGTCTTTTATTCACTTTGTGACTTTGTCAATTAGTTAAACACTCCCTCAGCTACCTATGCATACTGATTTCATGTCATTTATCAATTACCACTTGGGTAAGAGGGCCATTTCTGGCAGGAACGATTTCTGAGGTCTTGATGTTCTTCATAGTTACTATTACCAGTTTACCATGGCATTCATCAGATTGATTGAAAGGAATAGAATGTTGCCCACAGTGAAACATCAGTTCATTTGACAGATATTGAAAATGATGTGATTGTTGAAGATGTGGCTGTATGTATTTTAGCATTTGAGAAGCGATCATGTGTAACAGATTATGTTTTTATTATCAGAGGTATTCAGGATAGTTTAGTGTAGATTGTAACAGAGCTAAATCTACCATGTGCTTTGTTGAAAAGAGTAGGGTGTGCCATTTTCAGAGTGTCTTCTAAAGTTGAGATATTCCCTGTAACAATTCCATCATTATACCATGTTTGATTATTGATGTCAACAATCCTGGCAGTGAAATGAAACCCACCAAAATAAATAATACCACACAAGCGAAATTTTGTACCTTGTTGTCCAATGTACACAGCAGGATCTAGTTGAATCTGCTTCTGATTTGTTATGAATGCTAAGAAGTTAGGGATGTTAGCAAGTACATATTTTCTGACCAGCCTTCCATGACAAGTTTGGCACATTAACTGAGCTTTTTAGAAAGAAGAGCTTGCAGCCATTCTGATAGTTTTCTGTTTTTTGAAGAACCCAACTTGACAAAGGACTCTCTCCAGATTGATAAACTGCAGTCCCATAAATCAATAGAAGTGTCTTCTGCATTGATGACTGCATTGCAGTGGTGACAATGAAGTTGGATGATAATATTGGAAGATGAAGACTGAAGCATGGCAGAACACAAGCTGTAGATGTCTGTGCCATCTTTTCCAGTGGTGGAAAATGCTGCAGGGTCTGCAATGTGTAATTTTGCATGGATAACATCTCTTGCATCTTCCATGGAACATTGACCTATCTGTACCTTGGTAAAGATGTTAGTGAACTTGCGGAGAAAGTCATTCTGGTTGCTGACCAATTCATCCCATTAATCTGGACAATCTTTGAAGACCTTGAGAAGTATGAAGAAAAGGCTATCATAGGCATAACTGTAGTTGTTCTCATCCCATATGAAACCAACAGGGCTTAAGTACAAGGAGAGGGGTGAAGTGGACCTTTTCTTTTTGTCAGTGGAGTGTTTTCGATCACTGACACGCTTGCATTTTGCCTGTTTTTTTCCACCGTGGTCATTGCTGACTGTGGGCAAAGCCTTTGTTTCCTTTGCAGGCACATATCTGTAAACAGGTTTGCTTTCCATCAGTTTGTTCTGTGCCACTGAGGCCTTTTGTGCATCATCAATGCATTTGGAAGGCTTGCCCAGCATTTGCCAGGGACTGTCAGGCTCTGGGTCATCCAGTGGATATGGATCTTCGTTAGACCACTTTAGTGCCTTGTGCATGGTTCTCGGCATGTACATGGTCCCTTTTCATGCTCTGTAGGAAACAATGAAAGCATTTCTGATTACACCTTTGACAATGTCTGGCAACTTTTTGTTGTATCGAAGGTTTGTGATTTCATCTAAAAGTTCAAGGTCTCTAAATTCTTGTCTAAGTGAACCAAAGATGCCCCCCCATCGACTTACGCTCGTTGAAGCCTTGGACAATTATGGTTCCTTGATATATAGAGCCTCTAGAGAGACACATGTATATGGACTGATGAGACTTGCAATTTTGGAGATCACATACATTGTCAGGCCTTGTGTGACCTTGGGAGGTGAAGTCCATCATAGCAAAATTGGGTATAACTGCAACTTGGTCTCTTACAATGGAGACCGTTCAATCATTGGGCATCATGCATGTGATTTTCATCAGCTGGTGACTAATAGAGACTACATTTTCAGGTAGTCCTTCCAACTTGATGGGTGTAGGAGAAGAGGTTAGTTTCACAAAGAGGGTGTCTAGGGCCAGTTTAATATCCTCCAAAGATCTCGCCTTCCACCCAGCCACTACACCTTTTGCACCATTGGTCACACAACACTCGGTATCCTCATTGGTCTTAATCATGACTGGCATGCCTATGCATAGGGTTCATTTTCTGGGATGGTTATCTGTACAATCGTGAGGCAGATTCCATAAGACCCTCTGAGTTTCAGGGTCTATGACATTGATTGACCTTTGTGGATTTATGCTAGCATGTTTTGCCTTTCTTCTCTTTTCCTCTGCATCTGATCTTCACTTGTCTTCAGAGTAAAATGTAATGAGTTGTTGTCCTATCTCTCTGGCAAAGTGTGTACAGCTGAGGTCATTGATTTTGTCTCAATATGCATTCCAGGGGGTGATGACGGAAACATTTCTGAATCTGGGCTGATTTAACTTTGGCCTATCTGCAGCATGACCTGCTATATGTCCCTTCAAATGTTGTATGTCTGCCTGGGTGCAGGACTTGTATCGTAAGTTTTCCAAAGCCTTTCTCATTTTTGCATCATCAGGAGTTTGCTGCTTTTGTCTCATATTCTCTCTCAAGATTACCATAGTCATGAACTGGTGCCAAAGTGCTTTGCCTATAGATGATTCTTGTTCATAGTGGCTGCTGGTGGTATGCAGCACTGATCTGACTTTATGGGAGAACAATGAATGTCCTGATCCTGCTGGAGGAAGCTGTGCAATGTCTCCTGAAAAAATCATGTTTATTCCTCTAAATGGCTTTCCTTCATTTTTGACAGCTGAGCACATCCTTGAGCATATTTTGTATAAGCTGTGGCAGTCCACCATTGACACCTCATCCAAAAAAATGTACTCAACACATTGAAGACATGCTCTTACTTGAAGGAGGCTGGCTGCAGATTCCGAAGTGTACTTGCTCATTTCTAGGATAGAGTGATATGTTGAGCCAGCAATCAAGGCAGCAGCTGATCCAGTTGGGGCAATGCAGAGAAATCTGTAACCCTCTTTACGTTCATTGAAAAAATGGATCAATGCCTTTATGATCTGAGATTTTTCCATTCCTGCCATACCACTGAGGTACATCTTTAGCTGTTCTCCACTGAGGTCTGTGGCATGATTGGCAACAATTCTGAACCCACGTTCCTGCTCTTTGTTTAGTTTGAAGAGTGCGCTAGTATCATCAATGAGCCTTTGATCTTTTTCCTCCTTTGCTTTGAACCTCTTCTCGAGATAAGACATGTCAATCACTTCACCACATCTACATATTTATTCACCACAGCTCCTGTTGCCTTGTCAACAACATTTTTTGCAACCACTTGATCTGTGCGAGACTGTATAATTTCCTTCTTTCTTTCCACGAGAAGCGATCACCACTCTGAAGCAGTATGATCCTTTCCGTCACAAAATTCAGTAGATGAAAAATGACCTTGAGTGGCATCACATCCTTTGGGAAGGTTGTCCATCCATCCAGAAGTATGCATGATGTTTTCCGCATGCATCATGTGCGTTAACTGCAATTGAGCCTTGGTTCCCAAGTTATCCCACTCTGAAATATTGCCAAGAACATCATAGTGTGTGGTAACCTCATCAGCAGCACTTTGTCTTCCATAATCATCATCGAGTGCATCAATATGATCATTGTTCATGCCAAACAGCATACCACCAACATTTGCTTCTGCTTTCCTCAGCTTTGCAAAGTTATCTCTGTCATTGTTACACTCATATCTAATGTGCATGTAGTCCATGATCTGTCTCTGTCTGTCAGTAAATTGATGTTGCTCAAAAACATCATTCCATGACATCATCTGATCACATTTGAGGTCGTGTCCTGACCTCCACGGCTTGAATAGAGTTAACATGGTCATGGAGTATTCCTCTCGATTGTCGCTGTCCCTACGAGGCAAGGCACCATCAACAAAATTGGAAATCATGCTCTCGTCCTCTGGCAAAAACCTTACTTGCTTGGATTGATATTGAGGGTGGGCTGGCAAAAAGTGTGCAGGTTGAAGTTTACGGTCTGCGATATCTGCTTTCTCATTTGCGTGAAATGTCTTCACATTTTTCGAGGTGAGCAATAGTTCGTCATCACTGTCAGATGAATCTGTACAACATTTTTCTTCATCAGAGAAACTAGCATTGGAAGAGCTTTCTTCATTCTCTTCTTTTGCTGAAATGAGCTCCCCTTCACTTTCTTCATTCTTTCTTGTCTGAACGGAAGTTCTGTGGGAAGATGATCAAAGCAGAAGCTCATCCTCTTCATCTTCCAGCTGTAGAGATCATTGCTCACCATCAATGAAAGGTTGGATAATCTTTGACCACAACTGAGGAGCAGAAACATCTTTGATGAACTTATGTGACTCTTTCATTACTCAGCAGATCCAATCATACAGGCAAGTTCCATCGAAGATCGGAGGTCTATATATGTAATCGTCTACTGCAGAGAGCACTACAAACTTGCCTTAAGTTTGACTCAATATCACTTTCTCCGGAGGCTCAGGATTGGTAAATATCTTTGTTTCATTGGTTGGCTTATTATCATCTCAAGCGGTACATACTTGCTTTACGAAACTTTTCCACATGCACACATTAAAAGTATAGTTAGTGTAATGATCTTCATGCTTCAGAAGATACAAGCAGGCCATTGGTCCTCTGATCTCCATGCCGGCCGTCAATGCATTAACAATTTTTGTCAGCAACATCTGACCTTTTTGTATTCTGTCTGTGTCCCCTGCAATTAGGGTTTCACTTCTATCAAATACTTTGCAGACAGTTTCAAACATTATGTGGGTTTTCAGAGGCATCTTGATAATATAGTCAGTTACATAAGCAATGACTGATTTGATCACGGTCCCTGCACTTCAGGCACCCCCATGTCAAAGGCTCTTAGCCATATCTCTGTCTCCTTAAAGATATGGCTAAGAGCCTTTGTAGTGATGGTCTGGCCATGGTTTTATACAATTTGTGGGTCCTATGATGGTCCTTTGGTACTTCTTGCAGAGGTGGTACCTTCTGGGCAGTACTATAGGGACATTTGTAGGCTGTAACAGACCTGGGCTCAAGGATTTTCCCATCATCATGACTGCTGTCACATGGTGTTTGGGGGTCATATGGAACATTTTGAGAGCAGAAAATCCTGGATTTTCAGGATACTTATACTTTAGTGCAACACTTTGCAGGCTATATTTCTGCTGTTTCATCATTTAGAAATTCATTTTTTGATATCACTGACCTTTGATTGTGGGTTGATATACACCATTCCAGCTGAAATAAATCATAGCAGAATTACACTCAAAACAGTCCTCAGGCTAATTTTGATAGATGAATTCTCAATTTCATTAAATTTACTTTGTATCTGAGATTACTGCAGCATGAATATCAGACATGATTATGATCACATGGTCATACTAGTTTGGTTTCATAAGTCATCCTGGTCCTCCCAGACCAATGTCTGCAATATCCCGTGGTCCCTCATTCTGATTACATGGTCATACCAGTGTAATTTTATAAATCATTTTGCTCCTTGCAGAACGATGACTGCTATAGTATCAAAAATTCTGCCTGAAATCAAACATGATCCATTTGTTGTTCAGTCATTTATCAACAATGCATCATAAGTATACAAGCAGATTGTATGGTCCAAGCTGGCAGAACCATAAGGTGCACAACATGCATCTGTGCAACTCATTCTAAATACTTTCATGGGATCTTCAGCCTTAACTTCATGCTTGGACTTACCCTCCTGATGAGACTCCCCAATGCCATGAATCACCAAATCCATATCACAACTATCTTATTTTCTGTTTGAATGAACATCCCGCAACAATGCCATGCTTAATTAGTTTGTTTGATTCCACATATGGGCTTAGTGAGCAACTTAACAAATAATTAACAATTTCAAACATTTTCAAAAACGGTCATTTTCAGAAAACTCGTAATTTATCCAGACTGATCAAGACACATTGCATTGAATGATGCACCAAGAAATGTATATACAACATGAGAGATCACATATCTCAGCCCCTACAGTAGTCATGCGTGATATTTCACTTATTCCCTGTGTGCCTGCATTCCTCAAAGTTAGATGAAAGATAATCTTCATGCTCCGGGTCAAAAAGGTAGTTGTTGTAGCGAGGATAGCTAATGTTGTCATGTGCACAGCTTGAATCTGCAATGGCATTGCCTTGCTGCATGTAGATCAGATGCACAACAGACGCACCATAAGCATTTGTGAACATGTTGGCCCTGGATGAGTACCCATAGGGAGGGACGAAACCTTGCATCCCCATCGGCTGCCTGTAGCGAGGGTGAGGTTGCAGCTGAGTATTGAGCATGTGGATGTCCCCATGTCATAGTGGATAATCTTGGCCTTCACGGCCTCACTTGGTGTGAGGCATGCACCTGTGTTCACCGTGAGACTTGCTGGATGAAATGTGGCTTGTCTTGCCTCTCCTTGTCATCACCACCTCATCGACCATTCTTCTTCTTCTTCTTTGAAGAAGGAGGATGTGAGGCTCTGACAGCCTCATCTGCTTCATCTGATGTGAAGGCAGCATGATGGCAGGATGGCATTGGTGCACGTCATTCATTATGGGCATTGACAGTGACAGTATGAGCTGCTGCTGTGTGGCAGCGAGGCTTCGACGCACGAGGTTTGACATCAATATGCATATTGGCCATATGAGGCACGGCAGTGGGCACATCACAGCAATGCAGCAATGGTGACGGCGACTCGTCATCGCTCTTGATGGTGATGATGCGAGTCAGGTGAGTAGTTGGAATGTGCAGACGGGGTGACGATGAGGACAGGTGCTCATTCTCACTTTTGACAGTGATCACATCAGAACTGGGTACACGGTGGTCGGTCATATGCAGTAAATGTTATTCAGCATCGTCGTTGATGTTCAGCAAGTGATTATGGGCCCTTTTCTTCTTCGCGCCCTTCGACTGGTCTTTCTGTAGCTTCCTCAGCCATTCAGTCGAGTCACACAGAGTCTTGTGCTTAGTGCCTGTTGGACTGATGACTAGGGGAATGTCATCTTTGCCAAGGTTGTCATCAGACATTTCGAGGTCACCTGGCAACTGGTCAGCGAGAAACAAGTGTTACAAGCAAATAACGTACTTTTACTCCACCTCTTGACGTGAGGGATTGGTAGCGAGGTTGCTCCGCTCTTCTCTCTCTGCAGAAAGCCCTTCACAAGCTTTCTGAGCTCTTCAGTGTTGAGAGATTTGAATTCAAACTTTGAATCTCCAGGCACAGGTTGCACATCATCATGTCAGTCCACCATAGTGAGATTGTGCTTGTACGTGAAATTCAGCCAGTTCTTCCATGGAACGTGCTGCAGGTTCTTCATGTCAGAATATAGACCTGTTACCATAATGTGAGACACAGAAGGCTGGACATGTAATTAGTACTCACTGAGGGACCCTTGCATGATTGACATCAAAATATGGCGATGACGGTCACGAGGTGACTCTTTTGCGGTGCTCTCCACATTGATACCGGGACCACCTACGAACAAAATGTTGGTGCAACCTTGGCCTAGTTTGACATTTCTAAGAGAGCATTGTCAGTATTATAGGTGGAGCACTCGAGAACACTGACTTGACCGCAGTTGTAAGGTCATCTAAGAGCTTCACCACATTGATCTTGTTCTTCTCAATCAAGCTCATGACATATTGTGAGCCACCAAAGAGGGTGAAAAGCTGTCGAGCCACAGTGTCAGTACCAGTGTGTATGATGACCCCAATAATCTCCATATTCTCGAGGTTGTGGTAGGTTCCAGCTAGGTTCGTGAACTGCTTATGCACACAGATCATCCTGGCTGTTGTAGACTTCACAGAGTGGATGGCATGAGTGAAGTCCTTTTTCAAATTGTTGCAGTAGTCGAATATCAGCTTGAAGGTGCATTCGCGAGCATTGTCATCACCCTTGATGCTCTCACAAAGTTTACGATAGGCTTTGTCCATCATGTTGCTGTATTCAGCAGGAGTGACTAGACATAATGAACCTGGCCAGTCATACACTAAGAGAAGTTGAGCAATGAATGTCGTACTTATCGTTGCCAGCCTGAGCAAATGGATGGTGGTCTGAGTACCACGTATGGAACATGTTGAAGTGATTCGGTATGCGAGATGCCTTGATGCCGAGATTTGCATGGATCAACACATCATGTGTGCCCTTGCCAAATTGGCAGGTGATGTCTTCAGCTTCAGTCATAACACAGTGACCCAGATCTTCTGCTAGCTCTTTGGTGGCCTTGGAGAATGGCCCCAGTGTCTTTGCCCACTTCTCTGTCTTTTCTGGCCCATCACCAATGCCATCACTGTCATCATCATCATCACCATCAGCATCAGAGATGGCACTCCCTAGCCCCTCGTCATCCTCACTGAAGATGGCATCATCATCCGCATTGGCGTAGTCACTCAAATCTGCATGAGATTTGCCTTTCTCTTGATATGTATCAGCAGGATGTGAATCTGGGCCTTCTTCACTTTCACAGCTAGCCTGCAGCTGATGGTGGTAACTTGTCATTACTCAATGTTCATGAATGACCTCATCTTCAAGCTCTGCATCAATCTCGCAATCTTCTTCATCAGTATCCAGAGCTTCGTCCAGATTCTTGTGCATCAGCTGAGCTCGCTTCTTCAATGCCACCCTGCAAGTCTTGCTGAAGTTGCTGCCTGAGGTGTCAGAGAGCACAGGGTCTTCGCTGGGTCAGCGAGCTGCATGTCATCAAAATGTGTAAGAGGAACTCATCTATTTTGTTGTCTGCACCATCATCACTAGCGAACGACTCCCATGTGACTCCTTTGTGTCTCGATGCGATAAGTCTCTGATTACGTTTTGCTGCATTCTAGTGCATTAGGGTTCTGTCAGTAAGTATGTGATTATGCCAGCTTGTATGACTCACCATATTCTTAACGTGACGTACTTGGTCACCATCCATTCCAAGCTCATGGTCGCCCTCCCTCTCAGCCTCATCCCATGACTCGTGCTTAAGAAGGTTCTCTGCATCATCCTTGCCATCGTCATTGCCACCATTCTTGCTGCTGGCATTTTCGGTGTTGTGCTTGCCATTGTCCTCATCACCATCCTCGATGTTGTGCTTGTCATCGTCCTCATCGCTATCCTTGATATCGTCCTTGCTGTTGTCCTTGCCATCATTCTTGCTGTTGTCCTTGCCATCATCATCCTTGCCACTATCACCCTCATCATTGTCATGCACCTCATCCTCACAGTCACCCTCATCCTCATCCTCATCATCATCCTCTTCATTTGCTTCCTCAGCTGCACCCTCACGTTCATTCCTACACATGTGTGGTTGCCTTATTTTGCCAATGTCGCTGGGCCCATGATGAGTTGATGCCGATGGAGCAGGAGCAGCCTATGTGAAGGTATAAGATGAGTTCATTTTTGGATCTTCAGAGGATCAGAGATCACCACTCACCTCAGCATGGATTCTGGGAGATCTGTCATGCCGTCCCTTCATGGTTTTACTGGTGGTCTTTTGGGCAGTCTTGCCCTTTAGTCATGGTTTTTGCAATAGGCTTGCCTTGCTTTGCCTAAGTAAAAGATTTAGATAATACGCAAATGATCTCTGTCGGCAAGTAACTTACAGCTGGGTGTCCTTTATCTGAGTGGGCCATACCATCATTTTGACCGTCCAAGTCACTGTCGGGTATGTGACGACCACTGCACATCATTTTACGGGTGCTGGGTGGATCGATCACAGCTTCTGGAGGTTCTGCTTTGCACCCAGAATGAAGGTGACACGGCTCAGGCTAGGGAGGTTGTGCTCTTGCATGAGGCATGACAGTGGGAGGGAGTCAAGATGAGAGTTGCTGACAGAGGGCGATGGTTCAACCTGTGAATGCGAACATGTCTGTCAGCTTGATATCAACCAGCACAGGGAGCGTGAAGCGTACCGAGTTCTGGTCAGTTCATGCTGTAGCCTGACTGGGAAATTGCACTTCAGAATGAGCCATAAAAAGTGATGTTCATGCCCAAATCTGAGCATATAAAGCAATCGGAGGCACAACTTACACAGGAGACAGCACCACAATGTGCTACTTTGTGAGAAGATCTCCAAATTATGATTGTGCCGGTATGCCTGACTGAGAGCGAATCTAGTATGTTCACAGAGGTGGGACATCCCAGCATCGAGAATGAAGAGGGTTTGAGTGGAAGAACAAGCCATGTAACATTGCTGCAGCTGCAGGTCTGAAGTCGGGCGAAGTATTCCAGAAGTATTAGACGATGACAACGTGGCTGCAGAGGATTACTCCAACAATCTAGCGACTCAAGGTCATTCCAATCACTGGGTGAAACAATCAATAATTTGAGGTAAAAGATGGTAAAGATATTGAAGAAAAAGTTCAAATCTTTTTAGCATCTTCACTGTCAATTTCTGATAAAAGTATTTATAATATTTTTAACATTTTTTGTTGTGAAAGATGATGAAAAGATTGAAAGAAGATTGCATGAAATATTAATAATGATTTCTTCAACCATTTTACAATCTTTCATACAAAACTATAATGAAAAGTTTCAAAATCTTTTTTCACTCTTTTTTAATCAAAGATGATGAAAATATTGTGACTATGTCATGCCCTTGTTTAAATATACTAAGCTAGTGCTAAGATATGGAGGTTAATACTCAGGTTTATATACTGGCCGTATACTAGTACTATAGTTAGAAGAGTAACACTAAGATTTAAATGCTAGTACTATGCTAGTATTAAGGTCTGAAGATTAGTACTAAGGTCTGCATGTTAGTACTAAGGTTTGAAGGTTAGTACTATACTAGCATTCAGCTAGTACTAAGGTCTGAAGGTTAGAACTATGTTAGTACCAAGCTAGTACTAAGGTCTGAAGGTTAGTACTATGCTAGTACTAAGCTAGTATTAAGGTCTGGAGGTTAGTATTAAGGTGTGATGCTAGTACTAGCATAGTAGTATCATAGTATTGATCTCTAGATGTTAGCACTAGCTTAGTACTAGCATAGTACTAGCCTTCAGACCTTAGTACTAGCTTAGTACTAGCATAGTACTAGCCTTCAGACCTTAGTACTAGCTTAGTACTAGCATTGTACTAGCATTCAAACTTCAGTACTAGCTAAATGCTAGTATAGTACTAACCTTCAAACCTTAGTACTAACATGCAGACCTTAGTACTAACCTTCAGACCTTAATACTAGCTTAGTACTAGCATTTAAATTCTAGTATTACTCTTCTAACTATAGTACTAGGATACGACCAATATATAAACCTAAGTATTTACCTCCATATCTTAGCACTAGCTTAGTATATGAAAAAAAGGGCATGACATAGTCACAATATTTTCATCATCTTTGATTACAAAAGAGTGAAAAAAGATTTTGAAACTTTTCATTATAGTTTTGTATGAAAGATTGTAAAATGATTGAAGAAATCATTATTAATATTTCATGCAATCTTCTTTCAATCTTTTCATCATCTTTCACAACAAAAGATGTTAAAAATATTATAAATACTTTTATCAGAAATTGATAGTGAAGATGCTAAAAAGATTTGAACTTTTTCTTCAATATCTTTACCATCTTTCACCTCAAATTATTGATTGTTTCACCCAGTGAATGGCCATAGCACAGACTGAGTACTTGAGCTGCCATTGCCCTCCACACTCTGAACACATGCATGAATGCACGTACCCCAGTTCGCAACATAAGGTCAGTAGTATGCATGCCAATCAAAACAAAGATGACTTACTGAGCACGAACTGCCTTTAGCTTGAGCCAGCGGTCGAGCATTGTTATGAAATGTTGTCATTGTTCTTGTCTGGCACAGACGCATGTGGACGGATCAGATGAGTTCCGTTACATGTGATCTTTTATGACTGCTCACAGCTTTCTGCCCTCCCACCCACCCCCAACATGTTCAATTCTCGCCGACAACATAGTACTCCATGACTCGTTCAAGGTCTCTGTGCTTATATTTCTGGCATGGTATGTCATGCCATCCATCATAAGGTATATATTGCAGCAAATGCATCAATAACTCAATTGTGATTTTGTTAATAGGGATTTGGTCGGTGCACTGTATTCTCGACTCCTGCACCTTTGACATGCAGCATTCCATCAAGGTATGCATTTTTCAGATCTCTGCTTTTGTCTATTGTGATTCTCATGACCAGTATTGTCCTGCATTGTCACCATCTACTTATGCATGCAAGACAAGCATACAAGAATGCAAGGGAAGCCCGTCGATCAATTGCTCACATAGCACCCACATGAAATGGATTTACGCTGCATGAGGTTAGATGATTCAGGAAGATTTGGTTGTGGGACTCGAGTGTGTGGTGTCTAGCGATGTGCTTTGATTGATCGTGAATCTAGTATGTTCATCTTCAACTGAACGGGGTTTTCTTTTGAATTAAACAGCCGTGCATGCTTCATTGCAATGAACGTGTCAAGAAGCGAATCATTGCACTACCGCGGGATGTATCGTTGGCACTAGTGTTGAGGGAAGTGAGTAAGGTGGTGAACTTGTTCAGAAGGGCATGGTCTGCTGGGGCAGCGCAGTAGTGGCACTGGCCATGAAATGTTTCCTGTAGGCTGGGTACATACGCTCATGCTCGAATTCATTTCCTTTGTGATCATTGACCGGTTCTCCAGGGAAGTCACTCTTTGAAATGTCTTTCCAACATGCAAAGGCTCACTGAAAAGATCCCTTTCTACCTTCAAGCCCAGTGACTACTCGCTCATCATCTACGCATGCAAGTCAACATGTCAGCAGAACTACGGCCATGCACTATATAAAACATCAGGACGCTCCTAAGAGGCGATGACCCCATGGAGCACACAACATACAACTTCAAGGACTCGAGACCATCATCAGTCTTCCAGGTGGCATTCAATATGCTCAAATAAACACCACGCACGGCCGTCTTTTTGACCGTCATGGCTGAACATTTGCATAGCCTTATTCAAGCCCTCTATCTGCAGAAGGGCCATTCACTGGCCTTGCCGATTCACCAGAACGGGACTCAATTCTCTACAGCATGCACATCACATTCGATCAAGAGCTGGCTGAACTTTGATGAGCTCACAAATGAGGAAAGAAGGAGTGGCAGTGGGAGAGATGGATGACTGAGACGATTCCTTCACTGTTACATCCTCATCTTGGCCTTCTTCACCTGTCTGCTTCTCTACGTGACATCCCCCATTCCACAGAGAAGGACTGCACCTGTGAAGGCATCAAGATGCACATGCTGGAAGTGATATGCATTTACTTCGAATGTAAGTCACCGTCACTCTCAACTTATGGTGCCATGTCTGACAGATATCAAGGTCTTAAAAAAATCACACTGATTCAGCCATGCAAATTCTGGCACACAGATTGTTTCCATGTGTGCCGCAAGCTCCCAGCATTGCTATTGACTTGAACCTCTTGCAGTTTGTTAAGGACCTTTTCATGAGACTTTCATCGAATGTCTCATCATTCTGCTCTACGCTCAATTTTTTCCTTGGTGAGCGTGACTACAAATTCTCGACTCAGGTAAGTGTGCAAATTCTCTTACATAGTCATCAGGTGCTGACTCATCACTGCTTAGAGAATGCATTGCGAAGGCATTTCGGCAACGCGTTGCTCTGGTACTTCAATCTCGTCAACTCCACGAATCAATTCATACAAGATCACATCAAAGACACTTGAATCCCATGTACCTCTGATCCTTCACAAGACAAACTGGCTGCACAGAGGTCCAACAGCAACCGAAGTGAAGGACAATGTACGTTCTTTTGATCTCACTCACTTTCCGGTCTCAGACTGACCTTTTCAACCTATAGCGAGCGCCTCCCCTATTCACAGTGAAGGTGTATCATGAGATGCCAACACTGGCAATGACAAAGCTGACAGCAGCGATATAAATGTGCATTCACCTCAAGATGCCCAGAGTCATCCACAACATTCACGACAAAGACCCAGTGAGTATCTGAGGGCAAGATGTCCTCTCTGCTTCAGAGGAGTGTTCTTGGATGGAGCTGCTGACATGTAAGTATTTTATTATTGTCTATCAATCGGTGCACACTGATAGATGTGAAACAGGCTGAACATTCTTGTTTGCATCAATGCATGCTTCACTCAGAAGTGCAGGAAAGGCAAGGGAGAAACTCGAGACCAACTGCGACAACATCTGGGGAGCATTTTTGTGTCAGAGGGTGAGATGAAGACCATGGAGGACTACATCGAGAGCGTTTGACCGCCCTGCAAGAGTGGTACTCGAGCTATGCCAGCCATGCAGCCTCAAGGTCAAGACAGCTATGAGGGGGATTTGAAGATACCCACCTCAGTTCTGGATAGATGCAAAGAGTTCTTCCTCACTGCAGATGAGAAATGCCAAAAAGCCAGCACACAGTTCTTCATGGACACCAGTCTCATGGCACTGTTGTGTCACCATGACCATGTGCTCTGGCTAGTTAATATGATGTCAGCTGGTGAGCGGCAACACTACACACTCACACTAATCCATCACCTCTTTCAACATCTCCCCTCCTCAGCAACAGTTGGACTCCTCTATGACATCGCATGTCAGCTGCATTGCAGCTGTATCAACTGGGGTTTTCTTGGTGATGTCATTGATCGCAGGACCTTTGCGATATCAATATTCCACACATACGGCCATCAATGGTCATGTCAAGTGATCTACCACCCTCGCAAATGCATCGGGTTTGGATTAACAGATGGATAGGGATGTGAGCACTTTTGGAGTGCAATCAAAATGCTCATACCAACGCTTTGGGTTTCAGGTGTAAGTTTCAACTTTCATTGAGGCAAATATGTTCTGACACGCCTTTGGCAGTATCACCAGCATTTATTTGTCATTGATACACAGGTCAAGCATCTCGACGATCAATCACTTCATTCTCTCAGACACTGGGTAGCAAGAAAGTGGGCTCAATGCCAAGCCAAGAAGACTACTGCAGAGGCTGAGCTGAGATGTTGCGGAGTGGAGGTAGCCATGCTGCAACAGCAATGGGCTGCCCAAGTAAGGGGTCAAATGAAGCCTGTTCCACATAAGTGATGCCACCCGCTGATTTACTTCATGTGATGAGGTACTGATGATCTATTCAGGGCGGTCAAACAACAGAGCAAACCAGGCAATCGAGACAATTCTCGCATTGCAGAAGATCCTGCAGACATACCAGATGACAGTCCATGACCTCGAACGCAAGCTCATGGGAGATGGGAGCTTTTTTGATAGCAGTGAACTCATCATTCAGCTTGAGGATGTGCAAATGAAGTGTACCACGATCGCTCAAGCAATCGTGTGGAAGAAGGCGGCACTTGGCATTGCCGATCAAGCAAGGCTATCCAGCCTTGTCAACAACAAATTTCTTCAGCTCTAGATGAATGCGTGTGCTCTTAAACAGCACATACGTGATCGCTTATGACAGCGAAAATTTGAACTCGAACGTTTGGAGAGATCATATCACCAAACAGTTAACAGTAAGTTTGCAAAGGTTTCTTACTCTTGCAACATCTAATGCAAGTACAGATAAAAAAACTCACGAGTCACGCTGAGTCCACAGTGAAATAACATGAATTGAATATCAACAAGCTCACGAAGACATACAATGGTCTCTGCAAGCAAATGTACAACCTCGTGAAGAAGCGTGTCATGCCATGCTTTGCCATTGCACCCATGCCAATCGAGGCTAACACGCTCTTCAAGCTAGATGTTGACGATGACATCTGGCAAGATATCAGCCTTGAAGACGACTATCAGGAGGGTCCGGTGCCACTGTGGCTAGGTGATGAGGCAGTACAAGCAGGCATCAAGAGCTTGCTTCTGCTTGATCAATGCAGAGAAGAGGATAGGAGATTGAGAGATGAGCAGTGTGCTATGCAGGAGTGGATGAAGGAAGAGTGGGCATGTCTGGGTGCGGCAGAGCATAAAGCACACTGGGTGAAGCAATCAATAATTTAGGGTGAAAGAGGATAAAAATATTAAAGAAAAAGTTCAAATCTTTTAAGCATCTTTACTGTCAATTTGTGATAAAAGTATTTAAAATATTTTTAACATTTTTTGTTGTGAAAGATGATGAAAAGATCGCAAGGAGATTGCATGAAATATTAATAATTATTTCTTCGATCATTTTACAATCTTTCATACAAAACTATGATGAAAAGTTTCAAAATCTTTTTTCACTTTTTTTGATCAAAGATGATGAAAATATTGTGACTGTGTCACACCCTTGTTTTCTAAGCTAGTACTAAGATGTGGAGGTTAATACTCAGGTTTATGTGTTAACATTATACTAGTGCTATAGTCAGAAGAGTAAGACTAAGATTTTAATATTAGCAGTATGCTAATACTAAATTTTAAATGCTAGTACTATGCTAGTATTAAGATCTGAAGGTTAGTACTATGCTAGTACTAAGCTCGTACTAAGGTTTGAAGGTTAGTAACTATGCTAGCATTCAGCTAGTACTAAAGTCTGGATGCTAGTACTACGCTAGTACCAAGCTAGTACTAAGATCTGAATGCTAGTACTATGCTAATACTAAAGTCTGGAGGCTAGTAGTATGCTAGTACTAAGCTAGTGCTAACATTTAGAGATCAATACTATGCTAGTACTATGCTAGTACTAGCATTTAGACCTTAGTACTGACCTCCAGACCTTAGTACTAGCCTTCACCTTAGTACTAGCATAGTACTAGCATAGTACTAACCTTCAAACCTTAGTACTAATCTGCAGACCTTAGTACTAGCTTAGTTCTAATCTTCAGACCTTAATACTAGCATAGTACTAGCATTTAAATCTTAGTATTAGCATACTGCTAACATTGAAATCTTAGTATTACTCTTATGACTATAGTACTAGTGCAGTGCTAATATATAAATCTGAGTATTTACCTCCAGATCTTAGTATTAGCTGTGACATAGTCACAATATTTTTATCATCTTTGATCAAAAAAAAGCGAAAACCAATTTTGAAACTTTTCATCATAGTTTTGTATGAAAGATTGTAAAATGATCAAAGAAATAATTATTAATATTTTATGCAATCTCCTTTCAATCTTTTCATCATCTTTTTCAACAAAAGATGTTAAAAATATTTTAAATCCTTTTATCAAAAATTGACAGTGAAGATGCTTAAAAGATTTGAACTTTTTCCTCAATATTTTTATCATCTTTCATCTCAAATTATTGATTGTTTCACCCAGTGGCAGGTGAGTGATAATTTATCATTATTTCTTGCCTTGCATAACCAATTTTTGTCCACAGCACATGATCTAGATCTTCAGTATTAACTGCAGGCCCGTCGATGCCACCTCTGCAGGCTATGTGTCACATGGCAATCTCGGGTCTGCTCCATTCTCTGCAGCCATCCAATGTTGAAGTCATGGGGTCCATCTCAAGATGAGTTGCGTGATGCTGCAGTATATAGTGTCACAGGCTTGTGGGAGGAGGAAACAGCAACAGGTGGTCAAAAGAATGCCACAGGTGAGCAGAATGTCAGTGAGGATGAAGATGATGAGGATTGCAATTTCACTGAAATTGAAGGTGATGAGAAAGAAGGGGAACTCCTTGATGTAGTTGAGGCTGTTGCCCTCGCTGATGCCTATCATGTGTCAGTTGAGGTTGACAGTGACTCTGACATTGGTGAGGAGGTTCTATCATTGACCTCTCCAGTACGAAGGACATCTTCAAGTCCTCGCAAACGTCATCTTAAATAGCTTTTTCATATATAATATCAATATTACATTTAATTAGCTTATTCATTGTTTTCTTGCATTTGATATGATCATTTTCAAAAATGTCTAACAATAGGACCCAATAGTTCTATTGAAGGGATCATAAATTATGCTAGACATCAGTTTGGGAAGACCTTGTAATCATGATGAGGAACCATGGTTCATAGCAGAGTCTATCAGAAGGACCAAAAGAATGTAGACAAGAATAACAGAAAGGTCATATAGTTATGATGAAGGACCATGGGCTGTAGCAGAGTCAATCAGGGAGAATCAAATGGATTCAGGAAAGAAAAATGAGAAGGCCATATAATCATGGTTGAGGATCATGGGCTGTAGCAGAGTCAATCAGGGAGGACCAAGCAGATTCAGGAAAGAACAATGGAAAGGCTATATAATCATGGTTGAGGATCATGGGCTGTAGCAAAGTCAATCAGGAAGTATTCACTCCACTGTTATCTATCTCTGGCAAAATGATGCATATAAATTCATAATTGAAGGTCAGTGTAACTAACAAATGAGCTTTTAAGTGATGCAACAGCATTATAATTTCTAAAGATAGCAGCAGAAATGTAGCCTGCGAAGTGTTGCACTGAAGCATAAGTATCCTGAAAATCCAGGATTTTCTGCCCTCAAAATGTCCCATATGACCCTCAGACACCATGTAACAGCAGTCATGATGATGGAAAAAACCCTTGAGACTAGGTCCATCACAGCCTACAAATGTCTCTATAGTACTGCCCAGAAGGTACCACCTCTGCAAGAAGTATCAAAGGACCATCATAGGACCCACAAATTGTATAAGACCATGGCCAGACCATCACTACAAAGGCTCTTAGCCATATCTCTAAGGAGACAGAGATATGGCTAAGAGCCTCTGACATGGGGGTGCCTGAAGTGGTCCCTGACATGAGACTTGTGACATCCGTGTTGCATCGAAGAAGATACGTAACAACCGGAGTGAGAGTATTAATCCATGCCTTACCCTTTTTAATGTTGAGGGCCCCTGTTTCGGGATCAACCGTGGTTTCAGTATAGGTAGTACGTGAAAAGCGAGCCTTGCAGATTCCATACTTGTTATCTTTGCATCCGTGGAGACATCAGTGATGATTAGACAGATAGATGAGCTCATCCACCTCAAGAGACTGTCCTTTCCACCACTTTTCCCAGGTTGCACACGTTTGACAGTCATTGCAGTTTTTTTCCATACAGCGCAGTGGCATAGGTCTGGGCAGAGTAACTGTAGGAGGTAGGTGTTCTTCTTGTGCATTCAAGTTATTGATGTGCTGATGGACGTGTTCCATTATTCCATTATGAAATTCTCCAACATATATGCTCTCAAGGTATTTCACTATCTCTCTTTGAAGATCTGAATTGTGATCGAGGATTCTATCTCGGATCTGCTGAGGACTTAGACAATTTTTTATCTATATCATCATATGCATGTGCAGCATTAGGCTTCCTTGCTGTTCAACTGTTCCATAGTATGCTGCGGTCTCTCTGTATATACCTCTTCAGTTCTGATTCACTCCTAGGACATGTTTTATGAACAGCTCTACTACAAATTTAAAAAATGAGCACCTGCAACAGGATTGAAGGCAGTAAGTCACCAGTGCTCATTATCTGTGCGGAACTCTGGTATGATCTTTTGTTTGGTGTCTGCAAAGTAAAGGGCAATGGGATGATTTATATCTGCAGGTGCAAAGGTGATGAACCAGGAAGGAGCACCGAGATACGATGTGAGTGCCCATATTTCATTATGCATACATTTGCAATTTGTCAAGGAGTCTTGGACTTTGGCTGTGATATGGTCCAGGTCATTTATGATTTTGAAACACTCCTTCTCTGCATCAGTCTCTGGCTTTACAGGGCTGTTTCCGAGTCAGATTATCAGACTTTCCAGAGCAGCCAAAGGTAAGTTGATGATTCTGTTCGCAATCTCATGAAAATTTTGTTTTTTGATCAACAGATATCCAGCTGTGGTCGCATTTTTAATTTGTTCATGATTAAATGCAACAAGAGGAAAATATGATTCGAGCTGAAAGTGCTTATCATGATACATGAGCAGTTGTTGCTTTCTTTTGGACTCGGACACCCATCTAGATCCACGGTCATTGTTCAGGCCTCCCAATGTATAAGAAAATAATCAGGAAAATATCTGAGGATAGAGTTGAGGGGTTGTGATATAAGCTTTGAGGATTTTGTTGCTGGCCCACACCCAGAACCTTGCTCTTTCTGAACTGATGAATAGCTTTTGTCCTTATTAATTGATAATCATTATCCAGGAGGTTGATGTACGCATCCCCGGTAAGACCATGAACTGTGAATGAACAGGGGGCCATTGACGGTACCTTCATCCATTTCGAGGTCATTGATGGCTGTAGCTTCTGGAGCCTTGTTCATATATTCATCATGGTAGTCTACAATGACCAAAGAAATGTTCTCAGGATAGCTATTGAGATTATCATAGGATATGTTCAAGCCCACATAATCTTCATGGTTCAGCTTCAGCCACTCCAACACTTCCGCAACCTTGTTATGTCTTACCAAAAATGGAGTTCTGGCAAATTCTTTATCTGTAGATTTGCAAGGGCTGATATATATGAATGCCAGTACTTCATCGAGTTCTTCCTAACTAGGAGGCAAGCTTCGGTAAACCTTCAGCATTGGCACAGAATGGCATATGGCATTGGCACGCATTTTCCACATACCTAATACCTTGACCTGGATTATGCAGTAGTTGTGCTTAACCCTCGATACAAGCATTTTCTCACATCATGTTAGGTCTTGCAGTTCAGGAGGGATTTCACCAATCCAAAGCCCATTAGCGAGAGAATCTGTGGGGAGCAAACCTCTTTCGAGATCTTGTAGACATTCCATACAAACTTAATCACAGTTCAGTAAAATAACTGGTCCTTTCAACTCTGTTATTAGATCTCTTGTATTTTCGCTCCTTTCTGGTGATTACGGATGCGGTTGGTGTTAAGACCGCCAGGTCCACATCACAATCTGACAGCTTGGTCAGAGTTGTTTTCAGTCGCAATTGACTGCACACAGCACATGCATATTCCAAAAACTTCTCCTTCTTAATGTCTTCACAGAAACCATTGATGGTTTGCATTAGAAGCTCTTTAGTCTGCAGAGATGGAGGAAAGCCCTCAGCATCTCATCTTGTCTTCACCACATGCAGTCAGGTTTTACATATCCATTCTGCATCTGTCATGATAACCTTTGGATTGAAGACGAAAAACAGTTTAGGACATGACGTGCAGTGATGTTTCAAGAGCAATGTTTGTACTTGGTCTCAGGATGACTTACTTCGTACCACGTGAATCTGGTGTGCCCGACATACCGATATCAGAGCATCCTTGAATAGCTTCTGTGCCAACATTAATAATGGAACACATGCGTAAATTGTTCTATTTTCATCTGTTTGAAGAGGGGGAGTGTTCACAACATAACCCTGATATTGGTATTTGATTGAATGGTCAGCATGCATTCAAGAAATCAGGAAGGTCTCAATCTCTTTTGCGATCCATTGATAAAGTCGCCCCAATTTTGAAGCTCCTCCGACCAACAACGGTTCATGGCATATGAAAGACACATGCAGTTCAGAGATAATACGAAATTTGTGACAATCACAAAGGTGTATCTGCCAGTTGATTAGGTATATGAACCAAGATGTGTGGCTTTGGAGGAATAAAAGCATAAAATCATGATGTCTCATCCGAGACCTTAACAGCAATATACAAATTGAAGTCACTGTGTGCTGGGAGGATATGATCAGTTGAAATAGACAGTTAATTAAGTGATCTGTGATGCGGAGTGATGAGTTTCTCAAGGTGAAAATGTCATCGATGAAGCCATGGCTCAATGTCAAATGGTCAGAATGATCATGAGGCAATGAAATAAGATGTAGATGGAAGGTGATGGTCACATGTGGCTTTTGTACTGGATATGCATAGATGTCAAACAAAGTGCGATGTAAAAGATAACCGAATGATGTATTCCAGGGTGTTGGTCGGTGAGCAATTTCAACGATTTTGTATACACCGAACTCACATTGTACAGTACTTAGGGATGGGAGAAGGGTATTTGAACAGCTCATCGTCTTTTTGACATTGTAATCTGGTAGTAGGGGGCTTTCATAGGAAGTGTCCCCTAAGGCTCCATCACTGTGCAACACAGAATTGGTTTTAAGAATGTCTGCCATCATTCAGTGGTCTATTTGGAGAGAGCAAAAAAGCATTACCAGAGACCTTGATAGGACCGAAATCATCAAGTGATGTAAGCATTGCGAACACACATAGGATTTGAGCCCATAAAATGAGGGCCACCAATTTCGATAAACAATGTTGAGAGTGGAAGGTTTTCATCATGAATGAAGTGGAGGGAGGAGACAAAGAATGGTGAAAGCACGGAAAATGCTACGACTCCAAGCGATCATCGATCTGAAAACACCCTTCGACTCGGAAAATGGTTCATACTTGAAAGACCGGATTCCCTTCATAGCAAATACCAAATGTGACGGGAAAGCTTCTGGGAGGATAAACAATGTTTCCTCACTTTGAAATTATCAAAACAACCAATATCTGCTTGAAAATATTGCTGTACAGGGACATTTCACCCTGACTCAGCTGGTTGGATCATTTCACACTGACCAGCATTTATTGATTGCAACAGAGATATAATGGACAATGATACAGAAGAGCATATTTATGATTTAGAATTAAGCAACAACAGAATGCTCAGAATGTTGAACGAGATTGTATCTCCATGGTCCGTGGCATTCCATAGATTGGTTGTGTGCAGAACAGCTACAAAACTGCATTCGGGCAGCTTCATCTTCACCAAGGGGCATGTAGTAGGCACGTCATGCAGTTTGAAAGAAAGCAGCACTTCACGTTTATGCTGTATGCTGGAAGTAGTCAGTGCAGTCAAAGACCGGAACTGAAATGTGCACACGTGAGCACGAGGAACTAAGAGTGCAAGTGTACTTACTCCTGTCACCAACCATAAGATTGGCAGGCGTGGGCTTTGGAAAAAGAGGTAACACTTCTGATGATGAAGATGGCATGAACAGTTTAGCTTTTCTGGGAGATGTGGCAGATTCTCCAAGCAGTTTCTTGAGCCTGGCACTATCTGCAAGGAACATTAGAACAATAACTTGAAAATGAAGATATGCTCACAGCCAGATGGTATGTTGTTGGAGTCCACATGAGAGATGTGTGTGCTGAATGCAACATTTCCATATGCGTTGAATTGAACATTCTTGGCCATAGTTCCATCTCCATCTTCAATGTCTCAGCCAAAGAGAACACCATAGAATCCCTGTGCAAGCTCCCATTCTTGGCATATGGGAACGATGTCAAGCTCCTTGATCTGCATCTCTTCCTTGACTGGAGAGGTAAAAGTATGAGGCTTCATTAGATAGCTTTTTTGCACTATACCAAAGGTCATGCAGACAGCCCTTTGAACTGTGTGAGAGAAATAAAGCGAGCTGTGAAGGTTTTGAACCTTGTCTGGGTGAATCTGGCCAGGAATGATGACCTGCTCAGGCCCATTCAGCTGTGGTAATCAGCTCAATGATACCTCTGAAAGTATATGTGAATCACACAATTGAAACTGATATGGCAGAAGACGTACCGAATGTAAACCAGAGTTTTGGTGATTCTTAATGCGTCAGTCATTGAAATCGGTGTTAGCATAATGCCGTCTACAAGAACCTTTCTAATGGTAGATGGTCAATAGATAATAAGTTACAGCATGCGGCGATATCTCACAGAGTATAAGGGATGTTTGCGTAAGTATCCTTCAGCGAATTATTGCACATGGACTGATCGAGCGACACCAGAGGAGTTTTGTTCCTTTCGACCTCAATGTTCACCCTGCATACTACATTAGCATTGTGTGGAAAATTGGCAGGGTCAGACATATGCCTTGTCTTCACTTTTTTCCTTATCTATGTGGTCCTTCTGCATAGGTCATTCACTGGAATATGGGTCAGCAGTCCACCCGTGACATAAATTCAAAGACCAACTCCTTGTGGACTGATTGTGGCTTGATGACCTTCTTGCCAGGCTTGCCAATCTCCCTGAAAGACGGTTTATATTTACCATGGCACAAAGCACAGAGGGTATGTACCTGTCCTTATGTTCATCCTTGTCCTCAATTGTGGCCTTAGAAGTGTTGGAAACTCTGTTGACACATGAAGTATGAGACACCATCCTGGAGACATAAACAATCATTGTCTGAGAACACATACACATCACCGCTATGGTGCTGCATGATTTCAGCCTCAAATATGCTGTCATCACTGATCATGTCAGGTCCATCTCCCACAAAAGCAGTGTGGAAAATCTCGTACTCGTCATTGACAATGAATTCATTCAGGAGTCATTTTCACTCAAGGTTTCATTGATATTCAGCCTGATGAAAGACATGAATGTCCACATTGAAGCAGCTCTCCATGGAAAACTTACCATCCATCATCAACATCTTCATGAACTTCCTCTGCTTCATTATCAATGAAGTCCTTGACAAATCGTCTGTTAATTGTTGGGAAAATGAGTCAAACAATGTATTGATTACATGTAGGAGTTGGATGTACTTCTTCTGCAATGATTGCATGGTAATCCTCTCCATCTCATGGTCCAGCTGATTTCTCTGATCAGTCAGATTAGCCATGAGGGCAAACATTGGATTCTTACTGTGATGGTACATTATATCTTGCCCATCAATACTATGTTACGGATGATGTACTCTCTCTGTCTCTGTATAAAGTCAATGGCTGGCTCATCCTCTCCACAGACCTCAGACTCAGAGTCATCATTCTCCTCATTGAAGGAGATGCTGAAAAAAGGGTAAATATCAGTTCATTATTTATTGAGAAAGTAGACAGCTCCACTTACATCACCACCTTTGACCATTTCTTGGGTGATGGACTGACAGATGAATGATCAATCCTGCAGTTCAGAACATGCTGTAGAGACATGTACTTGGCTGACTTGTCCTCAAAGCGGGACCGGCTGTGATCGAGATGGTCAACAAAATGTGTTTGAAGATATAAAGGTCAGCTCACAATGTCAATCATTTGGTTACACTTCCTAGATGACCACTGCTCTTACCCAGGGTTTGGGTCGTGGGAGTCTCAGGAGGTGTTGGAATGGGGATCCTAGTGTACGGACGAAAAGTTGATGAGATGACGAAGACAAGTATAACATACACATACTTTTTCTTCAGAGTCAAAGGTGCCGCTCTCACCACTTGCCTTCCCTTTTCCACCACCATCTCATCCTGGCTGCTGAATGTTCAGATGTGAGCTGTTGTAGGTGTAAACACTCACTCATCATCATGCAGATCATGACTGTCTGATCCTTCATTTCCTTTATATGGCAGTTAATGAAAGAGCAGGATAGGAACACCCGAACTCACAATTGAACAGCATGCTGGTTGCTGTCATTGCTTGTTTCCCTGTTCCTAAAATGTGTCTAAAGCTGTACTTTAAAGGGCTCAAATAGAACACTTACCATTTGGACCTCACACTCCTCAGGGTATGGCCTCCCATCAACATAGCAACACTAGAACAAGATGAAAGCTCAGCTCACATTGGCTGATGAAGACAAACTCAACATACTATGACTTTTGTGTCATGGGTGTCGATCTGCGTAGTGATATGAGAACACGAAATGCTTCACGTTAGTATGTGGAAAACATATGATGCTGACTTGGGGGGTGGAGTAGGTCTGGCAAGATGTCAGATGCATTCAGCAAACTGGAAAAGCACGTACTCCTTCTCAGAATCAGAGATCAAGATGGTTTCAGCAGAAATGGGGGCCTGTCTCTTGCTCCTCCCAGAAGCCTTTCCAGCACGTCCACTATAGGCAGTATCAGAACATGAAGGAAGTGATGATCTTAATGAAGAAGCACTGAGCAGTGGAGGTCTTTCCTAGAGCCATCCTGGAGAAGTAGGATAGTGATATTAAGGGTGAGGATGCGACTCCCACTTTATGTGCACTCAACAAAAGTCAGATCAGACAGGAGACATGTTTTCTGACAGTTGCTCGGTAAATGTTGGGACCAGGTACCGGAAAATGGAGAGAAGCCTCGGAAGGTCATTCAGATGGTATGAAGGTAAAACCTCATTCCTGCTACCTAAAAATCTGAGCGCATTGGTGAATGTCCTAGCCTGATATCGGAGTTCAAATTAAGGACCAGCTTTTTCTCAGCAGCCCCCTGAATAATAAGAATGTTCAGCTTCCACTCGCCATAAAGATGAGCATTAGACCATTGCCACTAGACAAATCCAAAGCCGGTTTGAAGTCGACATTTTCAATGTCGACCTTGTCAATGAATCAAAGTCAGTGAGGGATGGACTAAGCATGATACATATAAATTGCCCATGTGCAGACTGCGGCTTGATCGGAGATGGACTATCAGCACAGTTCAGTAAAATCAATCTTGCATGGTTGATTAGACTTTTCAGAGACTAGTCAACCTTTACGGTTTGCATTGCCTAACTGGGCATCTGAATTATAAGGGAGAGTCACCATCAGAGGGTAGCCCGAACACATTTTACAAGAGTCCAAACTGTCATTCTGAGCAGGCGATCTAAGCCACATAGAGAGAAGTCATTTGAACAAAGAGCGTAATTGGGACTAGATCTCTGCAGAAAGAACTGGTTGAAGACCAGTACACTGCTAGCTTTGAAGGGTTCAATCAAGTACATCCTCATCTTGTGAGGTAAACACTGCTGCCCTCCACCATGGCTTTAAAACTCTTGAAAGAAAAGAGAGACATATACAGTTTGTTTTCTATGTTCACAATGCAACAGAAATGTTGATAGATAGGCAGAGGCTACGCTGAAGAAATATATGGATGAATGTTATGCAGAGGTGGAAAACAAGAATCTAGGAGCATTCACAAATGTAAGACCCCCCTAGCTGTAACGAGCTCTGACTGAACTTACACCAGGCTCAACTGCTGTGAAAACTCATAAGCCTGTATGAGCTTCAGGCTGAATATGGCAATGGTTATCGAGGAGCTGACTTGACATGGAGCACAGAGGAATCAATGACTGATGGTGCTGAGGAGGTGGTCTTGTATGTATTGGGTTATGTCTGTGCTAAGGATCTCACTCCCATTGTGAACAACTCTCAGTATGTGGACTTACAACATTCTGGATGGAAAATGCTCACATTTCATGTTGTGGACTCCCTCGACATATCTTGAATGCCCACTAGGCAGTCACGCTGACTGGACTAGGGTTGAAACCTTTCAACGATTACATGTGAGGAGCTTTATCCATACATCAGCTCTGTTTGGAAAACCAGTCAGGTCTTTTTCTGCAACCTTGGCAGTCTGAGAACTTCATCGACAGCATTACTATGCAATTTAGCAACCAATACTTCACGTCAAAAAGAAATCAGCACAACGGTGCAGCTTTAGCCCTCGCTCAGAACGTTGACCCTTTCAGTATTCTTGCTCGTCGTCAGGGTCAAGATTGTTTGCACCTTCAAGACAATCAGGTAGGATACTATGAGTGATGGGTTGATCAGTAAGTCATCACCTCTCGATTTAGATTGCAACTCAGCGCTGGCAGAGGAATCACAAAGGTTTTTTGAGTAAATCCATCATCCATAAGGCTTGGACATCTCGTCGAACTGCAGGTGTCATTCTGGGTGATATGCAGTGGGAAGGATACACTGAGGCTGATAAACAAGCTGGTATCAATATGCATAATGGATAGATGCATTGAACATGTATGTGGAAAGTATTCAAAAAAGACCGCCCTATCATCTCTTTCATTTCAGGATTTGTGCCAGAAATTGGCAGAAACAGTCATTGCTGGCAGTACACAGATTTGAAGGCCACTTAAATGTACTGTTGGTTATGATGTGGATGAGGAGAAGGTTGTCATTGATGAGGCAGAAAACAGCATGAAAAGGCTTTGCATGGATTCATCTACATGAAGAGAAAGTCCTGTAGATTAGTGGTTTCTTGTAAAGACCATCATCTCCGCAGGTTTGAAGTGAGGATTTCATATTATGCATGAACAACAACAAATGGCCAGGTTCATTTCAGCAACGGAGACATGAACGAAGTACAACAGGCATCTCAAAAATGCGTTAAAGGGAAAACATGTTCCAAAGCTAGCATGCTTCAATGAATGGTGAAGCTTTGTCATAAATTTAGTGAACATCAATGTCAGATATCATCACATTCAGACAGTACTACATCAGATTGATAGATGCAACATTTTCCATCAACATCGATGTAACGCTGAGGTCTGAACAATGGGTATGTGTTACCTAATGCTGCACCTGACAGCACACAAACAACATCAAATTATGACATGCACGTTCATGCAACTAGGCAGATGCATGAACGTGAATGTCATAATTTGGCGTTGTTTGGTTCTCAGAAACCGTTTCCAATCATGAAAGCTGATCTGGATGCACCACATTGCTTGGAAACATTTTGTTCTCCACAGCTGTAGAGGTGACCTCTCTCATATTTCATATCAGAGAGTTCTGCTTCCTCCCATCATGACTCCTCCATTGCGTGTTATGAAACAGAAACCAGGTGGAACCCCCAACCACAATATATTACTCACCATCTGTTTTCGTTCTGGAAAATGATATCCTCCATGCTCTTGATGTCAATGCAGAGCAAAGATGATTGTATGATGAAGAACAATGGTTGTCACACTCAGCAGCAGCATTGACTTGAAGATGGAATGATGTGACCAGGACAGAAGCAGGTGAGTTTAAAGACAGTTCAGAATTTTGTTTGGGTATCAATTGAAAGGTGCTGTCAGCTTTGTCTGATAGCAAGAGGCAACCTGGGATGCTGTCAAAGATGGGTGAGCCATGAACATGTCATCAGCTCATGTGCTAACTGCTCTCATGTTTCCTTCACAAGCAACCATGCCCTGGAGTCGAAAAAATGCACAAATAAAGCCAAAGTATGATGTGCGTGTTCGTGCAACTAGCTAGTTGCACGAATGCAAATGTCATAAGTTGGTATTGTTTGGTTACTGCAAAATGTGCCACCATTCATTGTCGCCATTGATGCATGTCTCGGATAATGTGATGGTGATGAATGGTCGGGAAATGGTCCTTTGCATATGGTTTTGGACATGTCATGATATAAAGGTACATTTAAATAACATCTCTTATTACCTCTCAAGGACGTTGCGAGGTCAATTTGACCAATAACCATCAGATCGCTTAAATCTGAGTCCACAACATATCGCAATCTGGTGGCCATGTGCCCTGAACTGCTTCACTCTGTCACTGCTTAATGTATCATCGCACGCTCACATTGACTATGGATGATTTATCAGCTCACCGATCACTCGAGCCCCTCCATATCCTGAGCAGAAATGAGTTCCTTTCCAAACTTTATCAATATGAAGGCGTTCATCCTCTCTGTCCTGTCGGCATTCCTCATGGAAGAATGATCATCGTTTTGGTGGATGGATCAGATGAAGGAAAGAAGAAAGAGTTGGAAAGGGTGAAGGAGTTGGAAATACCGCTCGGGAAGCTGGAGGACATGGATAGGAGACATCCAGGTGCACCAGAAAATGGTGCTAAATGTCATGGAGGAAACTTACATGTACTGCAGGTTATTTTCAAATGGGACCTGGCACATAGATCATGAGCAGGGACCGTGATGGACAAGGAGACCCTCTAGATGATGCCATTATCACATTTGTGCCTTCGAAGTGCATATCATGACCATGGTGTGCATGAACGAGACTCAAGTGACTCCTTAGTACCTCGCAAAATGTGGTGCTCTGAGCTGCATTCGAAGAGCAAAGAATGGACATCTTGGGTCCTCGAGAATGCTGCACCAGAGACATCATGGCATTCAAGCAAGATGTTCATGCAAAACTGATCATTACTGGTATGCGCTGCTATCCTTTTGATTTATTGGTCAAGAAACCTTGCCTGGTGAATGCACCTGCAGCAAATGGGAAAATATATGATGATGATCCCCACCTATGACTGCAGGAGGGTTTCCTGAAGGTTTTTATTCTTGAATACCTCGATGTTGACATCTCCACTTACCGATTGACATTCGTAGACCATGTCGGTGTATGTGACAGACCAATTTCTGAAGGAGGCACCATCGGAGATGGTGAAGAATCTCTAAGATTATGCTAACATGATCAACACTCCACACATCGGATGTTAGAATAATGTTTTTTTTATGTCATGGCAGTTGAATCTTGCTCCTGCATAAGCCGATGACCACGGTAAGTGATGTTTGTATCAAAGTCTCAGGTATCGCATTCAATGGTCATGTTCAGTGAACAATCTGGATAAGTCAATGGGTATCTTTGAAAAAAAAAACACCACAACAACTTTGACAGTGTCATCGGAATGTTCTGCATGATGTGTGGCTCAGATTTGCTGTCAGGATATAACAAGGGGCTGTTTTTCTTCCCTGGTCTAGAGATATACTTCATTCTGATCCCTAGTCACGTGATCTTTTTCACTGGGTGCAGTGACCATGGTGGGAATGGCTCCCATCACTCCTGCCGGAGAGGAGTCAGCCTGTTGGGCATATAGATTCACCATGATAGGATATCCAACCAGCGCAATCATCGAAGGCTCATCAAAGCATGCTATGGTGGTGCTGTCTATGGCCACATTTTTCAGGTCGAATGAGCTGCTATATATCATGCCAGAGATTACGGGTGTCAAGTAAGACGTCGTATTCTTTTGACAAAGTGTAATTAAGCATTTTTCAATCACTTTGAACAGCTCGAACCTTCTCCTCGATGAACACGGCATTCCCCAGAATAGGTCCTGGACCAATCGCTCAAACATAGCTGAAGATGGACAGCTCATGATGGATTCTCTTGAACATGTCTCATGGATGGACAGAGTGATCTTGCAACTTGCACATACTCTGTTTTCACAGCTTCCTCTGGCATATGACGTTCAGATTAATCTGGATACATTTCTCCACTTGTTCACGATTGCTAATGAACAAAGCAAATGCATGGACCTTCCTGCATGGGATTTGGCTTCAGGGCCTGTGGTACACCCACATCATGATGGTGAAGATATCCCAGAAAGCCTGCATTCCTGATGACTGTCAAGGTCTTCCATTTGAGAATGCGTACTTGGGGAGTTTTACCAGAAAATGGCTCATCACATCCCTACAGTATCTGCAACGTACACCGGGTTACCTGTTAAACCCGTGTATCAGAGCAAGAAAGGTACAGAGACATTTCTCTGCTCTCAATTTATATTGACAATTGTCATGTAGGACTAAAACGATTGCTAGATGGAGAGGAACTCACAAAGGAGGAAAGTAGGCAACAAAAAAAAGTGCGAGTGTTGCTTGTGGTTCTTTGCTTCTTTCATGTTTCCAAAAAACTGATCCAGCATTAAAGACACAGGTGGTGATGCAATCATCAATGAGCTCGACAGTGACAGTTCCCATGGCATTTCAAAACCCGGACTATATGCTAGGTGTCACCTCTCTTTGCAACAATGAGCTCGGCAGACCTGCTAGCATGCGATTGACACCTGTTCCTTCAGAGGACGAAGAGCGAGACGATGACATCTATATGATAGAGGATGGTCACAGCTATGCAGAGTTTGCTCTCAATGGTGATGGCATGAATGATACATTGAACTCTGTTATTCCAAGCATTGAAACAGGAGACCATGATGGATGTGCAAATCCAGAGAATGGACGGGATTTTGGCTCATCTTGCCAGTGTATTTTTTGAAGCCAATCATCACCACAATCTGAGGAGCTGAATGGACACTGCAATGGGGAAGAGAGGAACCCCACTTCTGACAGTTCTGCACTTGGTCAGGCAAAGACTTTCAAGTTTTAACAAATTGTGGACGCACTGCCTAATGATGTGGATGAAAGCTGTCTGGATGTGTTCATGAATGAGGATGAAGATGGTTATATGGATGGGCATCGAAGACCACATATATCTCGACCTGTAGCAATGCAAAGACCATACAATTATAAGCAGCAGTGTATACGCATCACATTCGATCTGTACATTTACTTTTCATTCTCCAGGAAAACACTTTCTAGAGTCTCTCGCTATGGTGAAATGCATCGAACTGCAAGCACAATTTGACCGGGTGTTGCTCGCTCATGAGGTTGAAGAAGGTGAGTGAGCTCTACATGGTTATACTGCTGCTTGAGTGTTCTCGAATCATGGTAAAAGTGCTTGGGCATGTGACATCACCATATTTAGATGGAGTGCGGGCTCAGGCACAATGCATAACATCATGTGCAGCAGAGGCGAGCATGGGTGGTGGCGCGGACTTGGTGTGGACATGCTTCTGCAACAGGCCTTCAGCTTGCATGCTCCAGATGCATTTTCGAGCAGGTGCAGGCTCTTCAATTTGCCATGTGGGGTGATGCATATCCGGGTCAAGGTCCACGGGCAGCAGGCTGTTGTTCAGGTTGGCTGGGCTTTACAGTGGCCAGCCCATCAGGATGGTGAGGCCAGATGATGATCCAGGGATACCGATATATGTAGATGTGGCTGGGAGGAATCAGCTGTCGGTAAGGGGTAAGGGCACCTGGGTATAGACTTATGCCATGGTGTTGGTGAATCATTCTTGAACCTGAGGTAACATAGCATGTGTGACTTGGCACACTTCTGGCATGTGTGGTCACAGGCGTCCCACCAGCATGGAATGCCCTCCTTTGTGCATGCATCACAGGGCTCATCTGCACACCATATTTCAGTGTACTGCATGGTCAGAGTCCTGGTCAAGAGCTCAATGAGCACGTGTTCACATGTGGACCCTTGCACAATGGGAATGGCAGACAGATGAGCAGCATGGGGCAGGCATGTCTGTGATTCCATGACAGGGGCCAAATCATGGAGATGCACTGAGGAGCTCGCTGTGGTGGTTGTCCCAGCATCCAGCATCACCATGGTTGAGCGCAGTGTGTGAGCTGCCATGCTCAATGGGGCAGCTGCTCAGAGTGGATGCTGCACGCAGATCGAACCCAGAAATTCATGCAGGTGGTGGACAAAATGGGAATGGACAGTCAGATGTGGGTGTGATGGTAGTGACAGAGTGATGGGGCTCAATGAAATGATGTGGGCAACAGGGAGGAATGAGGGGTGCAGCTCAGGGCTGCCTCAGATCAACAGGCCCTCAGTTAGCAGGCTGTGCATGTGGGGGACAGGCTTCTCACTGGTGGATGGCCTGAGTATAGGTTGAGGCACCTAAATGGGAATGCACCTGCTTCTGATGGGCTGCCAGCCAAGCAGGGTGAGGCACCAGCCTGTCAAACCTCCCTTGTGATGGAGTGACAATGGCCACCTGTGGCGTGACTGCTGATGAGGGGCCAGGGTCAGGATGGATGCACTGTACATGCAGCACTGCTGACTGAGGATGGGCAGCAGCTGAGATTCTTTCAGCTGAAGTGGCAGGTTGGGCAGCAATGTGACAGGGTGGCAGCATGTACAATCTCGTGAAGTTGCACCAGACCATGTCGTACTGGTCAGGCTGGTAAAACATCCACCCTCAGTACTGGTCAGGCTGGTAGAACATCTGCCCTCAGTACTCGACAATGTGGTGGGGGGCATTTGTCGAGAGCTCGATACCGTGCAGAAAGGCATGTTCATTTGCGGTGGCCATCAGGCCCATCTTATTCAGATGCATGAGAGCTCAGGTGAGTGACTTGGCATCCTGCACCAGACCCTGCAGCTGATCGATGGTCATGGAATACATGACCTCGATGCTGCACCATGTCCACGGCAGGGGCATTTGGGACACCTCCATGACCTGTTCGATGAATCACAGCTGCACCTGCATGGCTTAGTGAGTAAGTCTGTCTATCTTCATGTCAGTGTGGGGAGGACATATGATTAATGGCCTGAGACAGTCTGTAACCTCCCACCACTCCCCGAGGGCCTCATTGGATAGCAGTGCCTTTCACTTGAGGAACGAGCAGTACTTTAGGCAGATGTCATCAGAGATGCACTTGAAGGCATTGAAAAGGCACTGGTGGGTGGTGTTGGCAATTGTGATAGTGATGGTGGACATATTGGTACAGGGACAGAGTGTTTGTGGAGTGGATAGGGGGAGATGGTGGAGAGGATGAATGAGAAGTTAGATGCAAAGTGGCACATTGCGCTTCATGTTCTATGGAGTGTGAGTACATGAATCTGTCATGTGCTCTATGATGCAAAGCTTCTATGGCTCATGTGATTCCATGCATGCACAATACCCACAAATGGCAGCACCTTGCCATGGGCTGGGTTCCCTTCTGATGCTTCTTTGAGTCATCCTTCTGTGCCAGTGCCTGACCTGATCAGGTGACACACCCCTTGGGAATCAGCTATGTGGCCGGTGGTGCTCAATGTTGTGTTGTGTCTTTTCTAGTGTTGACCGTGGATGGTCGATATTTGAGTCTGGAGGGGATGTGAGATGGTGTTCCAGGCTGCCCCCACACAGAATCAGTTCTCTCAGATCAAGTACATGATGCAGATGAGCAGGGGTTCAGAATGAGTTTTCTCAGGCAGGCTACAGGCACGGTCCCTACAGGACAGGTACATGATGTGTCAGGCTTAGGGCAGAGTATGCAGTGTGGAGCAGCTACTCATTTCTATGCTACAGGATGGGTACATAACACGCGACACCCATCCAGGGCAAACTAGTACACATCCGGGTATCTCATATCAGAACTGTCCACCAAAGTCCTTAAGACACAGCGTGCAGTTGGAATTATCCTCCAGAGTGACAGTGGGGTGAGTCCTGCTGGTCAAAGCACTGCTGAGGGTTGGCAAAGAGTTGACAAGCATGCGCAGTTCATGAACCCATGGGTAGGGGTCAATCGAGTGGATGTGCAAACTGGACTCCACAAGGTCCGAATGAGCAGAAGCCACCTGGTGCTACAAGAGGACCTCAGACCAGTGCGTGTGAGAGAGCATGTCGATAGATGTACCAAAAGTGACCGGACGGCAGTGCGTCAGTGATACCACTTAACCATAGTGGGATGCGACCTGGATGGAATATGGGCATGCTCGAATGCCAGCACCTCAAGCAAGAGGAGGTAGCGATGGAGCTGGGCAGTGCAAGTGATGGCCAGAGAATCAAGCTGAGCCTGCATGATGTGAGACATGGCTGGGTGAGAGAAGAGATGGAGATGAGAGACAAGGATGGGCAGATACCCGGACATGGACAGAGTCTCAGGGAGGGTCCTCAGACTCTAGAGGGTGAAGCCGATGGAAAGCCATTGGAGGGAGCACCCAGTCTCGGGCAGAGGGGTGAGGTTGGATTAGAGCAGGGGTGAACCATTGCAACAGCGAGGCAGGTGAATGAGAATGCAGTTACAAGGTTGCAGGGGAAGTCAGCGAAACTTGACGTGGTGGAGGGCAAGTGTTGGGGTGGCAAACAGGAGCTGGAATGAGCAGATCTCTACAAAAATGAATAGCAAAATGCAGGTTTGGAACAATGTGATGGAGTGGTCAGCAGTGGTGGACCCTCTAAGAGAATGAGGAATAGCAGAATGAGTCAACAGGTTGGGGGCCAAGCGTGGTCAGATACAGGAGTGAGGACTGGGGTGAGCATGTCCTGGGATTGTGATATTTAAAGAATGCATAGATAGAGAATGGGAGGAACTTTTCGGACTGTGTACCTACAAGACAGAGAATGTGAAGGGGTTTGCACAGCAGCAGACAGCAACAGGGACAGCAGTTTCAGTTCTCCTCTCAGGCTTCGGGCTCTACTACGTGTCAGAACTCTCATCTTTGCTCTCACTGTCTTGCAAACCAGCAGAGCACAGCATCGGACACAGTACGCCCTCATTTCAAGACTCCTGTATTCCATCCGAAGCTAGTCAGACTCACCCCAGAGCTGTTCTATCACACGTACTTCATGTACATCACACTGGGCCATGTTCTTTACAGGCTCGCTATCCTTTCGGGCATTGCTTTCATTCATTTCTCTACCATCTTCTACATTTGGCTTCTGCATCACCTCTAGATGCAAACCTTCTGTACACTGTTCCCTCTTCATTCCTCTCAGTTGTTTGCTGTCATTTTGCAGCTAGCCAAGTACTTGCAATCACAATGTACATTAGGGTACAAGGCATTATCCATCACCCTCACAGTCACACGCCACCACTCGAGCACATTTGCCCAAAGCCCAGTCATATCAGCACTGGTGGTCAAAAGCCCAGACCTCTCTCTGAGATCATCACCTGCAATGTCATTCCTCTTGTCATCATTACCCCACAACCTGTGCGACCACTTTCAAAATTTATCAAGAAAGGGATCACAGCAAGGCCCATACACCCCCTTCCATTCAGAGTCAGACCTATGCTCCACCTCAAAATGCTCATTAAACAAGTCAACGCCACTCGCTTCAGACTGCAATTCTTACCAGGGGTAGCACTAGCATCACATCTCAAAGAAGTGGAGTTCAGAGCCATCATAATACTTGTGGCAGAACTAGACACCATCTGCGCAGACCTTTACACTGGTTAGCAGACCTTCACATTCATTGAGAGGCAAGTTATCAATACGCTCTGTCTGGAGATAGGACGGGTCAGCTTCAAACAGATAGGGAAGCAGGAAAGGCTAGATGAGATAGCCAAAGCATTGACAGAGATTTAGAAGAAAAGGTACCTGAGCTTCCTAGTTAGATAAATCTTCTTGTATTTTCACTCACCATAATGTCGAATCTCGGTCATGCACAAATGTCTACCTTTGCACAGTGCATGGAAGACATTCTTCGACTGAATATTGAGGTACATGATGGAAGCACCCCTCATGCCTTGCAACAAGCATCATCGGTCCTAGACTTCACATCACAAGTCAGAGGACACATATCCCCTACATCATCTTTACTACCTGCCTATGTCCCTGCTGCATGGGAATTTGATGGACACACATATGAGCATTTGAAAGATGCAATCAGACAGTCTGCCCCCACTGAGGTACTGGACCACATCTGTGAATGGGTCATTGTTGTCATCAAGTCAATGGTTGACAATGAGCTCAAGGAAACATACAATGTGCTAGGAGATAAAATGTATGAGAACAAAAAGGGACTCGAAGCTTCAATTGAGTCTGTACAAAGTGAGCAAAGACTAAAAGAAGGAGTTCTTCACACCGAGATCAAGAGACTCAGTGAGAGAATAAAGGTCCAGGATGCACACATGGTCATTCTCAATGATGAGATCACTGATACCCAAGCAGCAATGTTAGACATGGGAAAGAAGATGATGGAACTAGGTGCAGACAATACCAAGTTGTGCCATGAGTTAGCTTCACTTAAAGCAAGTGGCATCGCTATGACGCAAGGGCACACTTCCAGTCAAGGTCAGAATCAAGGATACAAACCTCATGTCAAGATCGCAGAACCCCCTTACTATTCTAAAAAGAGTAGCCTGGAGGATTGGCTCCAGAACTTGACATATGGATGTGGTGGAATGAGATTAATGAAGATGAACATAAGATCACCACGGCACTATTGCATCTAAAAGGAGAAGCCTTCAACTACATGTCTGACTATGTGAAGAAGGCAGCAGACAGGCAACAGCTTGGCACCTGGGAAGACTTCATCAACATCCTCAGGTTAACTATAGGACACTCGACCTGGAAAAGGATGCACAGCAGAAACTGAAGAATATCTACAGCAAGGTGTCCCTCAACATGATTTCCTTCACAGAGAAGTTCCGTCAGTGGGCCCCCAAGACTAACCTCAGCCACACTGCTCTCATCGGCTATATCGTGAAACACCAACCTGAGAAAATTTGCAATGCCATGATCACTCATGGCAGTTTGAGAATTGCCGACCCTGTGACCTGGCCCGAATATCTCGACTTGTGCTTAATGCTTGAGGCCAAATTCAGGGCTGACAAGGCAGGAACATACAATACAGCACAACCATCATCATCAACCCCTCACACAAGGAAGGATCCCGATGCAATGGAAGTCGATGAGCTGAAGGAACTCAGCAAAGAACAGGAACAGTGGCTAGAGAAGAAACTCTGTCTGATGCAGCAAGCATCCTTTCAAATTCAGACAATGGTGCCCCAGCCCAAAGTACAAGGGCAAGTTCCAGCTTAAGTGAGCTCAACCGGTCAGAACAGTTGAGCCTCAAGCAGAAGAAGCCAACACCAGCTCTGGCAAGGAGCGAGAAGAAGCAGTTCAAGTTTTTCTCACTGACTACAACAAAGGAAAGGGCAAGGCAACTGACCAGGACCCAGCAGTAGAAACAGCATGTATCACGGAGGTGGAGGATGATGAGGATTTTCTTCGTTGAGTTCTTTGAAGTCTGGCCAAAGAACTCATGGACATATAGATTGTACTAGTACCGGCTCTATCTCGCATGTACCACAGAATGGTTTTTTATATATTGCATCCACCAGTTCATCTAAACATGTGATTGATTTACCTGTTTACCTCAAACAGGGAGCACGGGAAGTCCAGACTGAGGTGCTTCTCAATTCAGGAGCATATTCTTGTTACATCAATCAATCGTTGGTCAATAGACTAGGCTTAGTAATAATCCCACTTGAACATGAGATCAGAGTATACAACATGAATGCTTCTCAAAACAAGGGAGGCACAATTAAGAACAGGGTAGTCCTAGACATAATTATCATAAATCACACTAGCCGACAAAGCCTATTGGTTACCGATTTAGGTCGAAAAGACATAATACTTGGCATGAGCTTCCTTAAAGAACATAACCCAGAAGTCAACTGGAAGGAGCTCAAAGTAGAGTTTAGTCATTGCCCTAACCACTGCACTCCCGCCTACATAGCTGCCCAGGATGAGGACCTGGAAGATACAAAAATTCCTCACATGAAAGGCATGATGGAGTTTATCAGTTCTCAGAAGTTGGGTGACAACTGAAACAACATGTATAGCTTCATCAGATGGGTATCACTCTCAGAAGATCCTGAGGAACAGATAGTAGCCTCCATGATCATGGGTTTGGATACTAAGAGAAATCAGAATATGCAGCCAACACCAGGAGAACAGGACAAAGACTACTGGTTGTCTTATGTCCCAGCCACCTACCATGAATTTGGTGATGTATTCTTAAAGAAGCAGTCAGAGCGAATGCCCACAAGAAAGTCATATGATCATCCAATTGAACTTGTTCCAGGAGCATCGCTACCATGTCTGGCAAAACTGTATCCTATGACCCTGCAGGAAAGAAATTCAGTAGATACATGGATTGACCAAGAACTAGCAAAAGGATATATCACACAGTCATGCAGCCCCACAGCAGCACCCATCTTCTTTGTCAAAAAGAAAGGTGATTATTGAGGTTAGTCTAAGATTACAGAGCACTCAACACAGTTACCAAGAAGAACAAATTTCCAATCCCCGGAATTTTGGACCTCATCGATCGATTATCCAAAGCTAGTATATTTATCAAGTTGAACTTATGATGGGGATTCAATAACATAAGGATAAGGGAAGAAGACAAAGAAAAAGCAGCCTTTATCACACATAGAGGTCTCTTTGAATCCACAGTCATGTACTTCAGTTTCTGTAATGCCCCCAGTACCTTTCAAACAATGATGAATACTGTCTTTGAGCATCTCATCTGAACTGAAAAGGTAGTTGTATATTTGGATGACGTTCTCATCTTTACTGATGACATCAAAGAACATCACCAACTCATAAAAGCAGTATTGCAACAACTCCACAAAAATGACCTATTCGCCAAACCAGAAAAATGCTTCTTTGAACAGTCCTCGATCGAGTATCTGAGTATAATCATAAGTAAGAACTCAATCCAGATGAACCCTGCTAAAGTTGAAGGCATACTCAGATGGCCCGTCCCAACCAAAGTGAAACAAGTCCAAGCATTTTTGAGATTTGCGAACTTCTATCGACAGTTTATAAAGGACTTTGCAAAACTCACACGACCTTTAACCATGTTAACCTGCAAGGATGTGCCTTGACACTGGGATGATTCCCAGGATCAATCCTTTATCATTCTAAAGAAAGCCTTCACCTCTGCACTGATTCTGCAACTCCCACATGATACAGCATCATACTGCCTTGAAACTGATTCCTCAGATTTTGCAACCAGTGCTGTACTCAAGCAATTGGAAGAGGACAAGCTCTGGCATCCCATAGCATATCATTCAAAGTCTCTCAATAAGCATGAATGCAACTACGAGATCTATGATAAAGAGTTACTCACAATTATTCAGGCATTGGAGGAATACTGACATTATTATGAAGGACATTCGGAGCCAATTGAGATATGGTCTGATCATCTTAACCTCACATACTTCTGCCAAGCACAAAAATTATTCTGGTGACAAGCTCGCTGGGCACTATTTCTCACACATTTTAACTTTATTCTTCATCACCAATCTGGAAAGACAATGCTTCATGCTGATCCTCTGTCCAGGAGGCCAGATCATGAAAGGGGGATGAACAGTGACAATTCTGAACAGACACTGTTGAAACCTGAATTTTTCACGATCAACGCAATATGACCTGCTCATGCATCTGAAGTTGATGATGCTCAGCTACTGGAAAGGATCAAGAAAGCACTCAAGAATGACATGATGACCAAAGATTATCATGCCTTGTTGACTACAGAACAGCGCAAATTTAGAAAAAACCTACAAGAATGGAACTTTGAGAAAGGACTTCTCCTCCATTGTGGAAAGGTTTATGTCCCGAAAGATCAACAACTATACATTGACCTCATCAAACTCCATCATGACACCCTATTTGCAGGACACCCTGGCAGGTTCAAGACGTTGGAGTTGATAACTCGAAATTATTGGTGGCCAGACATGTCCGTAATGGTTAAACAATACATACAAGGATGCGACAGTTGTCAATGCAACAAGTACTCAAGAGAAAAACCTTACAAACTTCTCCAGCCAAATGATGTTCCAGGAGGGCCATGAAAAATAGTTTCTACTGACCTGATCACACAGCTACGACCTTCAAGAAATTTCAGGGGTGAAAACAAAATGGCAATACTTGTCATAGTAGACAGACTCACTAAAAGGGCACACTTCCATGCAGTAGATGACACCGTCACTGCATCGCAAGTAGCAGGCATATTCTACAATGAAGTTTTCAAACCACACGGACTACCTTATCAAATAATATATGACAGAGGAACTCAGTTCACTAGCAAATGTTTTCAAGAATTCTGCCAAAAGCTCAGAATCAAGTCCACTATGTCTACTGCCTATCACCCTGAAACAGACAGCCAAACAGAATGGGTAAACCAAGTATGGGAGCAGTACCTCCAAATGTACTGCAACTATCACTAAAATGACTGAGTCCACTACCTGCCAATGGCAGAATTTTCATACAACAACCAGACCCATGAATCAACCGCACTTTTCCCATTCTTTGTCAAATACGGTCGACACCCACAAATGGCACCTGATATTACAGATCAAGTCAACCACCCATCCCTGAAACATTTATTTGTTAACCAATCTGAGGCACAGAACCAAGCACGGGCAGCTCTAGTTGTAGCAGCAGAATGAATAAATTGGTACTTCGATGAGAAAAAAACAAGACATCCCTTTCAAAGTTGGGGACTTAGTGCTTCTCAAAGAAAAAGACCTCAAAATCAAAGTCAAGTTTGCTAAGCTCACCACACAGAATTATGGGCTGTACAAAGTCATCCAACAAATCGGTCCCGTAACATTCAAACTAGAACTCCCAAAGCAAATGAAGGCCCATCTTGTATTCCATGCATTAAAGTTGATTATGTACCACCAAGACACTATCACACCATAAACCTCACTGAAACCTCAGCTGTGGAAATTGAAGGAACCTGAGTTCGAAGTAGAAGAAATCCTCGACTCCCGAGTCAATAGAGGGTGTATCCAATATCTGATCAAATGAAAGGGCTATGATCATTCAGATAACACATGGGAACTCAAGACCAACATCACCCATGCCAATGACTTGCTCAAAGAATTTCACAGCCAACATCCAGACACACTCAAAGCACCCATTCGGGTAGTCACATTTGGAGGAAAAAGTTACGAACTCGACTCATACGAACTTCCCCCAAAGTCCACACATCAAATAAGTCTAACCGGTCAAGAAAATGACGATGAATTCTTTGTCTACCATCGCATGACCGACTCTGTCAAAGCCTCCATTAAAGGATCAGAGAATGTGGCTCGATGGGATATCTATGCTGACAAAACTCATACGATCCTTCCCCACTCATGTGCAACCATTGAAACTGGACTCACAGTCAAGCCCCCAGTTGGCACCTACATCAGGATTTTCCCATGCAGTGGCCTTTCTGCATGATGGGGGATAGACATTGGAGCAGGTGTTGTTGACTCAGACTACACCGGGAAACTCAAGATCGTCATGATTAATCACTCAGACCACCCCTTCGCAGTCTCAATCGGTGATCGAATTGCTTAATTAATTTTTGGAGCATAGGCTGAAGGCATACCAGTCAATAACAAGGGACCATTAAGGGATAGATATAAAAGAGGGGATCAGGGATTCAGTTCCATGGGATGTTGAACCATGAAAGGGGGGTAGTTGTCACAGTTTTACGTGTCACAAGTTCACATATGACTTTTTACATTATGTTACTTGATCTTATCATTAGATTAGATAGCCAAGCATCTTACTGAATCGATCTGCAATCTGTAGATGATCAGAGGCAGATCAGTCTATTCCAGGAATACAATAGCGGTGCCCTTTTGGGAATAATAGGAACAAGGACTATAGTTACACATCGGCCTTCCATTTTCTAATAGTTTAGCCAGAAACCATTACAGGCATGATACTCTTACAGTTGCTGCAGTGATGACAGATCTTTCTCACTTATTGTTCTACTTACGAATAGATTGTCTCACCCATTGTTCCATGTATAGTCAATAGCTTGTACCACATATAGTAGGATAGTTAGGTAAGCAAGCCTCTGTACATGTATATAAGATCAGCCTATAGAGCGAGGAACCTCAGATCATTTCTCCTCATCGTATATGCACCTACTAGGCTTATCAAGCCTCATATATATCTATCATCATTCCAGACTTGCTCCACATCAGTGAGTAGTCTTTTGGTTTCACAAGCACTGCCACAGGGATTACCTTCAGGTTTTTCATTTTATTTGTCATTCTTTTGTTTGTGGCATAGTGCCGTGACAGGCACTTGCATTTCGGTCTGGGTGAGCTCGATGTGGGTGGCGTCAGCAAGCTTCTAAGGCTATGAGTCAACTCAAATGGAGGTGAAAGAAGACATAAGACATGCACCAGGAGGGATCGGACTCAATGGCACCATTCATTCCACTCAACCATAGCGGGATGCAAACTGGACGGGACATGTATGTGTTTCACAGACAGAGCCTCAAGCAGCAGAAGATATCGATGGATTCACAGGGTGTAGGCTGATTGTTATTCACCAGGGATGCATGCAAGACATGGCTAGACAAGAGATGGGTAGAGAGTAGCAATGGCCAGGAGGGGCATGAGAAAGAATGAGCAGGCTGAGACATGAACGTGTCTGAGGACTGCAGCTGTGGACTGAACGAGGTACTGATGGGAGATTGCATCTGAGGTGAAGCCAGGAAAACCCAGTGTACAAGCATGAACCAAATTTCAGGTGAAATCATTGAGGGCAGCATGAGCAGGGTGTCTGAAAAGCAGATGGGTTGCCTCCAGAATGGGGACAGGGGGATTCTGTGATATGGGATGATCACTGGGGTGGGCTCTCAGGAACTGCAGTGAGCAAAGTGCAACACAGGCAAGTAGAAAGCAAGGAATTCAGAATGAGACCTGATGGGGTGGTCTGCAGCAGCAGGCCCTCTAAGGGATTCAAAACGAGATGAGTGAGGTGAGGTAATGAGTTACAGGACCAAGCATGGTCTGATGTGTGATTGAGTCTTGGGCGAACACACCTCGAGAACACAGTATAAAAGGGTAGTGTAATTAGGTAGTTCGGGGAGGACTTCAGATGGCATATCTATAAGCTAGAGTATGTGAAAAGGCTTGTGCAGCAGTGCACAGAGACAGTGGTCTTCCTCTTCTCCACAACCTACTGCTTCGACTTCACAAACTAATCAAGTTCTTTGCTCTCACTGTCAAACACGCTTGACTGACCACCGAGACATTGCCACTGAGACAGTACACCCACCTTCTGAGATTCCTGTACTCCATCTGAAAGTCATTAGACTCACCCTGGAACCCTTCTATCACACATCACCCCAGTCCATACACTCTACATGGCTGCTGACCTATTGGCTGCATTGTTGATCCACTTCTTCACCATATATTATATCTGATTTTTGCATCACCTCTAGACACAGATCTTCCCCACCCTGTTCCCCCTTCATCTCACTCAGTTGTTTGCTATCCTTTCACAGCTAGCTGAGTACTCGCAATCACATTTTATGAAGCCCACTGCAAGGGAGGGAAAGTTTAGGGAGGTGAAGATCCAAAGCCAAGTTAGGGCAGCCCAAGCCCTTGCCAAGAAAAAAGCATCAGGCAGAGCAAACTCTCCAGATGTAGATGTCTCGGCTTCATCAACACTTTCAGCAGTACCAAGCATCTCAGACAAAATTTTCAAGGTGGCAATTGAGACTGTGACTGAGACTGCATCTGACTCTGGGACAACTATGTACCCCAAAATCCTCATCAACAACACAACAGCAGGCATCGATGAATATGAACTGTTGACATACGATGACATGATGGATGTAGCACCACAAGAAGATTCCATACTACAAGACCTTTCCACGATTCTCTCCAAGCACTTCACGGTACTGAAGGAGGCAGTGACAACATGGTTCAAGGCATGAAAACGAAAACATATGCTCGCCTATACACCTGAAGGAGCATCAGGTGAAATGGCCCTGATGGTCACTATTCAGTGATCCCTGAAACTAGTAACAGGGGCTCAGTCGATGTTCACCTCACAGATACCAATCTTTGCAGTGGCCGGGCACAATAAAGAATTTGGTCCAGGTAATGGAGGATCCCACAGCAGCGGCGGAGGGGGCAGCAGCAGTGGCAGAGGTGGAGGCAGACCAGGCAGGAACCTGAATGGTGGTTTGAGTGAATGGAATGGACTTGGCAGTGGGTATGGTGGTGGATTGGGTGGCAGCAGAGGCATAGGAGGACGTGAAGGCCCAGGTGAACCAGGCAGTGGTGGTGGACCAGGACTAGTACAAGGACCAGAATAAGCTTCAAGAAGGGGCTTCTTAATGCCAGCCTGAGGACAGAAGACTGCATCAACATTTGATGGTGAGCCTTGAAAGCTTCATCGATACTTTGATGACTTAGATGAGCTAGCGATACAGGCCGGGCTCACGAGCATGCAAAAGGTTCACTATGCACTATGCTATCTTACTATACAGCAGAAGGAGTTATGATCTATGGTCTCCACAGTGACAATGGCAGACTACGTGATGTTTAAACAGCAGATCTTTGAACTGTACCTCGAAGCGGAGGGTGATCTTCACACCATCGCCAATCTAGAACAGTGTGTCTCTGAGACACTCGTCTGAGGCATTCACACTTGCACTGAAGAAGCTATCTATTTCTGTGAGTTCACCTCAATAGCGAACTACCTGATCTGAATGAGACGAGTATCACCCACAGCCTGGGATGAGCAGTATGTCAGAGAATTCCACCTGACTGAGAAAGTGACCATCCTGCTTCAGTGTGAGCTACTGCACCTGAATGAATCAGTGCTCAGTGCGTGCATGCAGAATGATGGACCAACCCCTTTTGAATCTGAAGCAGAGGTCAAAGGAGTAGCTGCACAATGAGCGTGAGTGCAAGATTGAGATGCATTGAACTTTATATTGGAATGATGCGGCGTGCAGCTGCATGAGGATGTCATGTTGCTCTCATCATCTTTATCATAACCGCCGCATGTATTGCTGATCATCTATAGCTGTAAAGCTGCCTGACTTCACTGCCTCAGAGATTGTGTGAAACATGATGAATGTGTCAGTCAAGTTGCCAAAGAGCTACTTTATGAGAGGCTAGATTGCCGGGTTTGTTGATGAGCTGTCACTGAACAAGCATGCACTCACCTGCACTGCACCAGCTGTTGCTGCTGCCACGACAGTGTCAACAAGGTTCAGACTTGTTTTTCTGCCTTTGTGGCAAACCTGCGAGAGGAGAAGATGAGCATTCATGATGGGCTCAAGTGACATACCGGAAGATCAAAACATTTGCAGGCTATCACCGTGGCCCTCTACAGCACCCTTTTATGCATCACAGTGAAGTCATGGCTTTACAGCTTGGCCTCAGCTTCCCACAAGAGCAAGCCAGGTTGTGGGCCCTCTGAAGCCACCCCCGAGGGCCCAGCTCAGCACTTCAGGTCCCCCCTCATCTCAAGCTGTTAGCTTGAACTATTTCACTATGGTGGTTCGAGCTAAGAGCTTTCTCAGGGATGGTATGTCCATACATTTGGGCACTTGGTGGGTCTTTTGGGAGGTACCATAGTTGGGATTGTGCATGGTCATACTGGTGCGACCATTATATAATGTCATGGACTGACCATTTTTGGGTGTGACATTTGGGCTGTTACTGGCTTTTTCATGGGATGTTTCCAATGATCAGTGTTGTCACGTGGTGTCAGGGGGTCATTTGGGCAGTACCAAATGGGCCATTTGCAGCAATATTAGCTGCCAATTTTTGTCAAATCCTGGGCTTGAATTTTGTGCATACTATGCAAGGGCAAGGCATTTTTGAATCATTACTTGAGATTACATAGTCTAATGTACTAGTACATCTAAGAAGATCAGAGGACACCCACCGCATTCTTTCTGGTTCCATCCATAGCTGTCATGATAGTTTGTGAGAACTGCCCAAGTCATCAGATTGGATGCACCACATTAATTTTGGGTCGATCTGTAGCTGTCATGATAGTTTGTGTGGACTGCCCATGTCATCAGATTGGGTGCACCACATTAGTTTTGGATTAATCCTAGCTGTTATAATATTGGTAAGGACTGCCCAAGTCATCAGATTGGGTGCACCACATTACTTTTGGGTCGATCCGTAGCTATCATGATAGTTTGTGTGGACTACCCAAGTTATAAAATTGGATGCACCACATTAGTTTTGGATCGATTCATAGCTGTCATGATAGTTTGTGTGGAGCGCCCAAGTCATCACATTGGATGCACCGCATTAGTTTTGGGTCAATCCTAGCTGTTATGATATTTATAAGGACTGCACAAGTCATCAGATTGGATGCACCACATTAGTTTTGGTCGATCTGTAGCTATCATGATATTTATAAGGATTGCCCAAGTCATCAGACTGGGCTGACCACATTAGTTTTGAATCAACCCATAGCTGTCATAATAGTTGTAAGGACTGTCTAAGTCATTAAATTGGATTGACCACATTAGTTTTGGGTCGATCCGTAGGTGTTATGATGGTTTGTGTGCACTGCCCAAGTCATCAGATTGGATGCATCACATTAGTTTTGGGTCAATCCATAGCTATTATGATATTTATACAAGTCATCAGATTGGGTGCACCACATTCATTTTGGGTCAACACATAGCGGTCATGATAATCTGTAAATACTGTCCAAATCATTAAATTGGATTGACCACATTCATTTTGGATTGGCTCATAGCTATGAGGACAGTTCATGAGGACTATCCACATTATTAGATTGGATTGACCACATTAGTTTTGAGTTCATCCACAGCTACTAAAACAGTTTGCGACAACTATCCAACTCATTAAATTGCATTGACCACATTCATTTTGGATTCACCCATAGCTATTAACACAGTTTGTGAGGACCGTCCAAGTTATTAAATTGGACCAATCATATTAGTTTTGAGTTCACACACGGCTGTCATGATAGGCTGTGAGGACTGTCCATCAATTTTAGTGGGTCCACATCTAACTGTTATAATGGTCTGTCCAAAGATTATAGATGAATGCATCAATGCGGACATTTGCAACCATTCATTTATATTATTAAATGTCACTAAAAGTTCATTAATTATGCTTTTCATGACACAGATTTGCCTGATTAGGACATACTCTTTGCAAGGGGAACAGATGTATCAAGTATCAATTTCTTCAGAACATTCTATCTACTAAAACACAGTGTAGATAAACAGAAATAGCAAATGGTTCAAGAAAATATTTACATCACATTATGCAGATGACCATATCAAGAAATGACGAAGTAAATGAAAATCAGACATTCCTCTGCTTGCGCTTGCACCTCCATGGCTCAACGTCATCCAACGACTGGCACTGCTCATAATCATCAGCCTGTCGTAGTTGCTCGAAGTCCTCCGGAATATATCCATGGTAATTGCCGTCAAAGAGTCAATCACCATAGTCATCACCACGATATTGCCGACTAGGACCCATGATGGCATTCTCACGCTGGTGGCTCTGTTCTGCATAGCCTCCGCGATAGATATCACCATAGACAGATGCTCCACATGAATAGTATGCACCTGAATGAGCACCAGTGTTGTCGACAGCCAAATGCCAGTCCATGTGGTCATCGTGGTAGGGCATGAACTGAGGAGGGCCATGGTCAAGCTGAGAGCCACCGCGCTGAAGGAAGAGTGGGTGAGGAGGCCAGAAGCTATGGAGACTGTTGCCACCATGCTGAGATGTGAGCCTCTCAATCTCTGAGCTCAACATGTCTCGGCATTGTCCTCCAACCCGCTCTCTTTCAGCCTCTGCTTGCGGGTGGAAGGTTGCTCCACCACGACATTGACCAGTGCCACGAGAGCATTCCAGTTGCTGTGCATGAATGTCATCGTCTATTGAACTGTCGTCATCCATTGAAATGTCATCGCTCATGTCATTCTTGCGCTTCTTCATGGAGCGCAATGTGGGTGTGTTAGGAAAATCAATGGCATCGCAGGGCGAGTGACTGCAGTGGGGGCTCTAGTTGGCAATGGAATCACATCACTCTCCTCCTCTGTCTCTGCAGCAGGTGCTCTTGAGGCCTTCTTACTCTGCTTTGCCTTGGATGTGTTCAGCTTTGCCATGTCAACAGACTTGAGCCACTCGGTAAAATCACGAAGAACTTTGTATTTTGTGCCACTTGCACCCACCACCAGGCTGATGTCGGGCTTATGGATGTCGGCATCAGGCATATTAATATCCGCTATGCTAAAAGCGTCAGCATTATTTGCATTCTACAAAAAAATGGCTCACCTTCACTCCATGAGACAATGCGTGGGATTGGAAGGTCTGTTTTCCCTGTCAGCTGCTGCTCAATAAATCTCGCAGTGAGTATGCACAGTGGTTTGGTCTTGATGTCCCTAAATTCTAAGTCCGCGCCACCCAGGACAGGTTGCATGCTGTTCGGCCAGTCAATGATTGCAACCTTGAGGCGGTAAGTGACATTTGCCCAGTTCTTCCAATGTATACGCTGGCAATTGATGTCGTCAAACTCATCTACACAATACCAGATGATTAGTAGCGCACCATAAACAAGTGGAGAGACTTATGCATGCTCGACTGCATCATCGCAGTGAACACGTGACAATCGCGATCATGTTTGGTTTCCTTGTCACCACAGTTGACATTGATCACATGCAGCATTGGCACATTGAGTCCTGTCTGGCTATAGCTAAAAGCTCTGCGTACGCTGTCAGAACAGCTTCCATAGTATGATCAAGCTTACTTACTTGATATCAGTCATTACAACATCAAGGAAATATTGTACATTAACTTGGTTCTTCCGAATGAGTGTCTTGACTACATCAGAACCACCGAAGATGGTGGAGAGTTGTTTTGCTGTGGCGTCAGTTCCGGTATAAATGACGGCCTCAAACACTTCAATGTCCTCGAGATTATGATAGTATCCTGCCGACGCCGCGAGCTGATCGTGAGCATTGATCATCCTTGATGTGACCGACTTCAGGGATCGACAAGCATCACCAGAATTCTTTTTGAGCATGTCACAGTACTCCAGCATTGGCCTGAGGGCAACCGCATGAGCGGCGTGGTCTTTGCGGTCGATACCATGCAGAAGCTCATGATAGGCGAGGTTCATCTCATTATTGTACTGCACTAACGTCACTGTATCGCATGTCAGACATGTGAAGTACATCAACATATATCATTACTCACCTCCTGGGGCCTTTGGATGATGGTACGAGTACCACGTACAGAACTTGTTGGCAGGGTTCGCGCACGTGCAGTCTTGATGCCAAGTCCAGCTTGGACGAGTATATCGGGTACCTTCTTGTCATACTTGTGCACAATCTGCATGGCCCGCTCCATCGTATCATGACCAAGACATAGCACTTTATCCTTGGCAGCAGTTGAGAAGGGGCCCGGTATGTTCTCCCACAAGTCATCATCACCTTTGTCTTGCTCGACGCCTTCATCCGGTGCACCGCCTTCATCCTGTTCATCAACTTCATCCTGCATGCTACCTTCATCCTGCTCCTCACTTTTGTCCTGCTCCTCGCTTTCACCCTGCTCACCAGCTTCATCCTGCTTGCCGTCTTCGTCCTGCTCACCGTCTTCATCCTGCTCACTGTCTTTGTCCTGCTTGCTGTCTTCGTCCTGCTCACCATCTTTATCCTCGACCATCAACGACTCAGGCACGATGTCATCTTGCAGCTCCTCGTCGATGTCGAGGTCTTTCTCATCGGTATCCAGAGCATTCTGACCACTTCTATGCATGTGAGTCCTGCGCTTTGTCCGCTTCGCTTGGTGGGATTCATTGTCCTCGCTGCTGAAGTAATATGATGAGAGAACATTCAGGGCAAGGTGAGCATATACTTTAACAACATTGAGGCCAAACATACTATCTATCAGGCCAGTGGCCTCACTCTGAGCATCACGCATTGCGATGTTATCGTCATTGTCGAAGAGCGTGGACGCGTGACCGATATTGCTGGAGAAAGTTGTTTGTGCCTTGCGTTTCATCAATGTTCTGTCATCTGGCATGTTGTTGATGATGACATGGATACCCTTGCTCTTTATATGTGAGTCGATCAGCCAGCGCATTAGATTCTCATCATATTGAACTTACGTTTCACACAGTTTCCACGGTCCCTTCGCCCTGAGCGGCATCGTCACCACGGTCATCAAACTCGGCCTCCTCCCCTTCACCTTCAGCCTCGCACCATTCACCTTCAGCTTCGCGCTCCTTGCCTCGAGCAGCACCGTCACTGCGGTCATCAAACTCGACCTCCTCCTGTTCACCTTCAGCCTCACAGTCTTCATCTTCAGCCTCACGGTGCCCGTGCCCATTGCGGTTGACGGCGATGCTTTCATGGTTGTGTGCAGAGTCATCATTGTTCTCGCTGGCATCAACTCTGCTGCTGGGTTCTTGGTTTGCACTGGCAGGGACCTCGTCATTGGCCAGCTCACCAGAGACATTATGGATCTGGATGTATGAAGGTGAGCATCTGATGCTCGAGTCAGATCAAAGTTACTCACCTTCCTATTATGACGAACCTGGTGTTGCATTGGCTTGCATCGCACTGTCTGACTCTCGGCATTCAATGATAACTGCAGGGTAAGGTAAAGGTATGTTAGGATGAGACACAGAAGATGGGGACAAGGTGATTGACATACCTCTGTGGCAGCATCGCCACCATCTTCGAGCATGTCATCCTCAACATTACCATTGCTGACCATCGCCTCCGACGCAATGTCCTCCGTATCGTGTTGTATGACATTTTTTCCCTTTCATCGCTTGTTGGCCTGATGGCCCTACCAAAGGTGTGTCATTGCATGTATCAATGTGCAATGTGGCTCATGATGTACCTTTTAAATGCCCTCTTCACGTGCCATTGCATCGTTCCCTCTCTTCCGTGTCTCTGACTCCTGCACATAATTCAGTGAGGCTTCAAGCAGATGATGGACACCCCATACCTTCACGTGAGCACTGTGCATTTTTCTGCCTTCTAAAACTTCATGTGTGGCTTGTTCTGGTGAGTGTTCATTGCCGTGGGAGCAAAGTCATCAAGGAACTTCAGCATGGGGCTCAACAGCCTTCAGCGGGGGAGCTCTTCCACAGGGCATGATAAAGAAATGACAGAGGGAGCCAGAGGGAGAGGGAGAGCGAGTGGGCTGAGAGCGATAGTGATAGCGAGAATGAGAGCGAGTAACGTCATGTTGAAGACGATGGAGTTCTGCATTCTTTTATTAAAAAAAGGTCAGAATGAGGGAAAGAATATCCTCAAAATGTTCATACCGCTACGTCTTTTCAGCTCTTTGCACTGCAAATGAACTGAAACTACCTAAGATGGGTTTATGAGATGAAGATTTGAGAGAGGCAGACACAACTTACGCAAAGAAAGGCACCACCGGTGAAGGTCATGCTGCGAACTCACTGAATTGTGATCTCCCCGATTTGTGTAACTGTGCTCGATTTCATTGGGGAACCTGAGCTTGGGAAGTCCTACCACACACCAGAAGAAGTGATCCAATTATGCGAAACATGAGAGGGGCTGAACATTCTGAAATGATGAGAGAAACAAGCATTAGATCTGTGCAACCTATCCAAAACTGCGTAGATGGAGAGCCATCACAGATACAACATCTGTGTGAGATAAGAGCAAATGACACGAGTTGGGAAGACCATGGAGAGTCTGAAGACATTGAGAGTCGCCATCCAATCACGCATGCAGCAACTCGTCACAACACTGTGTCATGACAATTAACGAGGTTAAAGAACACCACAAAAAGCTAGCGACACATACTTTGACTGTCTTGCGACACCATCGACTTGATAAAGACAGTGCAATTGCATGCGGAGTGCATATGCTGTGTTTTGCAATGTCTTCATCGTCCGCCATGGGAAGTCCCAATTGACCATGGGAATAATGCTGTGCCACATGCCACAATGCCTCACGTCTAAGCTGTGCTCACCGTCATCGCCATGCTCTGGCGAGTCAAACCCGAGGAGAGTTGTCATTGGTGAGTTGCCTTCTCTTATCATCTGTTTCAATGCTCACGAGTCTTTTCTGACCACATTTCAGGTAAACTGTTCTTTCCTGCGCACAACATCCTGCTCACATCTAAGTCGTGCTTGCCACTGCCGCTGACTTCTGTGGAGATCAACATCTCCCTGCTCTGGCCAGTCAAATCTGGGAGAGAGCTTGCAATTGGAGTTATTTGCTGGTGAGTATGCTTATCTTACCGTCTGTTGCAAGGCTCACAAATTTTTTTCCTGCCTGTAAAGGCCACGTGTCATGCACACTGTCCTTCCCTTTGCACAATGTCGTCCTTCCTGTCTCGCATCTAAGTCGCACTCACCATCATCACGTTTGCTGTTTCTGTGCTTGCATAATGTTCTCAGTATGTCATTCCAGCACCCTAAGGTGTACTACCGAAACCCTCGCCCAGCTAAGAAAAGCACGACGACAATTTATCCTATGCCCTCCGCACTACCATCTTGTTCTGGCTCACCCTCGAAGCGAGTTGATGGTTCATCTGATTCAGTTGTCCCATCAAAGCATAGCATGGATGACAATGACCCTGCGAACACCCACTTGATCGAGCTGTCACTCATGCGTAAGACTCGACATCCCAATGGTCTCAAAACCTTATTATTGTCTGGCTCAGAGACAGTCTTAACCCTACCCAGTCATATCTGCTACACTCAAGCAGACCTCGGATATGGACACTGAGTGCACCATGATCCGAGACCATCATCGCCAGTGCGCTCTCTTTCGCCTTCCACCCATGATACCTTTGGCAGTCTCGCAGAACTTCCTGGGCATGACTTCATGTTCAATGCAGTCCACATCACTCATCTTCAGGAATCCCCTGATCTTCGACATGCACATGAACTGTGGAAGAAAGAGCGGCAATGGCAGCGATGGGCAACAGAAACAATATCGTCGCTTATTCAGCCAAATCTCAAACTTCTCCGTCAAACATGCTCCCTGCGACATATCGACTGCCATCTCGACAAGTTTTGCAGCTGTGGTGGCCTCCACATCAGAAAGGTGGACATTGTTTGCATTTTTATTAACGTGAGTATGGTTCATGAACGTTCGTGCACTGGTGACTGACATTTCATCAGATCTTGAGAAAATTTCAATCAACGCCTGCATATGCTCTCCGGTGGCCCTGTAACTCATTTTGCATGGACTGTTTCCATGTGCACCACAAGTTCTGACCCTCGCAGTAGACGTGAACTTGCTTCACTTCGTTCAGAAGCTGTTCGTGAGGCTTTCTCCAAACAATAGCGCATTCTGCACGACATTGGAGGCTTTTCTTGGGGAACACAATTATAAGCTGTCTACGAAGGTGTGTGCGAGCTTCAATCAGTCTTAGTTTTCAGATACCTTACTAATTGAAGTAGGAGTCATTGCAGCGCTGCTTCAGCAATGCGCTCCTTTGATACTCAAACCTGATCAATGCAACAAGTCGCACTATTCAATCACGCATTGAGGCCTCTTGCGTGAACCTCCTCAATATGGTGTCATCCCATGAACAGTCTTGTAATTTGGCAGGTTCGTCAAATCGTCGTACATCCCCTCTTCCTTATTGTCATTAGCTCGTGTTGATGTCATAATTTACAGAAACTTCACCTTCATTACAAAGCAGTGGAGAAACCAGTGCGGCATCCATGGCAGAATGCTGTGAGGCCAATTGCGGCTATGAAGTTGATCGGTCCTCTTCTGAGGAACCTCCTGCCAAGGATGACCGGTCGAGGCCCAGCAAGTATCTCAGAGCGCGATGCCCTCTGTGCTTTGGAGGCTCGTACTCATACAGGGAAGATGGCATGTGCGTGTTTTTATGGTGACCAATTGGCTCTTACTGATAGATTGTCGTGTTCAGGCCTAACTTTCTCGTCTGTCTGAATGCGTGCTTTACCCAGAAGTGCAGAAAGGGCAAAGGCAATGAACGCGATCTTCCCAGGTGACACCCTGACAGTGTCTTCATTTCTCATGAAGATGTGCAGGAGATGAAAGATTATGTAGAGGAACGTCGTCCATCTCGCCCAGGTCGCAAGAACAAAAATTGAACTGCGCCAGCCACAGCATCAGCCAGTGGCGATGATGACAGTTACGAGGGGATGCTTAAGATTCCGAAGTCTGTCCTAGATGGCTGTCAAGACTCCTTCCTCACCGCAGATGAGAAGAGGGAGAAGGCAAGCACACAGTTTTTCGTGGACACTGGGCTAATGGCACTTCTCTGTCGTCATGACCGCGTACTTTGGCTTGTCAATATGACTTCAGCGGGTGAACGGCAACATTATGTGCTCACGTTGATTCAACATCTCTTTGAACACTTATCTATCTCGGCAGTCATAGGTGTGCTGTACGACATTGCCTGCCAGCTTTACCAAAGTTGTGTGAAGTGGGGCTTCCTGCAGGACTTTTCCGATCGCATTTTGTTTGTGATCTCGATATTCCATGCCTACGGTCATCAGTGGCCCTGCCAGGTCATATATCATCCACAAAAATGTGTCGGATTCAGCCTAACGGATGGAGAGGGCTGCGAGCACTTCTGGAGCACAATCAAAATTCTCATACCGAGCCTGCGCATATCAGGGGTAAGCATATCTGTTAGTGCAGTATCCGAGACCTAATGCATGCTGTCAGTATCACCAATGGCTGTTCACCATCGACATCCAAGTGAAGCACTTGGATGAGCAGTCGCTTCAATCGCTTGGGCATTGGCTTGGAAGGAAGTGGGCCAGTTGTCGATCAAAAAGGACAGCTGCTGAGGAAGAACTTGACAAGTGTGAAGTCCGAACGGATATACTGCGCAAGCAATGGGCAAAGCAGATAAAGCAGCAGACAAGGCCAATGCTGGGTAAGCATTTCTGCCTCTCTCGCTGACAATGATGACAAACAAGCTCTATACAATTAAAATGATCGAGAACATAATCGCGCTGCAGAAGGTCCTTGACAATCACAAAGCCACCGTGTGTGAGCTCGAACAGCAGCTCATGGGGGATATCGACCTGCTTACAATCAGTGAACTCAATGTGCAATTAGACGAAGCACGGGACAAGCATACCATGGTCACACAAGCCATTACGCGTAAGAAAGCTGTCCTCGGCATTGATGATCGCGTAAGGCTTGCCGCGCTTGCTAACAACTCAATTCTGTGGATTCGCATGAATGCGCACGCTCTGAAGTTGCACATACATGAATGTTTATGGCAACAAAAGTTCGAACTCAAATGGTTAGAACATTCATACCAACAGACTGTCAACAGTGAGTCCTCTTTATGAATCACATTCTTCTGCTGAATCTCTCACAGATAGAAAGCTGACAAGTCACACGGAGTCTGCAGTCAAGCGTCGAGAGTCTGGTATCTTAAAGCTCATGAAGATATACAATAAGCTGTGCAAGGACCTCTCTGACTTAACGAAAGGTTGTCGAGCCCCTCGTTTTGCCATAGCCCCTCGCCCAATTGAAACAAATGCTCTATTTAAGCTTGATGTCGATGATGATATATGGCAGGATATTGGCCTGGATGATGAAGTCGAAAGCAGCCCAGTCCCACCTTGGCTCGGTGACGAGAAGGTACGTGTTGATATCAAGAATCTTCTATTAGTGGACCGCTGCAAGGAGGAGGAGGCGAGATTGTGGAAGGAATGCTGTGCAATGCAGGAATGGTTGATGGAGGAGTGGAATTGCCTGGAGCATGCATCGGGTGATGCTGGTGAGTTTTTTCAGTGTCTTTTTGCAACTTTTTCATTGCATTGCTGCACAGGAGATGACAAGGACCTCAAATACCAGCTCGATCTCTGGCGTTGTCATCTGTGCAACCTATGCATGACATGGCAGGGGCAGGTGCACTCCATACCATGTGCGCATGAGATGCCAGCCTTCTAGGGTCCCTCACAAGAACAACTTCATGATGCCACTGTGTACCAAGTCACTGAGGCATGGGATGAGATCAACGATGATAGCACCACTAAAGAATGACAGCATGAAGTGACAACAGAGGATGTCGATGATGAAGAATATGATTTCAACTCGTCAGAGGCTGATGAAGAGGAGGTCGAATTGTTGGATGCAGTCGAGGACATTGCATTCACTGATATGTATTGAATGTCCAATCATTTGGGTGAGATTAATGACCTTTTTTCCCTTCTATAAGCTTTTTTTAAGGCCATAGTGGCAGTCCATGCAAATCTTGTCTCTTGTCGACTTACAGTGTACATGCATTGTTTTGTCTGTGAAATTGTAGAACATTAATTAATTTTCTCTAATAATTAAGATGCAAATGATCAGTTCAGGATATACTTTTAGTTCAGTTTATCTGCAGCTGAAATTGTGCAGGAAAATCATCAACCTTCTGTATGATGGACACCTCTATGTAGGCCATAAGCTAGATAGAGATTGAGATTTAGTTAAATAATTCAGCCTTTCATATTATATGTTAATGCACACAAATCTGAGGGAACAATGATATGGACAGTCCTTTCATGCATATGGACTGCCCATGTGGAACTCATGAACATGTTCATAACAGCTGGGTGTTGACCTATTGAGCATATAATCAGTCCAATCTCATAATGTGAACAGTCCTCACAAAGCATGGTCAATCCAATTTAATAATGTGGACAGTTCTTACAGACTATCACGACAGCTATGTATTGACCCAAAACTAATGTGATCAATTCAATTGAATAATCTGGGCAGTCCTCGCAAACTGTCTTAACAGCTATGGGTGAATCTAAAATGAATGCAGTCAATCCAATTTAATGACTTGGACAGTGCTTATAAATATCATGACAGCTACGAATTGACCTAAAACTAATGTGGTGCATCCAATCTGATGACTTGGGCAGTCCACACAAACTATCATGACAGCTATGAATCAACTCAAAACTAATGTGGTGCACTCAATCTGATGACTTGGGCAGTGCTTATAAATATCATGACAGCTAGGATTGACCTAAAACTAATGTGGTGCACCCAATCTGATGACTTGGACGGTCCACACAAACTATCATGACAGCTACAGATTGACCCAAAATTAATGTGGTGCATCCAATCCGATGACTTGGGCAGTTCTCACAAACTATCATGACAGCTATGGATTGAACCAGAAAGAATGTGGTGGGTGTCCTCTGATCTTCTTCTTAGATGTACTAGTACATTAGACTATGTAATCTCAAGTAATGGTTCAAAAATGCCTTGCCCTTGCATAGTATGCACAAAATTCAAGCCCAGGATTTGACAAAAATTGGCAGCTAATATTGCTGCAAATGGCCCATTTGGTACTGCCCAAATGACCCCCTGACACCACGTGACAACACTGATCATTGGGAACATCCCATGAAAAAGCCAGTAACAGCCCAAATGTCACACTCAAAAATGGTTATAATGGTCACACCAGTATGACCATGCACAATCCCAACTATGGTACCTCCCAAAAGACCCACCAAGTGCCCAAATGTATGGACATACCACCCCTGAGAAAGCTCTTAGCTTGAACCACCATAGTGAAATAGTTCAAGCTAACAGCTTGAGATGAGGGGGGACCTGAAGTGCACTCAGCTTTTGGGGGCTCAGCTCGGCCTGGCTTACAGCTTGAGGCCGAACCTGGCACATCACTACCTGCTGCATGCCCTCAGACTGAAAGAGGTCTCCATCTTGCCGTGCATCGCAGGAAAACTGGTGCTACCATGAGTTGAGAGTGGCTATGCCTGGCACCTGCATAGCGGGTTAAAAATATGAGTCTACGACAAGATGAGTACAGGGTGATGTATATACTGAAAAAGGACTCACATTGAATAACAAAAGTCTTTGTTTCGCCAGCGCTAACTCCAGCCCCGTCTAGGAAGCCAATGCGATTATGGGCGAGTGCCATCACCAGGTTCAAATGACTCGATCCATAAGGAGACCCGCTCGACGTCTACCCAAGAGAGTGCACTCAAATTTGTTGTCGTCAATGCGCCCATGTCCAGGTAGTATGACGAATCAGTTGGTGTCATGGTTCAGGATGGTGGTGAAGTCAGATGAGCTGAAGGAGCTGGTGGTGATTGACTGCATAGACCACAACTTGGTGACTGCATCGTAGATGTAAACAGACGATGTGTCATCAGACTAGGCATTCATAACATAAATGGTCTTGTAGAACTGTGCAAGGTAGCACGTAGTGTTTGTGCCGTCAGATGAGCTACATGAAACATAGTATAAAGGCTCACGAGTATCCAGATGTAGTAAGGGAGCCCATCGCAGTGCCTGGAAAGTACAAGTGTAAGTAGAGCATTCACGTTATAGCTCGATCACCGTGGCGGCAGAACCTACCTCGCCGAGGTTCTGAGAATACGAAAGCGACGACTCCAAACGCGACGATTGACGCTGTCTCTGTCATGCCGAGGCATACAAGCAACTAACGGTCGCATTCACGGGTTCCGATACGTCGGACGATTTCTATCTGCTCATCCCTATGGTTGATGCTGGTTCCTCCAAAGCGGATAACACGCAAGCAAAAGATCGGCGCTTCCATAGTCACGTTGCTCGCCACTCGCACTGACCGCTGTATAGTTGGAACAGGCTGTTGGCTCTGCTGTCAGAGCCTCTCATTAGCATTCGGGAATGAGTAAATTAACGTAGACCTTACCTGACTATCGATCGCCACAAATATCCTTGCCAGTGACATTTCATCGACGAAATTGATTAAGGATGCACAGCAAGGAGAACATCGATAGCATTGCGATAACCTGTCCAAGAATACAAAATCTGATCATCCAACTTCGTTACGCAGTAAGCGTGTTCGTAAGGTATCATTACTATACCCGCGCAACCGCTGCGGGCTCCCATCTGTGATCGCACATGCATTCAGCATAAAGCATCCACGAAAGATGGAGATCGAACACTCACACACAGCACGCGCCACCGCAACCAAGAACTACTCTCCAACGATTCTACCACGTCATCCGCATCAGCACTGATCCTCCTGTACTAGAGCAAACGCATTCACTCACCCAACCGCCCCCATCGCAGCCACACCCGCCAGCAGTGCACACAGCGCGAGAGCCTGCCGGCTGACACTAGAGCGCCACAGATGTGGGTCGAGCACAAAATCACCCGCGAGCATCTCAACGCACGCCGCATATATGAGCATTCCCGCCGAAAGCGCGGACATCACGCCCGTGAGCAGTACTACTTTTACTGGAGGTCAAACGCAGAATCAGACCGAGACCAAGAAGATAACAAGACAGGGACACGCACCTCCTTCGCTTTCGCCAGGCCCGAACACCGCCAGCCCGATGGCGATCCCCACGGGCGTCGTGACCGCGAACATAAGTGCCAACGCAGGCTTGAGCACCCGTTCTAGCCAGCGCGCTCGCTCGTGTTGCTTCTCTGCCCGCCCGAACAAAGACAATCAGTGAGACCCAGAAGAAAGCCGAAGATAGAAACGCGTACCATCCCCTGCGGGTAGCGTCGCGATCCGGATTCCGAGCGAGAGGCCCTCAAACAGTTGGTGAAACATGATCGCCGTGACCAGAGACGCTAGCGGGGGCTGATCAGCTCGATGTGTCGGAGAGAAGGCGGTAATGGACACGCACTGAATTCGGGGCCTGAGGTAATCGCGAGTGTGAGCCCGATGACGAGCGAGTGTAGCATGATGCCCACCTCGAGCATCTACCTCCGCAAACCCGCCATCAACCTGAGCACTCCGGACGAGATGAGAAGGACGACACACCAAAATGCCCACCACCTGCCTCCGCCATCCGATCCGCCCTTGAGCCGCGTCCTTGTCCCCATTCCCACTCTCAGCCTCCGCTCCTCTATCTTCATGCTCATGCATGCCCCGGTCCCCGCCCCATGATTCCATGTCCATATGCAAATGCCCGTGAGCATGCACATGCTTCGTGCCATGCCCGTGCGCATGCCGACGCTCATGCTCCCGCATAGCGCTCGCACCGGACGACGTGCGGCTCTCTCTACTCTTTCCATTTCCATTTGCCACCCTACAGTCACTGGACCCTGACTCTAAACCTGCGTCGTCCCCGCCGAGCCCAAACCAGCCTCTCCATCCTCCCTTGGCACACGCATGGTGCTCCGCATGAGACCCGCGCTGTTCGTGCCGATGGTGCCCACCCATGAAAATCTCATCTCCTGGACGATTCGGCTCGATGGTCATTGCCGGGGGATGCGGGGGATGCGTCGAACGCGGGAATGTATGTGCGTACCCGACCGGGCGTGGGCGGCCGTTCGCGTTGGTGCCGTACTTGACGGGTGGTGCAGGATTTCGGGAGGATACAACGAGGGGCGTGGCCTCATCTACCTCCGCCTCCCTATCCTCGTCCTCGTCCACCTCTTGCTCAGACTCGGGTGACGCGAGCGCGAGAGGTACACCGGAAAGGTGGCTCGCTCCGCCTTCCTCGTCCTCTTCGTCTTCTTTTCGTCCCTGCCGATCGTTCGGCGTCCCATTCAAACGCTCGGGGAGCTGGGTTGGAGAGATGGTAGGTGAGGATGCGGGAGAGAGCGAGGGCGTAGAGCATGGCGAAGGAGGCGCAGAGGCATACGACTGGAGGCGGTCGACGTACGAGGTAGCGATATCTGCAATGATAGACAAGACTTTAATGAGGAGGACGAAGGCGGAAGGAGCAGGTTGGGAACGTACATTCGACGAGAAAGATAAGGAGTAGGGAGCTCAGCCTGTGCAGATAGTCGTATCGATACATCATGAACAGAGAAGACAGATAAAACTTACACAATCATCCCTACCCACTTTGACACGCCATACCTCTCCTGCACCTCGGGGCTCATCAAGGCCTGGAACGCGTCCTGAAGGAGGTGCACAAAGGCAGTCGCCAGAATGATGCCTGTGCCAAAGTGCTTTCCAACGAAGAAGACGACGCCCGGGATGCGGATGCCGGGGATGCGGCGCGAGAGAGCAGGAAAGCATGATGCTGCCAGGGAGTCTAGTCAACAACTCTGTGTAAAAAACCGAATGAAGGCTATACGCACCGAAAAGAGAGACAAGGAAGACAGCAAACATGAGCCACACACGCGTGTGCACCCATTGCGTCGCTAAGATCGCTTCGCCTGACACCGTCCAGGCGCCGGATGACTGAGTTGGATAGTCGCTCGAGCCGTCGAAGGCAGTCCCTCTCTCTAGCCGTCGGAGAGGCCAGCCATAGGCATGAGGACGGGACGTATAGATTAATGTCATGGAATGTGAGATGGCTGTGGGGCAGATACGGTCCGAAGTCGGCCCTGTAATAAATACGGTCAGCTGAGACAGTGATGCTCATAAAATGTATTGAGACATACCAGTGTCGCACGGTATTTTTCTGCTACAGGTCCAATTAGATAGCGTACCCTCAAGTGTTTGAGAGACGAGCGGTGAAGGAAGGGGATGGGGGGCGACTTGGAATAGATGTTGAAGGGGGAGGACGGGGACAGTGAGGACCACACCGGTCACCTAGGACAGATTTGCTTACATAACTGGAGGGATATTTCGGGTACCAATCGAATCGACTGTAATTGCCGGAGTTGTGGCCAGCAGCGCTGAGCATATCCATACTGGTCGCCTCTTCTTCTCCTGAATTCTCCTAATGAATGTCCAGTGAGATTCTCGTGGGTAATTCCAATAGCTTGTTGATGCATGGCAGAGACGTTTGACAGATCGATGACAGCCAGGATAAGTATCCTCTGAGTTTGATAAGTCCCGGGTTCGTCCCTCAGAGGCTCAGTCGGGCGACAAGCAGGCCATATAGCTTGGAAAGGAAATCAGACGGTGAGAAGCTCGTTCTATGTGTGTCACCGACCGAGAGAACGACTGACACGTTGTGCACAGAGGAAGTAGTGAAGCAACCAAGGGAGTGCATCCGAACAGTCAGCGCAAACTGATTGGATGCATTCGACAATTTAGGTGCTGAGCCAAGGCATTCGACGACTAGGCTATTAGAACTAGTACACTCGGAGTTCGATCAAGTCCAGATGCTGCAAGTAATGGGCGATACGCAGGCCGCATGAAACCGTCAGCGAGAGAGAAGAGTGCTGGGCCAATGAACCCAAGCATGCGGGCGGACTGAGTGCAGGGTCGGGGGGAAAAGGGTCAGCGCATTCGACGGCGAGAGGGTCCTCATGTGCACGAGACTGACAGCGACAAGCACCTTCGAGAGACGTCATGCTCCGAATAGCCCAAGTTGTGACGCATACATGCATGAAGCCATTGAAGCAATCAGAAGTAGCGCATCCAAAAACAATCCAATGCATACATGCCAGCAAGCGCACGATCTGGACGACGGCTGCCCGAAATTCGCGCAGTTATTTGGCTGGTAAGCAATCGCGTGATCTCTGCTGAGGCTTGAGAGTGCACCTGCTAAGTAGTCACGTAACACCAGGTGCACTGGTACCACGTCCCTTCTCGCCTCCTGCCGTTCACCCGTAAATACATGCAGCTCGACATCTATGGCGCGGCAATGACCATATCCCAGCCGCCACTACCTCGTCATATGCCGCTCGCATCTCTTCACCATCTTCCTTTCGATCTGACAGAGCAGCACGGCTGACAGACGTCCTATACAGAGACGGCGTAGCAGGATCATCTGTGCGGCGTTGGAGTAGAAGCGGACAGTCGAAAACGAATCCTGCTATACCGTACGGCGGAGACGGGGGTGGAATGCCACGAATGACGCATGTGTGACCAGACGCGTCAGAACGCGCATACATACTCCAGCGCGTGACTGAGCGCATCTGCTGTTTTGCTGGCTGTATGGCTGTATGTGTCTTGGATTAATCTGTACAACTCGCCGAAGCTCTCTGAACAATGACGGACATGCTTTATGAAATTCAGGGCCTTAACGTGTCCCTCAAGTCCAGAAGAAATGGCCACCCGAGGCTCCGAAGATTCACCGCGGGTACGTGTCTAGTGTCATTCAACGAAAATGACGTCTATTATATGCTGTTATACCGTCCAACCTCCAACCTCCGGATACAGATGATGTTAGTGCGAATCGTGATGAGTGTAGCGATCGTAACGTCGTCGTAGGCGCCGCCTATCCAAAAAGAAAAGACAACCCAGCACCGAGCGGTGCGACCGCAACCTGGGGAAACAATAGCAGGGGGTCGCAGAATATGTTGAGAAAAATGCAGATGACAGGAAAACGATATCGTGAGTTCATGACCAGAAATGATGTATATGCGTTGTGGTGGTAGTGGTGAGGAGGCCGACAGAAAGGATGATGGAACGTCTGCGTGCGACTGGCCGCACATAGGATGATGAACGATAAGATGAAGAGACAGACAGAGCTCTTCATGCCTGATTGGCGGCGTCCGCCTGTGTCATCTCCTTGACGGGCGTTGGCATCGGCTTCGTCGGCGCATACTTTGACTTCTTCCTGATAATAGGCCCATACTTGAACAGCACGAACGGGATGGGCGCCATGAGCAGCGCGATGAATCCAAGAAGAGTCGACGCCCAGCGCGAGTTGAGCCGCTCAAACATCTGCGTAGCGAACATCGGGAAGCCGGCGCCGAAGCACGACCGCACGACGGTAAGCGAAGCGAGCGCGGACGCTGCGACGAAGAGGTACGCGTCGGCCACGTAGTTGAACAGCGCGAGGAAAATCCACACGATGCTCCATCCGAGCGGGTAGCCCGCGATGAGCGCCGCCCAGAGCGAAATGCTCGGGTACGACGTCCAGCCGAACCAGAAGAACGAGGCCATGAACATCGGCGCGGCAAACATCGCGACTTCGAGTCGTTTCTCGGGCGGCACGGGGTGCGGTGCGTGCTTTTTCTGCGAGCGCACGTACCGCGTGTTGAAGATGAGCGGGTACTACGTGAACACGTCTGTGCAGCCGCCCAGGAAGATCGGCAGGAACGTCAGACCGAAGATGCCCATGCTGAGGTGGTGCCCCTCCAAAAAGACGACGGGATACGCCTCGAACAGGAGGTACATGCAGCCGTACACGAACTGTGCACGACGTCAGCTGCCACGCAACAGAAAACGGGGTAGAAACGCACACACTCACACTCATGTACAAGGTGATGGCCATCAACATAGGTTCCCGGAAGAGAATGACGAACGGCCTTGCGAGAACATGCTTGATATGCTGCCTGATCGTTTTCTTCTGCTTGTTCATCGGAGCCCAGTACCGGTCATCCCCCGTCTCCTTGCGCAATCGCTCCGCCTTCCGTACCATGAGGACCGGCCTACACGATCACACATCAGTGACGGTGCTTCAGGAACGTGATGAGGACATACAGGAAGGTTTCCGGCAGCGTGAACACGATCAGGATCAGACAGGCGCCAGAAAAGAACGTCAGCAACCAATAAACCCATCGCCAGGAGACGCCCGAAACGCTCATGAAGCCAGAGACGATCGGTCCGAGCGTCGGTCCCGCGAACGGTGCGAGGGTGAAGAAAGCCATGGCCTCTCCTCGCGTGCCCGCATCCCAGATATCGGACAGCAGCGCACTGTGGTAGACAGTCAGGAATTAAAAGTATCAGTGATCATAGCTACCCACCCGCTGTTGGACAGTGGAGCTGCCGCAAAGGTACCACCGAGGAAACGGAAGACCAGGATTGACGCGGTATTTCGCGAGAGCGCGCAGCCCACTTGGAAGCAGACGTAGATCACGAAGGTAATGATGAAAATTATCCGCCGCCCGAACTGCTCTGATAGAGGCCCCCACAGCAGAGGACCAACACAGTAGCCCGCAACAAAGAGAGCGATTGTCAATGTTGCCACTTCTTCGCTGAACGTAAAGTAATCCATCATGTCATAGATGATTCCTTCCGGTATCGAACTCGCAAAGGTACTAAACGTGGACAAATGTTCAATGGCAATAGAAATAGATATATTTGAAACCATTGTTGCTCACGCATTCAGGACCAAAAACGCGCCAAGCATTGTCAGATACCACCGATACGGTCTTGACCAACTCCTTGGATGCTCAGGATCGCCCTCGGGGATGGTGACCTCATAAAAATCCCATCCCTTTTCGCCCGGGTGAGGACCGTAGGCTTCGCGCACAAACTCTGATTGGACCTCACTCTCTGCAAGCGGCTCTTCTTCGTCTGAGTTGGCCGTGATTGTAGGCGAGTGCGAGTCAGCGACAGGCTCGCTCGAGCTGGACCCGGCCACGCCTTCTTCCTCAACTCTTGGAAGGGCAGATGTCGGATTCGATCGAGTGGCCGCGATTGGGGACGAGGACTGGGATAGAGGCTGCATGGATATCGTAGTGAGGAAAGAGGAAGAGAAATACAACTTACAATGGGTCGCGAGACGAAACTCCACCGCTTGTTTTTGTAGCCAGTGCCTGGTGGACGCGGATGGATGGCCCGGCACCATATGATGGAAGCATAGTAGTCAGCATGGATGTGTAAAGGAGGCTAGCGTATCCACCAGATCATCTCGTCAATGTTACTCCGGTTAATTTCTTTGTCACGCACGTCTCATCGGAGTTGAGAAGACGGTCCATGCTGCGTTTGTATTTCTCAAGGCAACCACTCTTCGAACTGTTCAGTAGCACTTGCGCATGCGGTCTTCCGCCGCCACGAAGCACCCTATCATCGCGAGCCCTTCGAGTAAAATCCGCGGTACGGGCATTGCCGATACATCATCAGGAAGCGCAACCGAGACCGTTCTGAAATTTCCACACCGATGACCGTGGAAAGAATATCTGCGGCCGTAGCGCTGACGCAAGCTCTGCTTGATGATCCGTCCGTGTCATCTTTGATATACTTACAAAGGCCGCAGCTTCTAGCCTTGCGAGGATCGCACTATTTTCGGTAACCGATACCACAGCGCCGCTGGCAAAGGCAACGCGTTGCTCTTTGTATCACAAGTCATGCGCATGTAACATATATCGTGGGATTCGTGGCTAATGGACCATACGAATATAGGGACGAGCCACTTACAAGTGCTGCGAGCATCGCAGCAATATGCGATGGCTGGCAAAAGATCGGCATCAGTGGGCGGGCGGCGACCTCATTGATGCAGAAACATATCTGAGTTTCACACCATTCAAGTTGCTCCCGCGGCAAGCGCACGCAGTTTTGCGACTCCCGCCATCGCAAGCATTACGTCCAAAATTCCTCATAAAATCCCGACGTCTCGAGAATCATTCAAAAGCCAAAGTAATAGGTCGATATATGAACGGGAGAAAGACTCGTCACGGGCGCCGTTTGCATTAACGTCCCGATGATGCGCGACGACGTTGATGGGCGCCTGTCCACCTCAGCCACATATTAGCCACATCGGTGCCGTGTGTCGTGCTAACTGATAGCAACAACGCTCTCTTCGTTGCTTCACTACTATTGGTACTGTGTTGTCGTATCAATTGCTGGCTGCAGTCCTAGAATCATCATCTATGCAATATCTTCCGGTTGAAATTAAATATCGAATTGCCAGTCCTCGGATCTTGGATCCCCGGCGACTCAAGCTTGAGTATCTCGCCAAGCACGTATCGGATTTCCTTCTTCACGGGCACTGGCGACCATTTAAAACCCCAGCGGCCATGCGCCTGGAATATGTGCCTGTATCGGGCTGAAGCCTACTTTACGGTGCTACATATCAAAGTACTGTTGAGATCCTTTCTGCTTTCGGTACGTCGGTACGTTCATATCGTCATCACTCGTCCATATGCACACGGGCTGGCGGTTTACAAGACATAGATATTGTTCCTGCCACATGCAACCAAGACAACAGTACATAGGTATGACAACACATCTGGTATAGTTAGCGCTACAACGGATGAGACGAAAATAATCAAGAAATGACCGTCCGTTCAGTACAATCCGATACTAAGCCTCCCCGCTATGAAGCTCTCGCAAACGACATTCCTGCCCTCCGCTGCCGCTGCACATCCCTGATCACCTGCTGGAACCTCAGACTCCACCATGCCCTCTCCTCCCTCTCTCTCTCCTGGCCCACCTCATCCCGTTTCTCCTGAAACTGCATCGATGGGCTCTTCGGAAGCGGCATCCCACAGCTCACGATGGACTTCATCGCCTGGAAGGTGTCCTGGTGCAGGTCGCTGTTGATATCTAAGCCAGAGCTTCCGCCAGACGAGGAAGCGTAAGAAAAGCCGGCGAACGAAAGCGCGTGCGTGGTGTGCTCTTGACTCTGATGGAGCGCCGCGAGCCAATATTGGAAAGATTCCGGGTCTTCGTGTACGGTGGGGATGCTCACGGTGAGCTCGACGACGGGGACTGCTTGCGGGACGCTGCCAGTTCCCGCCTGGTCTGAGTTTAGCGGTAGGAGATCGAGGATCACGTTGCAGCTGTCTGATTATAACATTCATATCGTGCAATGTAGGAATGAGTAGATTGATCGTCACTTACTGGCATCCTCCTCCCGCTCCGTGACGTATAGGACCCTCGCTAACCCCACTTCCTCCAGCAACGCCCATTGATCCTCACACTCACCATCCTGCACCGCACCGCCCGTTCCTGCATGTGCCGGAGTCATAAACACGACCAAGTCGTCAAACACCAACGCCTGCAACGGCACTACATCCTCGCGCGGCCTTCCAAACGCATCAGACGCCGGTGTCAGTGGCGTCGCCTTCGACGACTCCGCCGTACTACGCGACCACAATGACAGCGACGACGACGCGGACGAGCTGATCGACCCAGGCCGCGCCCGCCGGACGTGCCAGTCGTGAATCGCCGACGCCAGCCGCGACATGCGCTGCGGGTCATCTCGCGGCCGTCCTGGCTTCCGCCTCCCTCCATCAATAGGCTTGCCGTTGATCTGCAGGGTAGGAGTCACCGGCGGACTGGGCTCCCTGTATGCATGCGGCTTTTCGTTGGAGGGAATGCGATGCAGAACGCCATGGTGGAGGAGCCGCCGCTCCCGTTTTGCCAGGCGAGCAGATTGAGGGATGCCCACTATCCGCGAAAAGATGTCTTTCACGAAGTCGTATTCCTCTTCCCGGATTCGGACTTCCTCTAAGACCTCGATCATTGTTCTGATGGAGGAGAGCAAGAAGACTGTCGGGAGGTGGTCGACATGGTGCTTTGGCGTGACGTCTAGGAGCCGCTGCTATCAGTCAGATTATTGCACCTTTGATGCAGTATAATATCGAATACCTCGAAGGTCTCGGGATATGTCCCCAGTCTATTCACGGGCTCCTGGAGCAGGTCCTCCAAGGTATGTCCGGACCACGCTTCTTCCTGCTGCCTCATCCGAACGTACTCCCCGAACTCATCCTGCGGATCGTCAATTCGCGTCGCCAACAACTCCTTCACCTCGTCTATCCTAGCGATGTATGGCTGATACACTTCCAATTTGGGCGCGATGGCAAGCAAATGTGCAGCAAATGCGTCGACGACCCCGCCCGTCTGCCAAGGCCTCGTCGCCGACTTCAGTACCCGCGCGACGCCGGCATGCAGGTTGACGATATCCTCGTACCAGTCAAATAGCCTGGAGATATCTGCTGGGACACCAGGAAGCCAGGACTTGGTGTCGTGGGATCGTAAAGGCAGGATGAACGATGCGACAACAGCGCGCGAATGCTTGACGAATGCTTTCTCTTCAATGAAGAGCTTGTATATCACCTCTTGCCGCTGCACCTCCATCGGCCCATAGCGCGACAGGAGCGCATTGAAAGTCGACAGATTAAGCATAGATCGCCAAGATGCCTTTATACTCGGCTCTGCTTTAGCTCTTGGTGAGGGCTCCCGTTCTACACGACTAGAATGAGCCTGTTGAGGTTCTGAGCGCGACTGGCGACGGCGGATAGTGTCATAATCTTCACACTGTCTGATCCTGCTGCTGTGCGCACCAGGCTGGACGGAGGACCCAGCACTGCCATCGGCGAGGACCTCGAATAGCGTATGGGCACCTTGACTCAATGCGTCCCTACCATTTTGCTCTTGCCAAATTTCACTAGTGCCAGAGAAATATCTGCTCATGCGTGGACGACTACCTGCCATCGAGTCGTCGCTGGCACTTCTTGATACGGAACCCCGACTGTCTGTAGTCTCCTCGGCCTCCTCTGAGCTTCCAGCGCCGTATGAGAGGGAACGAGGGATCCCGAATCCTTCTCTCTCCCGATCCGCTGCATTCTGACCCGCATATGAATCCAGCACGGACAGATCTGAGGAATCATCGCTCTGATGACTGAATTTTCCCGCAGCCACCTGTGGAGTCCTATCAGGTTCGATGTAACGCTTCGAGGTCCTTCTTGGTGAGGACTCTGTACGTGGACTGAGCTTCGGTGTCTGTCGCATGTCTGTCTGCGTTCGTCTCCTAGCATCGCTGGAGGCAGTATATGGAACCTCTATATTGTGATCGAAGGGCTGTGACCTTCGCCTCTGTCGCTCTGATGATACTACAGGTGCAGGAAGAGGAGAAGCAACGCGAGAAATTCTCTTGACAGACGCCTCCGTAGCCTCCTCATGACGTATGGAAGAACGATCTCCACGGTTGCGACCAGAAGAGGACGGGAGAGGTCCGGCTAGAGATTCTCGAGCCCATAAGTTTGTGGACGCTTGTTGACTGCTACATTCACCTTCGACCTCGTTCAAGCTCTCTTCGTCGCCTTCAGCCGAGTAGACAGACTCGTCGTCGTACCTACTTGACGTTCGGGAATATCGCTCCTCAACAATTGGAAGTAAGCTATGACCAGCATCGTCGACACCGTCAGGATGCAGTTCTTGCGAGACAGTGATGGCGATACCCTGCTCGTGGTAAGCACCGCTATCGCTCTGGCTGAGTACGCTCCTCCTGCCGTTCGCTGGATACGATTCATAATCAACATGGAGGTTATGAACGATGCCCATCAATGCTTCTCGCTGCCTAGTTTTCTCCGTCTCTTCGCGGTGTTCTGAGAAGCTCCCACGTATTGTGTCGAATGCAGATGGAACTGTTTTGTATTGATCTGCAAGCGCTTCCTCTTCCGCAGGACTGTCTATTGCTGAGTCAGAGCCTCGAGATTCCTGATCGTCAGGCTCGTCGTAGACACTATGTTCGTCGCTTTCGTCGGTCTCTGTGCCGTACGGATTTTCTTCCTCGTTCGGATGTAAGTGAAAACCCAGACCTACAGGCATCTGCTGTGTCGCCGCCTGAGTCCTGTTGTAACGGTCGCGTAGTTGCATTGCGACTGACTGGCGCCCCAGATCCCGGAGTGCAGTGGACGCAGCACGGCCTCTTGATCCCGTTCCGTACGGTTGATGCATGCGCCGGCGGCCTCGATCGTCGTTCTCATTGTCAAAAATTTCATGCAGGCCTTGCGAACGGTGTGGCACGGACGGTCGTGGAACATACGATATTGTCTTCTCTATGTCAGAGGTACTATCACTAGCTGAAGCAGACGTGTGGCTTGGCCGAGGAATGTTGGAGCGTGCCCTCAACGGGGACTGTGTTGCAACGACTAACTTAGGCGTACCATGGGGGATTTTGGACCGCGGGGTCCCGGACGATAGCAAAGGCGCGACTAAATTAGGTTTAGCAATTGATTCACCATTTGGACGCGGTAGTAGACTTTTGGACTGTGTAGATGGCGCTGTTCGAGCTTCACTTTCGACTAGATTTTGAGGTCCACTACGACCTCGACCTCGGGTCTGATTTAAAGCCTATGTCATTCACATGCGATTCAGTAAAGCGACATCTTCATAAGAATAACATGCATACAGGCGAGTCGTGGCTATCTGGAACATTGATAGGATTTGACGGGCTATTCCATGGTCTCGCTTTCCTCAGAGACTGTCCGGGCGATCGTGCGGCATTGTCCGATGACTCGACTACCGTAGGCAAAAGAGAACGCTTGAAAGGAGTAGCTGAGAGAGCAGAAGAAGTTTTGGGAGGGCTGTGAGTACGACGACTCTCGCGAGGATATTGCGCCCGTTCTGTTCTCAATGGACCAGCAATGGCAGTAACGACGGATGAGGCCTGAGTGCGAGGCCTTGATGCCTGTGAGGGAGACCTATAATCCTCTACCGTTTGACGCATCCTGTAGGAATCTATTTCATGGCTAGGATCGAATGCACCAAAGGAGTCCACCGGAGTCCTGGAAGCCATGGTTGACCGTGAACCATGCAAATCGTCTAAGCCCTCTTCGAACCGGTTTGAAGGCGGCGGTGGATGGGTCATTCTATCGACTGTGTCCCTCAACGTCGGAATGAGTTGCATCTCCACCAGTGGAATGTCGACCAGAGGACTTGGCATATCAGTATTCTGGCCTTTTTCCTGTTCTCGCTGACCAGATTTCGGTGTTGAACGGCCAAAAGAGCGCGACATCGGTCTACCCGGGCTCCGAGAAATCAGACGGCTCATGCGGTTCAGGTGAGAGCCAGGTGCCACCGGCGCAGATTGGTTGCCTTCAGAAGCAGGAAATTCCGTACGGCTTGGCGGTGCAGGAGACGTGAGTACACATGGAGATATCGTCTGTAGTAAAGATGACCCTGCTCGCTCCGGAGTGCTCGACACGGGACCGGGTGGTCTGGGTGATGGATACTGTAAACCGGCAGCTGCAGCATAGTGCGAAGGAGGCAGAAACGCTGGAGTGCGAGATGCTGAGATCGTGAATGCAGGCGAGGAAGATACATTGGGAGCGGGAGAGCGAGATTTGCTCCTAAAACGAGATCGTGCCAGTGGCATCAATGAAGACGAGATATTGGGTCAACACCGGCTTGAGTCGAGGTAGAGATACGAACATGTGTGACGGCGGTCGTCACAACATGATCGTCAAGATCATTCATAGCTTTGCAGATCTGACATATGTCAAGCATCAGAGAAGGCGAGTCTTGACATGAAAGAGTCTATTCACGACTAATAGATTCAGCAGGAACTGTCGAGAGGCAGCTTTCTCGGTTGCAACACCAAATCGGTGCCCTCCTACCGCGACCGGACAGCATATGATGCTGTGTGAAAAATTAACAAGCATGCGAAAGAGCATTATTGAGCCCATTTTTCAGGACCAACGCCGAAGATTGATGAAGGTAGGACCTGTGGGGAACGGCATCACTCATGAAGCTTGAAGGTTGTGTGCAGCATTGGACGAACTTGAACGCCCGCCAAAACGAGTTAATCTTGCGGGAGATTGATCGTGATCATGTGACCATTAATCGCCTTGTCTCTCACTTCGACGCAACTCGCGGCCTTCCACCAAATGTTTGGCACTGCTCATCGTAGCAAGGGGAAGAGGCGGAATGGTTGATCTACACAGTCTTCCTGAAGAGCTTTTGACACTGATTCTAGAGGAACTGGACATGTTAGACGTATCATCATGCGCGCAGGTAGGCTTTGCTCGGAACCGTTGTCAGGACGCTCACGATAACCTACGCAGGTCTGCCATCGTTTCAGGCAAATCATACAGAGTTCCATGCGCATCCGTTACAAAATTGAGCTTCTACTCTCCGACATGGTTGATGGAAGATTGCATGATCTGTCCACAGCAGAGAAACTTGACAAACTACGGGTGCATCAAGAGGGTTGGCGCGACATGAATCTCACCTACACCTGGCCCGTTGAATGCGCTGAGGCGTCTTGGGCGTATTCCTCGGGCATGCTCGCACAGATATCTGAGAACGGCTCGCTCTCCATATACCAGACACCCTCTAGAATTAGGGAGATACCAGAGCAACCGCCGAGCGTTCGAGTCGGCTTTGCCGAATTCTCTGTTTTCATGTTCGAGGTTGACTACGAGCAGGACCTTGTTATTCTTGTTGAGGCTGTGCAAGTGTAGGTGCTGCGTCCATGCCACTTGCTATGCACAATGCTCACACTTTCACAGAAACACGGGTGACATTTACCCCCGTCAACTGTCCAAGAACGCTCAACCGCATCGTGATGCTGCAGTGCCTCGTCTAAGCGCGCCACAATTTCCTGATGACTGCGTATGTTCACTCTATGTTCACAAAGATTTGATCGGGTGGCTCGTCGTCGACTTCGATGAAGAGATCTCCAGTCTACAAGTGTGGAACTGGAGGACTGGAGTTCTCGTTTGGGTAAGTTGTATATGTTGGCATCGTTGATTGTAGCTGATGTGGGTCAAATATCAGCACCTATTTAGCCAATCGCCCCGGCCGTACGCCACATCCTTTGTCTTTCTGGACAGTCGGCATGTCATGTGTGCTCATCTTGATCGGCTGGTGGTATACGGGTTTGATCCCCACTGGCAGTCGGAAGTTTGCGGCACGCTAGATAAATTCGAATTCGCGATGGAGTTTCCCGTCCTCGCAGAAGGCGCGCGTACCCTGCGCGCAATGGTTTTCGCGCAGAACAATTCCGCCGTCCGGCCACATCCTTCACTGCGAGTCCCCTTCCACACGCTCGATACCCATACGCTTCTTATGGTCATGATGGTCATCGGTCGGCCGCCCCCACATCAGAATGAATGTGCCACCTTCGTCATTTTCTTACCGGCATCAACTGTGTCATCGTACCTGCAACGAGCCGGCAATCACGCAACAGCCTATCCATGGACCGAGTGGGGACCAAAGAACACGCGCGCTATAGAGGTCATCTCGCAGCATGTAGACTGGTTCTCGGATGTACGAGGCTCGAAAGGCATGGTGGCATACATGGAGGATCCAGCAATGAAGGTACTCACTGTCGACTTATATGAGTTCAACCAACGCGCTATACACCGGGACTGGAAACGGCTCTCCGAAGACGAGCGTACACGTACGACGGCGTTTCAAATGAAGTCGAGCATCATTGAAGCGCCTGAATACTTCCGAGACGCACTTGACACTTCTCTGCCGTATCGGCGAAGCCGCACGCGCATAACGACGATGTTTACGGGCCTTGAGGCGATGGAGCATGATTTGTTGATGGATGCGCTGCTCATTGAAGATGGTGTCATGGTGTTCGTGCGTACCACCGCATCTGATCCATGCCCTTGTATGCTCATGTTGTGATTTAATGTAGTCATCTGATACGCATTGTCAGTTCTACACCTTCTAACGAGCAATCATTCATCATCCACTTCTCGACACTCCATTCCTCTCCCTATTCACTGCAACGTGCCGAAGAGTCTCAGACGGTAATCGATCTTCATCGTCAAAACCCATCCCCATCCTCAGCTTTCCCTCGGATGCAGTGGCAAAATCCTCACTCGACTCAAACATCCTGCCCTGCTCCTGCTCGCTGCCTATGATCAATACATCGGAGAATCCCTGCATGATCCCATCTGATGGTCCCTGGAGCAGGCTGATAAACATATGTTTCTGTATGTTGTTCGACCAAGCTAGCCGACCAATTATAAACGAACACATTTGATGAGAAGCGACTCTTGAGACTAAGACCAACTTCTTGTCTCTTTCGACCGATATTCCTTGAACATCGCTCACGGACCTGCAAGCACCTTCATCGGCACGGAACATGGCGCGGATGCGTATAACCTCATAAAAATACGACGCGCTGAAGGCATGTAAGGATGTATCGAGCTTAGCTTACACCACGAGCGACGTTGTGCACTCAGAAATGTTATGGTACTACGAGCGTCCGTTCGCATGCCACTCACAGAGCTGTCGCAGAGCCGACCTTCGTGTGCATCTGCGGCTTCGAATTTTGTTCGACGGTGGGGTATTGGATGGCTACGATGTTCCAGTAGATGTCTTTTCCCGTGGACCCGAAGGTGAAGGAAGAGAGTAAGACAGCAAGGACGAGTCGTGAGTGTTCTGGCGTAGGCTCGTCGTCAATGTACATACTCATTTCGAGTTCAGATAACTTGAAGCCACTGCAATAACTGTCAGCTACATGTTCGGATTGCACGCATATAGTGGAGACGTACATGCAGAGCCCGTCCTCCGCCAATAGAAGTCATCCTGCACCACAACAAATCAGGTCCTCTTCATGGAACACGGAGACCTAATGTACCAAGCTACCTACAAGTGCGAGTACACCTGTGCGTTCATGACCTTCGGGAGCTGCTTTAGCCAGCGCTCATGGTCAGGCTTCCACTCCGCTGCGTCGGGGCTCCAAATCTCCGGGTTGCGGTTGCATGCGAGGATGCTGATGCAGACAGCAGTGCCTGTCGACACCGGTATCTCGTTCATCATTGTACCATCACTGGCGCGAATGGGTTTTGACTCTTGAGAGAGGCGTGATTATGTCATCGCGCATATATGCAGAAGAAAATAAATGAGTCTAACGCGTTACTTTGGAGCGATGATGACAGACGAGTCGATAAAACTCACATTCGTAAAAGGAATGAAACCGGGGCACCTCTGTGATGCCGATTCGGTATGTCGGCCACTTCCTCGCAAAGGGGTGGATTCACAGTCTCAATAGTCTCCGGGCAGACAGCATCCAGGTGTGGCAGTTCTTCGAGCATATCATACGGGATCTCATCATTCTCGCGGCGCGCCTTTTGTATTTCCATGTGCTGCACCTCTGGATGTTTCGCGAGCATGTCTAAGATGCGTGCGAGTGCATTCGATGTCGTGTCCATACCGGCGAAGATGGATGTCCTCACATCCAATATGGTGTCAACTCCAGTGTGAATTGTCGCTGGATGCAGTATCACCCACGACATCCGACCCGATAGCTCATTTTCAGGCAGTTTCTCTTCCTCAGAGGCAGATACGTTTGCTTGCACGGTCCAGATAAGAGTTAACGATGGTCAATGCACATTTGAATGCTTACACGGCTTGCTGATGATCTCCTTCCCCTCGCCAATCTGGCGTATGACAGCCTCGTCTCCGCCCTCTAACGCTGCCGTTTTTCCTTCATGGATTCTGCGAGAATACTTGGAGATCGTATCGGAAATCTCACCGGCACGGCGAAGATATCTGTGGGGAAACATCTTCACCAGGCATCGTCTGAATGCGGGCCTACCAATCTTCATGACGAATGGCAGTAGCGGATGAACGATACGGAGAGGGGCCAGCGTGGGCCTGGAATCTCTTTCACTGAGCCGTGCGGAGAGAAATATAGGAATGGGAAGAGCGCATATGATGCTGTTGATAGCATCGCTGAAGTCGTCGGCTGAGTCACTGGTTAGCGGGTCGAATGAGTATCCGAGTCCGGCCTGCCCAATGCTCAAGCCCGCCGCGTCCCATCCAGTCCAACATGTTGATCTCTTGTACACGTTCCTTGATATGCAAAGCAATAGCATCTTGTAGCTATCAGAGAATTCCGTCAGTTAGTTGTTCTCCGTGGACAACCTCAGATGACGCCCCTTATCAGTAATCTTAAATAAAACAGGGACTGTATGCCACGTGTTGGCGGTGGAGGACACGGAAGTGAGCAATCTACGCTGTTTGCGGTGGCGTTCGCCTAACATAATCCAAGGATTGTGTCAGAAGCTAAGATCAAGCTGGGGTCGCATTAATCTAGCGTTGAGGTTAGGACGTCACCCAGCAAGAGATGCATTGTCCTGCACGGAGTTCTATGCGAATCAGTTGCGCCGGATTAAAAGGCTCTACTAACTCGGGTGTTTCCTCATAGATATACTGGTCTTTGACGACGACGCTGGACAGCGCGAGTGGGTCAAACACGAACAAGAGCTTTTTCTAGAAAATTGGATATCAGCATTGCTTGGAGGTTGAGATAGACAGTCATATTATACCCCAAGAGGACCGTTGAGCTTGACGACCGAGCCATACTTCTCACCGATCTCCCGCTGGAAGTCCCAGCCCTTCCAATCGAAGAACTTCATAAAGTTGCCTACATATGACATCATGTCAATGGTCCCGACCTTTTCACGCTTCTGCACATCAAGAAACCAATCGCATGCACGTCCGTTTGTAAGTCACAATTCGATGGACGTCCCTCAGTCGTTGCTGATGCCGTTCCCTGAGCAGGCGCGCGTCGTGGGCCTGCCCCGTAAACTCGCATGCGCTGAGCTCTGTTTCAGCTCTGACGCGGACAGCAAGCTCGCCAATGACCTTGCCAGAAGCCAACTTCGCAGAACACTCGCTCGCTGCTTACATTCGTGGACATAAGGATCGGAGCAGTCCTTGCTCGTGGCCTCGCCTCAAGTCACCAATGACAGGCGGCCAGGCGTTCTGGATGGATGAAGAAATATATTGAAAGGAATGCCAATGGAGAGGAGGCTGAGGGATGCGATACAGCGGAGAGAGTGGAGTCAATAGATATAATTGAGAGTCATGCGAATCGGCGCGTACTGCATACCACCCATGCACGGACGGCAGAGCCTCACGCGGTCGAGCGGTCACGAGAATGGCAGTCACCGTATGCCCGCAACGGACGATGCTCATAGCTGTTTGAGCTAGTCGACCGCCCGATGTGGAACGCTTACGGCCAGTGAAGCTTGAAGATAAAACTCACTAACGAGACGCACCCTCCACGGAACAGCAATATCGCTCACCATCCTGCTCGCTACTGACCGACTTCGTGGTCATTTATGTGGGTACGGTGAGATGGCGGGTTTGCGATGGGTCGCTCTCGTAACCGGGCTTGCCATGGACTCACAGACGGGGTCGTGCATTGGAGTCGAGCGAGCGCATCATGCGAGCGGAGAGTTGTACAAACAGAAAGCACAAGGTGCATAACGTACGATGAGTGGTGGGGTCAATTGCGCGAGGCGGCACAGAGTGAGAGAGTGACACGCCACGACGGTGACAGTTAACAACAATTTCACTTCATTTATATCGTAGTAGCCACGACGCCACATTCTGTCCTTGCCTGCTCCTGCCACCTCAACTCTCCTCGTAGAACACTGCCGTCGCAACGTCAACTTGACCGACAATGTCACATCAGGAAGGTAATGAAAAGACACCTTCGCTCGAGCAATTGAGTACGTTGGACTTGATCAAGCACAAACAAAGTGACGCTCGCGAACGGTGCGTCCTTGCCCGCCCTGACCGTATCATTGTTCATACTGATCTTGACCTCGTTGCGTTCAGCACAGTTCAAGTCAGTAATTTTTGCTTCCAATCTAGCTCAGCAGATGATATAATGGCATATAGCTCAAGCATCTTGAGGGGCTGGTTAGCGCTGGGCGGCGCGACCTGAATGCTCGCATTGCGATCAACCGTCTTCCTGCCGAAGTGCTCCGCGAGATATTCGTGACGACCTGCACTGTCAAGTTGGCTAAACGCGAATTCTTTTTCTCATACTATCGATGCAACCACATAATCACCGTCTGGAACCCAACTTGGATTGACACGGGCATAGCAGTCCGTCTCATGCTCGTCTGCCATCATTGGAAAGAGATCGCGTTGGGGATCCAGGAGCTCTGGAATTGCATTGGAACATATTGGAAAGATAAAGATCATATCTTGCTGGAGAGGCCCGGGAGAGGCCCGCTCAAGGTGTTGGCTCGCGGCAAATTGGAACCCTCTTGTGCTGTTGCACACGCTCTCCAAAATGTGGAGCATTCGTCCCGAATCCAAGAGTTGTACTGGATATGGCCCTTAGCACGTGAGAACAGAGAATGTCTTGGAATGCCAGCACCCTCGCTGAGATCTCTTGCGTTGCAAAACTGGAGTATGCCAGATGGATCACTCAAACTCTTCGACAACCACACCCCGTGTCTGGAACGCCTGTCACTATCAGATGTGAATTGGCTGCCCAGCAATGCATTCGCCAAACTGACATTTTTGGCTCTCGACCATTGCAATGTACCTAAAGCTCCCATCAGATTACGCAGCTTGCTTGCTGGAACACCAACCCTAGTCGATCTCATCCTGCGAGATGTGGCTGATGTTCGCGGCCACAAGCATGTCCGAGTAGAAATTGAGCCTGCGGACATGAAGCCTGTATCGCTCGCTCGGTTGCGCCGGTTGCTGATTGAATATATGTGGGCCGATGACATCGATTATGCCTTCTGGGATGCTCAGCTAAATGAAGACGTGTCCGTCTCGATCAAACGTGAAAAAAGGGACGATGATGATCTGCGACTTTTAAAATTGATATCCACTTGGTCGTTGAATGCCCTGAGGCAACCCAAAGAACTGCGTTTCCAGCCGCACGTCGCCATCGTCGCTGGAGCCTCTTCTGGTCTCCGTTTCGAGGTCGATAAAAGCATGACCCTCGAGGATTGGACCACATTCAACTGGCCACGGATCCTTTCCCTTTCCAGCATTTCTCATCTGTGCACGCTTGAGCGGGTTGCATGCAGGCCGCCCGGTCTTGAACGTGTCCGCAACCTTCTTAGGCAGATGACCGCGCTTCAGACACTGTCTGTAAACATTGAGGGCCTGACGAAGATTGTCGATGCACTCACGCTGTTCCGAGACCCCACCGACCCGCCTCTCTGTCCCGCATTGACCACGCTGCGTATCGCCATCCCGGATGATAGTGATTGTGACATCATCCTAGACTGGGTCCTCCCGCACCGTGCGCAGCTTGGCGTAAAACACCTTTATGTCGGGCTGATCGATGATGATCCGAATGAACGCTGGAGACCTCGCCAAGCCGTGGAGGACCAACTGCATGGCAACTTCGATTCGGTGAATTTCGAGACGCTGTTGTATTACGAGGCATACGGCATTACTTTGCCGCTGGTTTGCAATGAGGAGGCGCATGCTTTGTGGCCGCCCTGGCTTTAGATGTTGTGTAGATGAGAAATGACATGGATTGCAGTGAGACCAAACGTACGTTCATGCCATCAGGACAATTCTCGTCTCGTTCACTCATCGCTGGTTACCAGTTATTCCGACGCTCGCAGAGAGGGCACGTTTCAGAGAGAGAAAAAAATACGTTTTTTGTGCTACAGTACATGTCAACTCTTGTGAAAGCGAATGCAGGCCTCGAACTGAGAAGTCGTGAATGTCGTGACTCGTGACTACGTGCCAGCCCTCCACAGTGACATCCACTCAGTCACTGTCCATGTATGATACCGTCCATGACATTCGTGGCTGCGATGGGCTTGCCTCGCGATGTCTGATTCACTCATGCAGTTCACTGACCTGCCAAACTTGTCCAGGCTGGAGCGGCAGTTTTGGAGGACGTACGCATCATCCATGCACTGCGCGAACTCACCGTTCATACACGCCTATTCGTTATCTGTAGGTGGTATTCCCTCAGTATCTTCGTGTGAATAAGCAAAGTGAATGGCAGCTCATCGGTGAAGCTCGACCTCTTCTTGAGCAAGGTGAACTCGGCGTCCTGCTGCCGCACCTGCTGTCTGTTCGTGAGGAGTTGCTGTTGAGTATCGCAGACGTGGCGCTTGCACTCACACTCGTCGTTGCAGCTGAGAACGTAGTAGCCGAGGTTGATGCGACCGCCATGGGCGACGACGTGCTTCAAGAGTTGCTGCCCATATTACGCCACCCATCGCGGCGGTAGCTGGAATCCAGCTTTGACTCAGTCAAGCAGGTGATCGACATTCTGGTATTGTTCGTAAGTGAGAGTGCATGGCAACTTGGGCCAGAGCTACAGCTTAGGAGAACACATGCATCTTGCCATTCAAGATGCAGGCGTTCTTGCCTTCTACAGAGAAGACATGCATCAACATACCGGCTGCAGGCTGGTGAAGTGCTGCGGTGCACTCGATCATCTCTGAGTGTTCTGCCCAATCAATCAGTCACTTGCACTCGCATCATCTGTTTTCACAGGGACGCGCTCGCTCCAATCTATTCCCCAACATGCTATCTCGCGCGAAGGATTTGCACTCGGCTCCTGTGAGAGCATCATACCATCACACGCCCTCGAGTCTTTAGCTCTCGACGTACGGCGACCGACGGGTGCATTTCCCAGCCCAACGCGCACACCGTACCTTTCTCGCTTTCCAATGACCGCTCTCGCCTTTACACAACTCCCCACAGAGCCTAGCCCACACCCTCCGGACTATGCGATCATTAGACGCACCCGTGCTGGACCATACGCATCGCATGTCCACTTTGGGGCCCTAACCCAGGCGGAAGAACTCATCCCGACGTGATATGTCCCACACGCGCGAACTGTACATCACGAAACCGATTGCATAGACGTTACCGTCTGTAAGTCACAATCCGAGGGACGTACCTCGCTCATCGCTGATGCCGTTCCTCGAGCAGACGCGCACCCTGGGCCTGCCCTGTCAAGTCGCATGCGCTGAAGCTTTGCCCCAGCTCTGACGGGGATACCAAGCTTACCGACAACCCTGCCGTACGCCAGCTTCGCAGAACATTCGCTTGTTGCTTACATTCGTGGAGGTAGAATCGGGCCGGTGCTTGCTCGTGGTTTCACTCACGTCATCGTTGAGACGCGGCCAAGAATCCTAGACATGCAAAGAGATATATTGGACTCATGCGGGGTAGCAGGCTGAGGGATACAGTAGCGCGGAGAGAACGAAATGATTGAACGATACTTGAGAACTCGGCGTGCACCGCGCACCACTCACCTCGCGAGACTGCCAGTACATGTGCAGGACCGAGAGTACGGGCGCGAGATCAAAGCCTTTTTTAAACCCACAATCGGACGACGGTGACGGCCTTTTGTGCTAGTCGCTGGCTGACACGGCACGCGACGGCTAGTGAAGGTTGAAGATGATAATAAAACGCGTCAGTGATATGCGCTCTCCACTGCATAGCAGTACCGCTCACCGTCCTGTTCGCTACCGACCGAGTCGACGGTTGAATCATCGCGATGCATGTGAGTACAGCGAGACGGCGGGGTTGCGATGGGCTACTCTCTTGAGCGGGCTTGTTACGGAGGAGCAGGCTGGTGGTGAGGTGCATTAGAGTCGAGCGAGCATGCTGAGGCGAGTGTACAGACAGAAAGCGCAACAGAGCGAGGGAAAGGTTTGATTCGGATGCGCTACGGCGCGCGACCCGTGACAACGCCACATCATGTCACAACGCCACATTCTCTCCAGAACGTTACTACCAGAACGTTACTGCCATCGCAAAGTCAACTTGACCGACGATGTCACGTCAGGAAGATGGTGGAAAATCACCTTCGCTCCAAGAATTGAGTACGTTGGACCTGATCAAGATACTGTCTTCCAAGCTCGAACAAAGTGACGCTCACGAACGGTGCGTTCCTGCCCACCGTCCTGGCCATATCATTATTCATACTGATCTTGACCTCATCGCGTTCAGCATACTTTATGTCAGTAGCATCTGCTTCCAATCTAGCTCAACAGACTGATATAACAGCATACAGCTCAAGAATCTTGAGGGGCTGATCAAGGCAGCCGAGACTACGGTTCAAGCTGGGCGGCGCGACCTGAATGCCCGCGTCGCGATCAACCATCTTCCTGCCGAAGTACTCCAGGAGATATTCGTGACCACTTGCACCGTCAAGCTAGCTGAATACAGATCTAAACACTATCGGTGCAACGACGTAACGACCATATGGAACCCAACTTGGATTGAAAAGGGCAGAGCAGTCAGTCTTATGCTTGTCTGCTATCATTGGAAAGAGATCGCCTTGGGGGTCCGGGAGCTCTGGAATGGCATTGAAACATATTGGGAATGTGAAGATCGTATCTTGCTGGAGATGTCCGGCCGAGGTCCGCTCAAGGTGCTGGCTTGCGATGAATTGGAACCCTCTTGTGCTGTTATGCATGCTCTCCAAAAGATGGAGCATTCATCCCGAATCCAAGAGTTGTACTGGATAACGCCCTCAGAGAATGACGAAGAATACCTTCGAAAATGTCTTCGAATGCCAGCGCCCTCGCTGAGGTCTCTTGCGTTGCAAGGTGACTGGAGTGCCACGCCAGATGGATCACTCAAGCTCTTCGACAACCACACCCCGTGTCTGGAACACCTGTCACTATCAAATGTGAATTGGCTGCCCAGCAATGCGTTCGTCAAACTGACATTCTTGGCTATCGATCAATGCTTTGTACCCAAAGCTCCGATCAAATTACGCAGCTTGCTGTCTGGAACACCAAACCTAGTCGATCTCATCCTGCGCGGTGTGGCTGACAGTAGCTACCCGCACGTTCGAGTGGAAATTGGGGCTGCGGGCATGAAGCCGGTGTCGTTAACTCGGTTGCGCCGGTTACTGATCGCGGACATGCGGGCCGATGATATCGACTACGTCTTCCGGGACGCTCGCCTTAACGAAGACCTGTCCATTTCAATCAAAGATGTGAAAGGGCGTGATGATGAGCAGCGACTTTTCGAAGTGGTATCCAATTGGTCGTTGAATGCCCTGAAGCATCCCAAAGGACTGCATTTCCAGCAGCACGTCGCCATCGTCACTGGAGCCTCTTCTGGTCTCCGTTTTGAGTGGGGGAGGCATCGCCGCGAGGGTTGGACCAAATTCGACTGGTCACGGATCCTTCCCCTTTCCAGCATCTCGCACTTGTGCATATTCGAGTTGGACGCATGCAATCAAGTCCGCAACCTTCTTAGGCAGATGACCGCAGTTGAGACATTGTTCGTCAAGATCAAGAGCCTGACGAAGATCATTGATGCACTCACATTCTTCCGAGACCCGACAGACCCGCCTCTCTGTCCCGCACTGACTACGCTGCGTATCGCCATCCGGAAAGATAGTGACTGTGACATCATCATGAGCTCAGTCGTCCCGCATCGTGCGCAGTTTGGCGTAAGACACCTGTATGTCGAACTGGTCAATCCTGAGAATGGGCACTGGACACCTCGTCAAACTGTGAAGCACCGGCTGCAAGGCGCTTTCAAGTCGGTGAATTTTGAGACGTCGTTTTACGATAAGGCGTACGGCATTACTTTGCCGCTGGTTTGCGATGAGGAGGCGCATGCTTTGTGGCCTCCCTGGCTTTAACATTATGCAGACGAGAGACGACACTGATACGTTCCGGCCTCCCGAGGGGCGGATGAAGCACTGGCCTGTAAGTGTAATGACCGATTGCCATTATTCACGCAGATGTATTGCTCTCATGATCGTACGAATGATATATGGATATCATGTAGACAATGCTCTCGTATTGCGCACGGTAGCAATATTCTCCTCGGCGATTCTCAGACATGACCAGCATACGAGGAGAAAGTTCAATGATGCCATAGATTGTGATGCTGATGCTATAGAACAACCACTATTCCGGGGATCCTGAACTAGCCAGGCATCTCAAACGTAACGTCATCTCTTATGCACGCGTGTGTGTAGGTTGTCCTGTCTGCTGAAGGTCTTCTCATAGTCCGAATATGGATATTTATATGCTGTATACGAGTGAGGACGTGCAGTGTCTATGATTGGAGAGACATACATTTCTCGTGAGTGTGAATGCTTCTCATGTGCCTCTTGAGATGCTCGCCTCCGTAAGAACTTGCCGCACACGTCGCATTTGTACTCTCAGGACCCGTGCGATCACTAAACGCAGCTGCGCTGGACTGCATCGCATGCCCACCTTTGAGTCCTGCTAACGGATGTCCTCAGCATCTTTCTATCAGGATGGCTGTGAGTGCTCCCAACCGCACACAGGTCCTTCCGTCATGTATATCGAGCAATCGTTCTCCTGTAGCACGTCACGCACGCCACGAATGTACCGGCTCCTCCAAGACTTCTTCTGCCGGCACTTCCAGCCCCGTCGCCCTTTCGATCACCGCCTTCGCTCTTTTGAAGCGTGCGGCAGCCCTTGCGCAGTGTCAACGCACCATCATCAGGCACGCGCCGCACCTGCGTCTGTGCGAAGGTCGCTGACACGTTCGGATCGATTCTCGCAGAAGTAAATTCGACCTTCTCCGGATCAGGTACGACGGTCGACTTTGCGAGATGCACCTTGTCTGGAGATGTATATGCGGTCCTTATCAGAACAGGCATGAACCCGTTCCAAAAAGCACACGACCACTGCCAGGACGAAGGGCTCATTCGGACATTGGTATATCCCGTGCGAGCGAACTCCGTGTTACGAAGCGAAGCGCATGGCCGAACGTCCCTCGCTCGTCGCTGACGCCGTTCCCCGAGCGGACGCACATCACATACCTGCCCTGTTGAGTCGCGCGCGCTGAAGCTCTGCCCGAGCTCTGACACGAACACCAAGCTCGCTGACCACCCTCGCATGATCAGCTTCGCACAACAATCGCTCGCTGCTCACATTAGTAGATATATTGAAAGGAATGCCAATGGAGAGGAGGCTGAGGGATGCGATACAGCGGAGAGAGTGGAGTCAATAGATATAATTGAGAGTCATACGAATCGGCGCGTACTGCATACCGCCCATGCACGGGTGGGAAAGCCTCGAGCGGTCGAGCGGTCGCCAGAGTACGAATCACCACATGCCCGCAACGGGACGACGCTGGGAGCCGTTTGAGTTAGTCGACCACCTGATACGGAACGCGTACGACCGGTGAAGCTTGAAAGATGATAATAAAACTCACCATCGAGACGCACTCTCCATCGCAAAACAAGATCATGAACCATCCTGCTCGCTACGAGCCAACTCGATAACTCGGTCGTCGTCATTTATGTGAGTATGGTGAGACGGCAAGGTTGCGATGGGCCGCTGCTCTCATAATCGGGCTTGTCATGGACGCACAGACGGGCGGAGTCGCGCATTGGAGTTGAGCGAGTGCATCATGCGAGCAGAGGTTGTGTACAGAAATAAATTTCAGGGCGCATAGCGTACGACAGCATCAGCTGCGCGAGACGGCGCCCACAGTGCACGGGCCGCCCGCGTAGTCTGCTTTTTGACGCGGGGGTCTTGTCGAGAGGTCAGTTTTTTCGAGCGGAGATATAAGTCTATTATGGGCAGGCTTTTCGGACTTTGTAATCGGGTGTAATGTTCACTACTAGAGTTACATTTATTATGTATCGCCCGCCACATTGCTTCTTATGCCATGTCTGATGATCCTGCTGCTGCCATTCACAATACTGCCAGTTCTGGCTCATTGATGCTCGATGATCTGTAATGCAGTGAAGCTATTCAGCTCCTACAGCAACCCATGGATTCAACTAGGGCATGGACAGGATACTTGGTGAGATTCAGAGATGCAGCTGGACAATCAACTCCTTTCTGCTCGAACTCTTCACTCTGCCCCTGCACTCTCGAAAGGGAAAAGCTACTATGTCAGTGTCCCTTCAGATAGTATCAGAATTTTTCCATGGAGAAATGAGCATCAAGGCTTGCAATTTTCATTTCACAATGTTCCAGAACATTATTGGTATGTGGCTCTTCGCTCATACTGCACATCATGGGATTTATGTGGTATGAGGTCAGTTTGGACTATCCATCTCACATCTTGTACACATCAGCACTGGGTCCGCTAGCCTCCCTCTTCACCTCTGCCAAGGAGGTTTTGCATGTCAGTAGACCTTCTTGGGAAGTCCAATCATATTGTAGATTATCGGACTCTATTGAAGTTTTACTAAATGACATAGCAGATAGAATAAGTACATAGCTAAGGGAGTGATTACACAAGTGGGTAGAGAATGCGAAGAAACAAAGCGCATCTAAGCATGCGCTTCAGACGCGTCGCGACGCGTCGAACAAAGTTGTGCCTTATTTGTATTTGCACGTGAGGTCGGAGTTCACTTTTTGCCGACCCCCCGACAAGGACCCCCAATACACCGCCACTCCTACCCCAGCTGGCCGCCAGCTGGTTGAGCCAGTGGCGCCAGACCGGGTGCCCAGCTGGGACAGACTGGGCCCCACATGGCCTCCACATTTGGAAGCAGAATGGGGCTGCGCTGAGTCCATACCCACGCATCTCCAGCTGGGGCCAGCAAAGGGGGGCCACCGGGATTCCTCATTATAATATAGTAATAAATTGTATGATATCATCATCATATTTTCCTCAGCTGTGTGGCCACTATGGGCCACAGCACTGCAGTTTTTCGAGAAGAAACAGAGTACGATAAAATTAGAGTGACCAAATGCCATACAACAGCGCAATAATAATGCATTGACAGAACCTTGTACACGCCAAACCTTCCGACTTCCAAAGCTTCGACACCCTTTGTCCCCTTCAGCACTATCACCCTCTCCATCCTTCTGGCATGATTCCTCTACATGAACTGTCAACAGCACCGTCAGAAATCGAATAACAACCAGGGTGAGTGAATACATACCTATTCGAGCTATCGGCGTTTATTGCCTTTGGCGACCCATATGAAATCGTGCGCTGGCCGTCGTGCGATCTGTTTGAAGTAGATTATGATTAGTACAAAAGCTCCGCGAGCGGCCCCCATTACAATGACGCAGCTATCCTGCGGAGCAGACAGCTCAGGGCTAAATAGTACATATTGCAATGCTTGGATGCGACCAACAATGATGCGGGTATTAGCCTTGCGGAGCAGACAGCTCATTGCATCCAGCCTTCAATGGTGGAAAAGGGTCAGCAGCAAAGATTTTCTTGTTTCCAGCCTTTCTCATTGTGCTTTGCACCCGAGAGCAGTGAATCTTGCCATAGCAGAAAGCAGGGACTTCGTGCAACAGAGACCACAGCCAGGCAGGCAAACATTTACAGATTCCGAGCACAGATCAGGTGAGCATGAACACAGAGCATTTGATGAGATAATGGCTTGTATGCACAGAGACAGGAGACATTAAAGAGAATCGTGCGGCAAAGTCTTCTGGCAAAGTGTTGCGCTCGAGTCAAACGAAATATTTGTGAGGGTCACGTGGTCTCCTTCCCCATCGCTGCGCAAGATCCTACCGCGCAATCTAACCAAGCCTGTCTCATACTTGCAAAACTGGTTGGCTGCACATATAAAGATGGCAGCAACTTTGCGTGGAGTGCAGGATGTGAAGCGTACCAAGGAGGCCACAGCACGCAAGGAACGGGCAGATGTGAGGGCAGCAATGAAGGCAGGAAAAGTATCTGACACAGCAGCGGCAGAACGAGATGCAGGCGAGGAAGGTTTAATAGAAAGCAGTCAGCTTGGAGGATTTTTGTCGCATGATGCTAATACTGAATGAATATTGGATATTTTTATTAATACAAGGACTATCATCTACGAGATTTCGGCGCTTAATGCTTGCAATGTAAGCGAAAACGCACATTGGATTGTAGGGCAATTTCTGGCAATCGAAATGACCTACAAAAAATGGAGCCCTTTCTCGAGACATTTCCCCAGCTGATAAAATTGTTTTTACGTGATGAACGACTATTATAACGTGCCATGCTGATTGCGCGAACATCCGTGTTTGAGCGCTTGCAGGACATCAAGTGCCACCTGTAGTGGACTGGATGGGCCATCTGGCATTCAGATGGACCCATCTGGTCCTGCGGTGGCTAAGGTGTGGAGGTCAGCTGGCGCTGACCAGATGGGCTCACACTGGGAACAAAGTGGCCCCAGCTGGCCAAGCCCAAATGGCTCCCGGCCGACGCGTCTATGTGGGGAGGCATGGCGTGGGATTGGCGGTGTAGAAAAGCAGAGGTCAGACAAGGATATCCAGAGCGTTCCCGCGGAGGTTTGAAGGAATTGCCTCGTCTGCCCACGGGAGACTACGCCCGCGGGCGACTCTAAGCCACAACGCCACATTCTCTCCTTGCCTGTTCCTGCCACCTCAATAGTCCTCGTAGAGCACTGTCGTCGCAAATTCGACTTGATTGACAATGTCACGTCAGGAAGGTGGTGAAAAGTTATATTCACTCGAAGAATTGAGTATGTCGGACTTGATCAAGATACTGTCTTCCAAGTTTGAACAAACCGACGCTCGCCAACGGTGCGTCCCTGCCCACCCTGATCGTACCGTCATTCATACTGATCTTGACCTCAGTGCGTTCAGGATACTTCATGTCAGTAATGCTTGCTTTGAATCTAGCTCAACGGACTGAGATAATGGCATATAGCTCAAGGATCTTGAGGGGCTGATCAAGGCAGCCGAGACTACGGTCCAAGCTAGGCGGCGCGACCTGAATGCCCGCGTCGCGATCAACCGTCTTCCTGCCGAAGTGCTCCGGGAGATATTTGTGACGACTTGCACCGTCAAGCTAGCTGAATACAGATCTAAACACTATCAATGCAACGACATAACGACCGTATGGAACCCAACTTGGATTGAAAAGGGCAGAGCAGTCAGTCTCATGCTTGTCTGCTATCGTTGGAAAGAGATCGCCTCGGGGATGCGGGAGCTCTGGAATGGCATTGAGACATATTGGGAACATAAAGATCGTATCTTGCTGGAGAGGTCCGGCCGAGGCCCGCTCAAGGTGCTGGCTTGTGACGAACTCGAACCCTCTTATGCTGTTGCGCATGCTCTCTCAAATGTGGAGTATTCGTCCCGAATCCAAGGGTTGTACTGGATATGGCCCTTAGCACGTCGCAACAGAGAATACCTTGGAATGCCAGCGCCCTCGCTGAGGTCTCTTGTGTTGCAAGATGACCAAAGTCGTATGCCAGATGGGACACTTCAACTCTTCGACAACCACACCCCGTGTCTGGAGCGCCTGTCACTGTCACATTTGGGTTGGCTTCCCAGCAATGCGTTCGCCAAACTGACGTTCTTGGCTCTCGACCATTGCAATATACCGAAAGCTCCCATCAAGTTACACAATTTGCTTGTTGGAACACCAAATCTAGTCGATCTCATCCTGCGAAATGTAATCGACAGTAGCTTCCCGCGAGTGCGATTGGAAATTGAGGCTGCGGACATGAAGACTGTGTCGCTCATCCGGTTGCGCCGGTTGCTCATCGAGTCTATGTGGGCCGATGACATCGATAATGTCTTCCGGGACGCTCGGCTAAACGAAGACATGTCCGTCTCGATCAAAGCTATGTGGACGCACAACGATGACCATCGAATTTTGGAATTGGTATCCACTTGGTCATTGAATGTCTTGAAGCAACCCAAGGAACTGCATTTCCAGCCGCACGTTGCCATCGTCACTGGAGCCTCTTCTGGTCTTCGTTTCGAGGTCGATCATTGCATGATCCTCGAGGATTGGACTGCATTCAACTGGGCATGGACCCTTCCCCTTTCCAGCATCTCGCACTTGTGCACGTTTGAGTGGGACGCATGCCAGGGGCCCGATCTTGAACGTGTCCATGACCTTCTCAGGCAGACGACCGCGCTTGAAACACTATCCGTCCACATTGAGGGCCTGACGAAGATCGTCGACGCACTTACACTCTTCCGAGACCCGACCGACCCGCCTCTCTGTCCCACACTGACTACGCTGCGTGTTGCCATCCGGAAAGATAGTGACTGCGACATCATCCTGGACTCGGTCCTCCTGCATCGTGCGCAGCTTGGCGTCAAACACCTGTACGTCGGTCTGGTCAATCCTGAGAATGGGCACTGGACACCTCGTCAAACTGTGAAGGACCAGCTGCAAGACAATTTCGAGTCGGTGAATTTTGAGACGCTGTTGTACGACAAGGCATACGGCATCACTTTGCCGCTGGTTTGCGATGAGGAGGCACATGCTTTTTGGCCGCCCTGGCTTTAGACGTTATGTAGGCGAGAGACGACGGTCAAGATACATTCCGGCCTCCCGAGGACACGCCGAATGATGATATATGCACGTAATGATCATTTCGCAAAAATCGTTGCATGTATCGGCTCCTCTAGCTGCGATGCCTCCATCAATAGCATAAGGCGGAAGAGAAGCACACGTCTGAAGAAAAGATCGCCACCTTCGGGTGATGGTGCACAGCAGAACTACCCCCGAACCAGCAACATTGTGTAGGATCCGCTGATACCGCTGACAAGACCGTTTCAAGACGTTTTTTTTTCTTTCATGCTCAGGCTCTAGATCATCTTCAATAGAATAAAGCAGGAGCCCGGATGGGAAGGCCAGCGGTACATCATGCTCTTTTATAAAATTGAAGGAGATGGCGTACTGCCCAGGATGGCGATAATGCAAAGTCCGCCAGCATGTTGGCGACTTGGTCTCATTCAATGTATGTGAAGGTTGAAGCGTATCCGCACGTGGCTGCCAGTCCTCAGGCACCACTTATGCATCCGTAGACCAGAAGTCTCCAAGAAAAGGTCAGCGACCATAACCCCGGCCCAATTAGGGTTGTGTAATAACTCATTTCATCATTGGCACTCCAGGCAGAGAGACCACCTCCGACTATAAGGTGCCAGTGGCAGGGCAATGAGCGAAACTTTGAGTAAGCCGCAGAGAGCTAAATTCAAAGGAGAAAGCAATCCCGAAATGTCCGAAATTTCGCAGACTACTGCCGAGTAAAGAGTCACGTATCGCACCCGACGCGGGCGTTGAATAACGTGGTTACCATAACGGGTATGTGGCCCACCCGACGGGCGCGGCGGGCTTGTACGCTTCAGCAGCACAAGTCGCTGGGCATTCATTATGAAACTGTCGCAAATAGATTCCTCCCGCGATACTCATGCCAAGCCCGCTTGCCCAAGCCCTCTCAGATCGAGATTTTCAACGAGTAAGATGAGATCCTAACTCCTGAGTAGAGCCTAATTTTCGAACATCAAAATAGGCTTGAAGCTCGACAAAGCCGGCCTTGTGAGGAAAGGTCGTTCTGGTATTCCCCGACCGCAAATGGTACTTGATGCGTACTAGTTAGACAGCAACGATGCCTTGGACGCTTGCAAGGCATGCGGACCTGCAGTTTTCCCTTCCTACAGCGCGTGTTTCACGCAATTATGCAACGCGCTGTAAAGGGTTTTCTCAAGTTTCTCCTCAAATCATCGTGCCGAACGTGCGAAGCTTGGGTGTGGAGTGGAAGTTCCATAAAGCAATGCACCGAGATGATTGTCGCTGTGGCTGGTAGACTACCGCGCTATCCTGCGCCAGTTCGAGCTCGGCTGTAGGGTCAGCTGATCGCCTTAAGCATCCTCTCTAGTCTTTGCCGGCCCTTGCGTTCCCACCACACGCTTACAGTTGCCCATCGTCATTACCCACCTTTCCAACACCCCAAGAGCTCGACGTCATGAAATGGCATTAACTATATACTACGTAGATGGATACATTCTTACACTCCAACAACATTGCTACTCGTTCCCAGCACTCGTGCATTCAGACATTAAGACGTAACGCGTTAGCCGTGAGACCCCGACGATATACATACAAAGGGCGAACTTCGGCGATGTATAGTCCCCACAAAGCAAGCTCCGCGATGCACAATCCAAACAGGTCGCGGCGTTCACCCCACAGCCAGGCGAAACGACAGCAGACGCTCATACGGGGGATGTGCACCCGAACGACGTCGCCGCGCCAGTCTTGAACGTCTCCTGGATCGCGATGCCCGAGCCGTACATGCCAAGCGCCGCCATCGTCAACGACGCTAGGAACAAGAAGAAGTTGAAGATTTTGAACAGCCGCATCTTCCATCCGCCCGTCCAAATCGCCTTTTTCCAGTTAATCTTGCCCTCAGGCGTGCGCCCGTCCAAGAGCACGTAGTACCCGAAGATCAGCAGCGGCGGGAACGTGTACGTGAACTGCATGATGCACACCGCCGCGACGAGGCCCGAGATCGTCTGCACCTGCGGGATGGCCGCGCCGACGATGAATGCGAGCGCCCAGTACAGGAGAACCATCGCGGTCCAGATGAACTGGCCCTTCTTGCTCATCAGCGATGGTCCGTTGAACATGTCCTCGACGATGCTGTAGTACGCGACCTTGATGCCGATGTTGCCATACAGGCCCGCGGCGATGATCCCAGTGATGAGAGCCATGACATTACCGACGGTCTGCCACGCGTATTTCGAGACGCCCTGGTACGCGAGCGGAAGCGTGAACTGGCCCTGAAAGGAGTACACGAAGAGGCCTGCGGGCGCAAATCAGCACCCTCGCACACGATCTTAAGCAGGAGACGTGCACGTACCGTACATCATATAGGCGACATAAATCAGCAGCTGGGCGGAGCACATGCCCTTCCAGAAGTCCCATGGCCGGCGCATCTCGGCAAGCATCTCAGGGAAAATCATCGCGCCACCATATGCTGCACAAAACATCAGCACGCTCCTCTCCGAGACGTCACGCGACACTCACCAAATACCATGTTCATGATGCCGTTCACCTTGTTCGAGAGCGTCTCGTGTGTAAACGCCACGCGCTCAATGGGGCCAATGCTGATACCATAGGCGGTCTTCGCGGAGGCATAGTTCGGCGGCGAGTGCGCGACGAAGCCCATCGAGACGAAGATGATAAGCAGATTGACCCATACGGCGCTATTCGCGAGCCAGCCGTACGACTTGAGCGTGCGGATCTGCCCGATCACCATACCCACTCCGGCCCAAATGACGATGCATACGGCGAAGCAGAGCTGGCGGGCATGTTTCAACAAAAAAAATGAGGTGCGAGGCGTGATACTCACGTGTGCCTTGGTGATCTGGCTCAAACTTTGGCCGTTGCTCAGGCAGAGCGTGCCGACGTTGATGATAAGCTGTATGCTCTGCAAGATACTGACAACATGCCGGCTGACGCGACCGAATATGCGCTCGGAGATATCTGAATAGGTCTTGATGGGGAAGACGTCCGAGTCGAGCTTGAGGAAGAGCCACCAAAGCAGGAGACCAGTATAGCATGCAGCAGCGCCCATCTAGCGGGTGCATATTTGACCGAAGGCGGAGTCAGGTACAATCAGCACGGAAGGAACACGGGAGGCGGTGCAAACGTTAGATAAGAAGTGACGTCAAAAAAGGGCCGGAGTGTACGCACGACGGTGTAAAGGATGACGCCGGGAACATAGCCAACCTGGCTTATCGCATATGGCGCGTTGAACGCTACACACGGTCACTCAGCTTCGCTACTCGGGAATATTATGCAATCATACTCACGACCAAGAATATCGGTGGTGATGAGATAGAAGACGGCCGCCCACTGCAAATTTAGAAAATCGATTAGCAATAGATGAGGAGGGAGGAAATGAGAGGACGCACTGAAGCAGAGCGAAGGGCCCTGCGAGCATTAATGCGCTCCTTCTCCTCGGCAGTAAGTGCCGCCTCGGAGACGATGGCGTCCTTCGTGGTCTTTCTGCGTGCACAAGGGTCCCTTCAGTAAAACCTCACTTGATCCACGGCTTGAATCGCGCACTCACTCATTCTGGGATGCCGAGTCGGGGGTGGGAGGAGCGTCGCCAGCGCCATGGCCAGAGTCTTCCCACTGGCGTTGGCGCCTTGCAGCAGCGAGATAGTCGTCGAATGTGACCTTGCCATGGTCTGTATGAAGTATGTGCAGGCCGCGCGGATGTGAGTGATCCATTGCGGGAGAAAGAGGAAAGCTCGTACGGTAGTCATGTGTGGGCTCGAAGAAATCCTTGCCGTTCTCTTCCTTCTCGAGGCGGGGGTCGCCGTCGAGGTTAGCACCGTTGTACATGGCGGTGTCGAGATATGGGAGATGGTCTGCTTGCGTTCAACGAAGAACGGGAGAAAGCAGATGTGTTCGCAGTTGCGGTGCGTGGGGAAAAGCGTGCGTGCGAGCGCTGACAGGACGGGAAGTGTGGTACATATGGTGCACGTCTTATCAGCGGGCGGTCGCGAGCACATGGGTGGTCTCAAAAAAGCATGCCACTGAGCAGCCGAGGCCAATCAACGCTGGCGCAAAATAATGCTGCAGCATGTGGTGCGCCGCTCGATCGGTGACCCGGATCGGCAAGATCGGTTTCCCCGCATGGCGTGCCCGGCCAGATCCTCTCCCGATTCCTCCCACCGCCGCCTCCCACCCGAGGGCAACGACGACGACAAGGGCGCACACAGCACACGGGCACCTTGCGACGCCCTGGCTGTCGACGCCAGCGAGCTGATGGCTACATGGCAAATCCACAGTGCCCGTTCCAGAGTATCAGGCCAGATCGGAGGCAGTCTCGCCGTGGCCCCACCTCACGCACGACGGCGGCTGCTCCGACGTCCCGACACCAACCGACAGCGCCCTTGATGGTGCGCCTTAAGCTCCGCCTTCCACATGCGCAGCCCTTATCTTCATTTTCCATGCTGCACCCATTTCGATATTCCCCGGCCCCGATCATCATCGCGTGCGCGCTTTGCAAATTGGCGCAAGCCCACGCCAGGGCACACGACCGTCTGCCGTCCTCGATCCTCCTGGGCTCGCCTCCTCCCTCCCAAGGTGACCGTTGTTGCGCGTACGATTGCTCGCAGATGAACGCCCTGCCTCCCGCCTGCCCTCGTCGCTAATCAATGTGTCACCTGCTGACCCGCTAGTGTCGCCCTGGCGGCTGTGACCTCCACCATCTGTCAATCACGTCAAAATGGACTGTCGCTGGGAATTTGCGGACATGAGGACACCGTCCATGTCTAATACTCGAGCCCTCCCTGAGACTCGGCCAGCTACGCCCTCGCACCGCGATGCTTCGGCTCTTACACAGGGACTTTACACGTTTCAGCTAGCCTTGTTCAAGTCCTCGCCATCTGCACTCCGCAGGCGCAGCCCGATCACCACAATAGAACGGGCGACAAGATCCGGATGCGCATCATCGCTGCTCGATGATAAGCGGTCGAGAGCCTGACCAGAAAAATGTTTTCGTTCGACGGTGCGCACGTCATGGCGCGTGACCGTATTTATGGACCATCGAGAGGCCATCTTGCGCAAAATTGATCGCATTCGCCATCCACCAGTTCTTGAATGCATGAACCACCAGCCGTATTGCGACATTTTCTTGCTCGCTCCACCGGGTAGCAGAGCGTGCATCGACAGCCGATCCACAGGGACCATGACGTGGGCCCGAAAAGTCCACTCGTTTCGTTCGTCGCACTGGGAGGCTGCGGCACAATATGTCGATTATGCTGTCCCTGAAACGCCGACGCGAGGTTGTCCAATGTCTGCTCAGTCCACATGCCGGTGATTCGGATCTGTCAACTGATATGCAGGTGAGACGGTAGGTGGCGGCGCAATGCGGCCTCTCCGCCTGAGCGGTCACATCACATGATGGATGGGGATGTACAGCCCCTTCGGAGCGTTGTCTCGCCGCATAGCCGTCAAGCCCCAAGAGGAACGGTGAGTTGCTCCTGTCAGACCAAGCGGGACGTGAGAGGCTGCTTCAACGCGAAGCCGACAATGCTCTTTCCGCTGCCCCTTCTCAGGTGCGCGTGCGCGCTACGGGTTCTGTTTGAGTCGGGGAACTGTGGCTGCGCGCATACATGAGGAGGAAAGACATGTGGACCGCCGTCGTTCGTCGCTCGGCTGGCATGGGACGTCGCGCGAGCTTGCCGAGCTCGAAGATTGGACGGGTGCTAATGACCTGGTGGGTCAAAGCTGGTCTTTCTTCAGGAGGATGGAGGACAGCCTTTAAGGAGAGTCCATGCGAGCGACCTGTGTCGTCGGTCTAGTAGCCAATGGAGATCGCTCATCGCTCATCGACATCGGTCCCGTCGCCGTTCGGTATCAAAATTCAAGTTTTGAGGCTTTCTATGCATCGAGAGTCATACGACTGGCAGGCGACAACGCGAGAGGACATCGGTGAGCGGCGCAGAGCTCATCGCAGAGGAGAGAGGGAAGGGGAAAGAGGGGAAGCGGGCGTTCGTCGCTCGAAGTGCGAAGGATCCTTCTTATCTACGTGCAGGTACCAGTGTGACGCGATTGTCAGATTTAGAGTTATGCAGTGAAGAGAGACGAACGGGAGAAGTTACTCGGCTTGAGGCATCACATCGGGAACAAGATGTTGAAAAGGGCAGGTCGATTACCATGTATGGTCATCAGCGACTTGATTGATTTTACAGGTGTCAAGAATGTCCTTCTCAAATGAAATCTCACACGGTCTCCATCGGGCGGTCTCGGTTGGACTCATGCCAGGCGGCGAGGCTCTTGTCCGTCGTACAACGGATCGCTGGGTGCGCACGTGAAGGCTAGCCACCTGCAGTAATATTTGTTACGGCTTCAGTTCAAGACCCTCTACGGATGACATGCGCTTAGACGAACAGAGTCATCTGTCCATGCTCCTTTCCATCAATCATTTCCCTCACATGCTCGTAGCTAACTTGGAAGGCATCAAGGAAAAAGGCCGATATCAGTGGCCAAGGCGATCCGGCTTTGCGCAATGCAAGGATGCCTCGCACATCACCAAACGTAGTGCCACCAAGTCACCAGTGAGAGCATGCACCGTCAAAGATGCTCGCTGTCTCCGGTAATGCCGCCACGCAACTGCTCTGGCAAACCACCTGAAGGGATCGGTGAGTCCGTCACGTATGCCAGCTTCCAATGCTAAGTTTAAATCATAAATCAAGGACAGGCGCCGCAATCATCGCCATCATGGACTCATAGAAGCTGAGCACAGCATTAAGCTCTCCTCCGAGGAGCACATCACTACCAGTAACCCGCACGCTCAAGTCAGTGATGGCGTGAGAATTGTGCTGCCTCGTACATAGCCCAAGAAAAGTTTATCGGAAGAGATCAGTGGCAATGCTCTGCAAGGCGCAGATTGAGCTCGCAGGTTCCAAATGCCGTGGTCAGCCGTCTGTTCGCAGCTCAACGATGACCTGCTCCTCACTACAGGCAACACCCACTAGGACCTGAAATGCGTCGCAAGCTCACGCCATCTCTGTATATGAGCTCTGGGGCATCTGCAGCAGCAAGAAATGACGCACATGCTATCCAACGCTGGTCTGCGCATCTACCAGGTCAGCTCGGCTTCTCACCTTGTCACGTCGATGCCCCTCTCACCCTTAGATGATAGCGCACAGCCAACGATCCATAGGACAACGAGAGGAGACTGCGCCCCTCCACCATACTCGAACTGGTACTGAAGGGCACTGCAGTGGAGGGACGTCTGGATACGAGCTCGCAGCATACATGCCTCTCGGCCCGCGGCACGAGTGGATCATCAATTGACAGTGAACGCTGGAGCCATGGGCTCACTCATCAAATTAGCTATGATGCACGTTAGTCGTCAAATGATAACGAGGCGCGCGCACATTGACTTTTTATAGGATAGACTCCCTGCCTGAGGTTATAATCCGCACTTCACGCCCGCGTCCGCGGTCTCGGGACACACAGTGCGACACTAGTGTGACAGGTTATTTCACATGCGGGATTGCTCTCTCACGATAATTACGAAGGGACGCGATTCTTAATATGGAGCATCCTGCTTTTTCAAACGCAATGAAGTCAGCTCATCAACGCACAACGCTATCAATGGCGAAGGGCGTACCGCCCATTCGACAGACGGACCGCGGATATGATATGTTTATTCAAATCGCTCCTCCTGCGGTGTCACAATGTCATGTCACCGACCAACCCTGGCACTTTCCCTCCGATAGCTCTCGCTCTCATCCGTATGCTGGCCTCCTGATCGCCCGCGACGGAGTACCGCTTGTCCCCGGTAGCGCCTTTGGGGTGCGCCAGACACGCGCTCACGTCGCCTTTTTCAATCAAGGACAAGTGTCGTTCTGACTGAGCACCGTCTCTGGCTGTCCATCGATGTGGTGCATTTGCGCGAAGAGCATCACGATCGCGCGAGATTAGGGACGTACTCGAGGGTGAGGGCGAGTGCGCTGTGTCTGGATGCCAGGAGAACGAGAACTTAGCATCTGGAATTCGTGCTCTTCATGCGTGGGTTGTCATATTACGCACTGTCTATCCGACTTCGGGTGGATCAGAAGAGATTTTTGAAGGGCCAGAACATAGTGGACAAACAGATCTGGATGCCTGCTCCACGAGAGCGACATCTGCATTTTTGGTAAGTACGAACTATTTATGCAATGGATTGGATTGATTGCTATCCGCCCCATACAGAGGCTAGCTCGCCACTCTCTCAGCCGTAGACGACTCCTTTCGCCTTCCTAGATCAACAATATATCGTAGCAGACTTCAGCAATCAGCTTTCGGTCTACCGCCTCGTTGTTGACTGACGAAGGCATCACAAATCCTTATTGGTGCGCACTGGACATTGCAGGTAGGCAAGCATGTCTGAGGCTACACTCCGCGTTCACTTTAGCTCCTATCAGTCTTCTCATTCAGAGCTACAGGGCCTTTTCTACGTGCACTTCCCATGATCTGATCATCATCGCCATGAAAGTGGAACGATTTCTATTGCAAAAACGACATGTGTACCTTCATCATCTTCGTATCGTTCTCAACTTTCTGTTCATGCCTGAACCGGGTGGAGAACGTCATCTGTCCCGACTGTTGATCGAGCTCTTTGGGCCCGAATCATATACGTGCCATGATGGCAAAATCAGATGAAGACGATCTGTTTAATGACATTTACGGCTCACAAGGCATCGTGGCATACATCGAAGACCCCGCGCAGGCAATATTCACTGCCGAAGTGCACGACTTCACCAAGTATACTCAAATACTTCAAGGTAGCCATTGAGGCTGAGCATTGCAGGCCTTATATTGGCGGATAGATATCATGACGCAGGATGAGATATTTTATTGAGGGTGCGGAGATCCATTTATGTCTGCTTATCGCAACAATCTACTGTAGTCATCGCCTTACACATTGTCATTTCCACACCATCTGATGCAAATCACGGAAGCAAAACGAGCGGAATAGAAAAATGGCATATTGCTGGTTGCCGCTGCTCAAAGAAAGAGTCACCATGCACGATGCGACACGCTGGAAGCTGGAAGGACTGGTTTTCCGCCTCTTTACTTCATGGGAGATGCTTACTTACACAGATGTGCCTGCTCATCATCGCCGTGTTGTGACCCATCTCGCTGTGCGTTATGATCCTGAGCGCTTAGCTTGGATGGATTAGCACGGTGCTCGTTGACCGTATATTGAGCGGCTTTTTGATCTCCTTGAGCGCCATACGGTATTGCCACTGAGAACGTATAGGCGGCCATGGAAGGCGCACTGCAGCATAGCCTCATGCCGCTGCGAGAACGGTCAGTCACGTTGTGCGGCGGCGAGGGTTGGCCACATCAGTAGTTTGTAGCTATTTGCTTCAAGTTCAATTACCATACTTGCCGCTTCTACCTTTTTTATCGGTGATTCTTCAGTGCAGGCGTCCACCGCGCGGTCAACAATCTTCTTCTCGCCGGTGTCGCTGTCAATGGACGCGATGGACGATCGAATTCCAATTGCAGCTGAGGCTCTGAGCAATCTGAATGAGGACCAGATGGAGGCACTCAGGGAGTACTTCGCGGAAAGTGACGACGAGAGCGCCGAAGCGCTTTCCACGTCCGAAGAGGAGGAGGATTACGAGGACGAGGACGACTCGGAGGAGAGCAGTGACGCTGACTCCATCGCGGCAGCCTTCGACGCCATCGCCCTGCACGACCTCGAGAATCCCTCGGACATCGAGTCAGACGACTCCGCATTCAGCAGCGACGATGAATACGCCGAAGACAGCGATATAGAGGAACAACAAGTGTGGCGGGATATGGTGCTCGGGCATGTCAAAGCCACGACGCTCGTTCGCGAGCACGATCTTGTGCAGATGCACGAAGACTACATGATGCAGCTGTATTTCGCGGACGAGGAACTTGCCGAACTGAACGGCACGAAGTACGTAGAAATAATGAGGCGCCAGGATTCGTCTCCCCGGGTCCGTGCCTCGCAGATCCTACGCGGGCGCGACATGGACGAGGTTGTCCGCCAGCTCCGCATGCGCTCGAAGAGGGAAGTGAGGACTACCCCACCCGCTCTCCTTGCGCGCGGAGCAGTTATTCTCGCGCAAACCCTCTTCAGGACGGAAAGGAAAATCAAGAACCTTTACGTTCGCGATCCGGAAGACGAAACGAGCTCGACCTCGACCTCTGATCAGAGTACAGACAACGAAGAGAATGTTGGACGCGGAATCATGACCACAGATGAGGAATGGAGTGCAGAGGACGAGGAGAGCATTCAGGATGCTCAAGTCGTGGAAAACGCTCTCGGTGGCGCGGGGAATCGTCGTCGTGTTGAGGCCGATCCGGACGAGATGATGGTCACGGACGGCACACAGTGAGACAAACTCGCAGGTTGTTACTTTTCTCTGCTACTCTGATCGAAAACCACTGGTTCAATCTATGTAACTTCAGACTCATGTAGGTAGCCTTCGTGATCTTTCCCCAGCGCTGATGTACGATGTACCCTTGTATTTCGACCCAACTTGAATTCCATGTTCTCGACGCGAGCTATCACCCTCACGTGATCGTGACTTGACGCGTCCAGACTCCACTATAAGTGTGGCACCGGGCGACAGAAGGCGATGCGGATTTGGGGGCGAACAAGCGTTTCCTACAGCAGCAGCGTACATATGGCTGAAGGATTACAATGATGTGGCCCAATAAGTCATTGTTGCTTGCCAGGCGATGTGATTTTCTACGTTACTCCGCGTTTTGAATTTCTTGTTTTGGTGGTTGGCGGCCCATAACTGAGCACCAAGTCAGTAGTGGACTGGCTCAGCGCTCAAGAAGCAACAATTGAATAGCCCGATCAGAGGAACAAGGCAGTTTGACAAATCACTGAGCGAGATCTGTAAGTTCCCGATCTTCATAAGCCTTGACCTTGTCTCCTATCCCGATGTACATTGATGCTCGACTAAATGCAACGGTAATGAACAAAGACAAATCGCGGCCTGTTCGAAGTTTCCTAATGATGTTGCCAATGCATTCCAACTAAAGTTGTCGTTGGCATGTGCGTCATCCTGTACATGTAAAGACTCACCTGATACATCCCAAGCTTCCAAGGGTCTGCATGTGGCCACATGCTCCGGCCCGATCATAACGGCTACTGACAATCGCTCGCGCCTGCCTCCGCTCTGCACCGCATTCAACGCGCCAAGATAACTGCGTCGTGAAGTCCCCGAATACATTGAGCGCATGAACGTCCTCGCGCAGAAACCTACTGACCTGAGCAAGTGTGGCCAACGAGGCACGTATTCGCGCTCCTGTATGGAACGCTGAGATGGCCGGCGATCGACGCGGATACACATATTTGTGAGCTGACCGATCATTTCCGATGGGCTTCCGCCAGCATACTCCACGGAAAGGCTGCGCGCGGTGCCCTGGCAAGCACAGCATTTCAGTGACGACACCCAGCGCAGCGCGCGTGCGTGATAAAGGCTGCCCGTTTGAATCTCGACGAGGCGGTACCCGTGTACACCGTCACTCTTCTCGTCAGCCCCAAATCCTGGGCCGTGTTCCTTGCAACGTTCAACAAAGATGCACTACACAACAATGATCCTCGCCCTTTCTTCCATCGGCTCTCTGTGCGCTGCAGCTCCCATCTTCGATGAGCAAACACGGAACATGCCATTGCCGCTACGAATAGCTGGCATCCACCAATCTGCCGAACCGGGCAGTCTCCCTTGGAATTCTCCAAAGTCCCTAGATTGTGTAAGCAGGTTTATATGCTGCAGATGCTTTGGACTCACTCTATTTCCAGCCAGAAGAAGCAGATGATGAGCAGGAGGGAAAGGGGGAGATCGAGACAGACTGGAGATAGGCCATGGGCGGGCGCCATGGGGGTTTTTCCAATGGAAGCGAACCGGGTTTGGACGAAACAATGCAGGCATTTCACGACTCATGACTTATAACTTGCACTGTACATGTATAATGCCACACGCAGTTTTGAAAGCAACGAGGAGCGGTGGTCTGAGGAGGAGACATCATACGTAGGATAGGGTCGCTTCGGCGGCTTTTAATTGTTGCAATCTCACCTTCAATCAAACTACTTTGCTGTCAACATCATTAGTTGGCATAGTGGGTGGAAAGTACGGGCATCGTTCGTGAGCACTTTGTTCAGCACCGAAGGGGTGCCTCAAGTCCTAGAAAACCAACACAAACCGCTCCCAACCGGCTTCAGTCGGCTGATAGTCTGGAGCCTGGCACTTCGACCCAGCATTATATCGACGCAGCTTGCATGAGTACTAGATAGAACCACAGTCATATTGAGCAGGAAGTCATGCAGTGAGCGGCGAAGCCGTGAGGGAAACGAGAATCACGATCGGAGTCGGTTCGGAGAACGGCGCAATCAGGAAAGCGGCCTTAGTAGCATCTGTCTTGTGGCAACATTTACGCTCAGCACAGAAATATTATTAACAACACTGATGATGAGATATTACAACAGACGTGATAGTACTATGGTTAGACAGGTTACCTGGAGTACTTCCGAGGCATCTTCGGTACTGTTAATACAGGGTGATCCAGTCGACACATGTGAGGGTTCAATACATGAAAATGATGAAATGTCTATTCAAAAATGCGAGGGTCAGATATTTTGAGAGAGTAGATTTGCACTGAAAGGTGGGGGTCAGGATACATTTCAACCACCTTCGTAGGGAAACGGCTCACCATCACAAGGGTCCAAACGACGGCTGCACTCCTTCACTGTCGAGCAATGCGCCGCAGCCCTGGTTGATGGCATGAACCACCTCGGCGTCACCACGGCAGACGCCAGTCTGCAAATGGCGAACGAGCGAGTCGCGCCGACTGAACCCGTTCATGCAGCCGCCGATCATGAGTACGTCCTTGTACCAGTACGTGCCCGCCACGCTTTCGAGCTGCACGCCTTCCGGGAGGACCCACTTAGCCGGCAAGCCGCAGCATACCCATTCCTCGGGCGGTTGGTGCGTCTTCATGTGGCGCCGTAGATCAGCAATGCGCGGGGAGACGTACCCGCATGCAGGGCAGCCTAGATGGGGGAACAGTAGCGCGTGGAAGAAGTCTGTCTCGCTGATTTCGATCTGTTCGTTGCGTGGTATGGAGGGTTGTTTGGTACATGAGGATCCGCCAGAGGCAAGGATGTTGTCTAGGAGGGGCTTTGGCAACGTTGATTTCGATGTGGACTTTGAACTTCGCTTGGAGGAGGAGCGTTTCGAGGGAGACGGCTTCTTGGATGTCTTTGAGGAGGGACGCTTAGGCGATCGCTTTGAGGAGGGTCGGGCATACGGGCTGTACCGGGGCGGATACGACGAGTAATCGCGCCGGTTGCCAGTAACGGAAGAGTCGTCGTCGTTGTGCGATCCCTGGGTCACATCGCAGAGCGGGCAAGCAGCATCTCCACAGAATGGCAGTGGTTGCACAGGTGAAGACAAACGGGACACAGGGCTGTCTAGTGGACTGAGAAGCTCATCCGTGACGCACGATTCTGAGTAACACGACTGGCTGAAAGAGTTGCAAGACGACACAGGAGAGGAGGCCGAAGGTGTGGATGAAAGTACTTCGTTGAAATTTCCGTTGGAGTACGAAGATGACGGCTCGACCCAGTAAGAGGAGTTCCAGAGCCTAGCGAAGAGACGATGTATCATTAGAATTAGATCCTACGAGAGAGACGTTGGACGACTCACAAGGCGTCAGAGTATTCATTGATGGATAAATCACCGTTCGTATAAAAAGCTTGCCGTTCTGATTGGAGAGAAACCGCGTCGTATGATGCGCTCGATTGGATATCCAAGCAAGAGGAGGAGGAACTTAACAGAACAAATGAGTCGAGTTATCGAAATATTCCAATGCAAGCCAACGTACGCGTTTATATTCCCGTGTGAAATGATATCGAACTGCTCCGGGGTAACATCAGAGCCTGTTTGTAGGCTGAACTCGTTCGAGCTTGATGCGCAGTACTGAGAGAAAACGGCATCGCAGTCGCCAGTTGACAAAGGGTCTTGGGGTGCAGACTGAGCGACGGCATCAGCACTGCAAGACAAAGGTCGCTGATGGATAGTAAAGTATTCGTCGAAATAAGAGAGGCAGGATGTGAAGTCATCAGCCGGATCCAAGACGGAATTCGCCACAGACGCGTCTTTGAGGATTGAGGGAGACATCGAGCTTGATGGGATGGAATGCCGGAAGGCAGATATCTGGAAATGTGGGTGACATTATGGCGGATGATGCAGACGGCTTTATAGGGCTCGAGAGGCTGGTAGGAGAGGGCTTGGACGGCAGAAAACGTCAGGTCAAAGCCCGGTCCAAGCGCCCCGTGAGAGATTTGCGTTGCCACGTGCGGACGCGAGCACGTGCCACGAGAAGGATAAATACGGACGGTGAAAACCCTCACTTTCTACTAGTCTGACAAGGCAATGATCAGTCTGTGCTGAATTTTCTTCAGCCTGTAGCAAGCTTGAGGGCATTACTGAATTCCAAGAATTCAGAGGGAAGAGCCGTATGTTGTAATGGTAGTAGTTTAGGACTCGCGGTCACGAGACCGCGTCACGCCAATTTCCGCAGGCGATCCGTACAGTCTTCTGCTGAGTCCAATCTCAACAGAAAAACACTATTGGGGTAAATAGTGCCGCTCTTTGGTCACTGGATGACTCTTGAAGGAACTCGGGACTGCGACACAATAAATATCTTGACATTCGAATCGCACACTGCCCGTGAATGATTGACATGCCGGCAACCGTGTAACAAAGGTTAGACATGTATTTCTTTGGCTAGTACATATGCCTTTGAAATGTTTCGCCAATTAAAAGGTCACGCTACGAACGTTATACTTCCGGTTTTCGCATCAACCCATGCGAATTCCCAGATGTGTCGCATTGGTATTTCGGTTCAGCAAGAGTCCTCATATTGTCTAGTGAGCCTGTCAGAAGATAAAAGTTTATACTTATAGACGCACTGCCACTAGGTCAGACAACCAAGATCACGCTAGACATTTCCGGCGTTGCAATTTCTGTGCCAGTCTCGTGAGTCGTGATACGAAACGTGTAGACATTTTACAAAGCATACATATATCAAAGATCGGTTCCGTTTATGCATTTAATCGTGCTTGTCTAACCATGAACGGGATCTGGTGGATGTGAACTATAGAAAGCCTGTCCAGCCATGGTCCTGATGACTCTCGGCGCTTAGAGCTTGTGCGCTTAAGTGACCTGCACAGACGAGTCGGAGTTCCATTCTCAGAGGCTGCAAGATGATCATCTCGTGTCGTCATGTTGCTCACTTATAAGCAGGGATGGTTACTCTCGGAAGCCTGAGATCTTGATGGTCAATGAGACTTGCTGCACCGGATTTTACATTGTCGGGCAAGTCATGGTGGCCGTCCCAGTCATCGCAATCCGAAGGGCCCGCTCACCTTTGTCTCAACAGCCCAAAGTGCCACGACCGTCATCATGCAGGCGATGCCAACTGATGAACTTTCACTCTAAAGTTTGCATCTGCCATACAATGAGCTCTCATCGCGTTCCGATCACGACGTTGCTTCACATGCCAAACGAGGCAGTGCTATGCAGACTCCCTCATGGTGCAGTATATGTCTTCAGGAATAAGGCACGTCGCGTTAAGCCAACCTTGTCAACATATAAGGCGGGGCTCAAGGTATCGAGGACGCGGTCACTTACTCTCGCTTTGATCCCACTGAGTCGCTGGTATCAACCCCATCGGACGCTTAACAGCTTCGCAGTCACTGGATGGTCTTCATACAGCCATATTAGACCCATCTATGATGGTCACTGTCATCTCTCAAAGTAGCGATCCCTTTTATGAGCACCATTGTCCTGCTTCTCTTAAAGCTACTCATCGATGCACATTTCCCGACGCGAGCCTCAGTCCTCAGCATCTCTTTGTGCTGTCCTTTGTTCTGTCAGTCATTGTCTTCCTCTGATGACGCACTAAGCTGACTTTTGCATTAGTATGTGAATAATGAGCTTTGCTGCAATCCCGAGATTCCTCTAGCTTCCTGGTCGTCGTTGTATAGCATATTTCAAAGCGATACAAGCGAAGGAGTGAATCCCACCTCCGCCGCATTGTCGCTTGCCTCTTCCGTGTCTGCTCACTGGTCTTTGACTTCATTCCCATCTTATACGCCTGCATCCACCAGTACCTCTTCACAAAATACGACAGCGGCGCCTCACATGTCATCGGGCGGCGGGTCTCCTATGGTCTCCTCAACGTCTAACTCTGCAACCAAGTCAGGTACAATCTCAACGCAAAGTCAGACCTCGTCGTACGTTGTGATCAGATCCCAATTCTCACAATCTTGACGAACGCTGCCAGGACCGTCTCGAGCGGCACCGGTTCGTGCTCTGCTGTAGCAACATCCGATACAAACAGTCATCCGCACCCGTCAAAGAATCTCAGCAACAAATCCTCTGCGTCACAGGGAGCCACATCCTCCTCCATACAACCTACAGTGAGCGGTGGTGGCAGTCATACTCTGTCAAGCTCTAGGCAAGTTTCCCTTACCTCGATCAAAAGTCGCAGTATCTAAACATCAACACTACACAGTAGGGGAACGGAGGAGTTCGTGATTATTGGTGTCGTCGTTGGGGTCTTTGCCCTTCTGCTGGTAATTGTCCTAGGGATTCTTCTGTACCGCCGCCATCGCCGCCGCCAGCTCAGTGCCAGGCAACTTCGTTCTTCCTATTCAAGTCAGGCACATGCTTCCATTGCCTCCTTCGCATCCCCTGCTGCAAGCGCAGCTCCTATTTATTACAGCGCGGCGGGGAGCAGCCGAAATGGGTCCAACAGGGCCGCGTCGACCTACAGCATGCTCGCGCAAGCGTTCAGCATTCACTCTGAGATCCGTGGAAGCACGCTCTCACGTGAGGACACCGTGAGCAGACTGTCGGACAGGTCTGGCGAGGTGCAGGTCAGTGATCATCTAATTGCAATTGCTGTCTTCTGACACCCTGCATTCTAAGGGAGTATTGGCGATGTAGACTGCGTCCATGACGATTATGTACGATGGGTTTCTGAGGACTTGATGCGATCGATCGGATTTTTCTTGCATGGACAACTGCTTGTGCGGACGCTCCTTTGTTGGCTGTCCTCCTTCACGTTCTCGTCTGTAGCTTGTGCGACGGCTGTTTCCTTGGATTTGCCATCCGTAATACCCGCATAGCTTGCAGCGGCTGCGCCTCTTGATGACATATTCGCGCACACAATGCTTTGAAACGACACATGGTAGTTTCTCAGCCCATCTTGAAAACGAGCTTTCAAATATGGCATGGCAATGGACGTGGGGATCTGCTCGTCATAATGATAACTGCGACTAGGCAGGCTGCACTGCATGCTTTCGTTGGAGATCCAACCACGTGCTGAATACGCAGTGCAGTACTACCTATCAACGTTACTCATTGCACTCCATGCGTCTCAACTACTCTTTCGACATGCACCGAGGCAGCAGGGACGTTGTGCGGTGCATCCAACGTGACCGATCCCGTGTTCTTCTCGCAAGATGTTGATTGTCAGATTTCATTAACACAGAGTCTATAGCCACTGCTTCTCCGGCGGGCGGCGCATCTCAGGCATTCGTCGTCGTATCCAGGGGACATGCAAACTCATCTCATTCAGATGGTCCCGCCTAGTCTGTGTGGCTGTATTAAGTAACTTTCATTCCAATACGGTTGCCTCACTACACATGGTGATCAGCCGCGCGGCTATGGGTATCACTAACTCGTCTGTCGTGCTCTGATCATCTCATCATAGGATCATCCCTCAGGCTGCCGGAGTCCGATGCGTTACGCATTTTAGTGTGCGTATTTCTGCTGCAGTTCTTCTCTCGTCCACTAAGAGCGTTCCGTTTACTTTCCGGCGGCGCTTCGCTGCATGGTACCCTCTCTATTGTGAAGACTCTGCTTTTCTTGGGTGTTAAACTTGTAGGAGCCTCTACTAGGTATCGTAGCTTACCCGGGTTACAGTAGCGACTTCCTCTCCGAGGAGGTTTCTTGCATTGAGACCGGCGAAGATGCAATCAGCGTGGATGAGCAGCCAGTCTCTTAACTTTTGCCATCTCCATCTATAATTCCCTTGCAGTATCTCACGTTACACCTTGCGAGCTTTCAGTCCGGGGACCTTAATCTCACAAGACTCCATCTAATGAGATCTTGTCTCCTCAATCAAACCCTGTTCCCCCGCCTTCAATATGCTTCCCTGCACCCCCATGGAGATGGAACGCCTATCTCTCCACCTTATCCCCCTCCCCCCGGCGTCCCCATCCAAGTCTGATCCTCTGTGGCCGTCGATCTCTTCGTCGTACAAATGGTCGCTGCCTCCACCGCCCTGAGCGCACCTCCCGATCCGATCACTATTTTCCATCTCACCTTTCCCACCTCCTCGTCCAACTTATCCTCTCCGTTGCCAAGATCATCGCTGGCTCAACTGTCGAAGTTCGAGCATAACAGAGCCTTCTCATTCAAGCCTGGCGCCTACCACGCCACATGCTTCTCTGCGTCCGTATCTCATTATCGTTCCGTCTTTACAGCCACCAACATCTCCGCTGTCGACTCCTCCGTCTCATTTTACGGCTCAACTGAGCACAAATACACCAGAAGATTTGTTCGCGACAGCGCCGGGCTCGCAACTACTGCTTCAATGAACCCAGCGGCCTCTGAACGCGGGAGAAGAATCAGAGGGCACGTCCACGACCGAGCGCTACTCTCAGGGAGAACAACGCAGTCGCCGCCTAGAATGTGAGTTTGTTTTCCTCAGGTGGCCCTTTACTGCCTAAATCGCTTTCGTGCGCATATCTGAATTGCCAGAGCAGGGGGACACAGCGAAAAGCTCTGCCTCCAAGTAGCTAGCCTAGTTCGGGTCTACAACTATAGAGGGTGCATCCACGTTCACTACAGCGACGGTGAAGACAACGACCGTAGCCTCCCCTCCGTGCCCGTGTAGATATCTTTCCATGACGGCCCAACTGAGAATCCCCAGTCTTCACGGATGGCGGCTTATCTAGGTTGCGAGTATCCGGGTGAGGACAGCGCATCACGTCGACGTCTTGCATGAGCTGAACGTTGAGTCGTTGATGCGCTACCGCGCTCAATTTCACTTGGTATGAGTAGACGGCGCCATCTAAGATCCAGAGTCCGACCGGCAATCCCCGACGGTGAGGTGGGCCACAACCTGCCACAACTTCCGACACGCTTTCGGTTAAACCACGACGCTTAGTAAAGATGATCTCTTCCTCTCAGATCATTGCGCTTACTGGTCAGACAGTTACCCTGCTTGGTGCGCATCGTTGGCGAATTAATCTGAAACCACACATTGAGTTGGCGATATTGCATAACCTCTGGTCGTGCCTCGCGGTGATACCTTTGTGAAACTTGGCATGTTCCTTTTTCTGGTGTGAGAGTTCCATTATCAGGGCAGTCATTGCTTGGCTGTGGGTTTCCTTTGGCGTAAACATAGGGTATGTATGTATACGCTGAGCGAATCTGGATATCTGTGGAGCGCTGAGATATGGACGTCGGACACTTGCCCGCGATGCATGACTGGTCTACGCATGTATTTCCGATGCGCAAAGTGCCCATGAGCATCGTATTATTTGAAGATGCTAGGTGCATTTCAATCTGCAAAGCTCAACTCCTCACGCAGCCTGGTGTAGATTAGTCTGAAATGCTTGACCAAGTATGGTTGCGGCATGAGGATGATAAACCTGTCAGGGTACGCTCAGTCTGTGCCACGATAACTGTCAAGCACTACAGCGCCTCGAGGCCTCGCACTCGCAACAACATCACAGGTTCTACTTCGGCTCAGCTCGCAGATCTCGTCAACATAAATGCGAGAAGGAAGGATAGTTCAGAAGCACGGGAGTACGGCAGCGCTTCTTCCTATGGGCGCGTCGAGCCTTCTCCTCTATACTTTTATCTGTTCAAACACAGTCCGCGAGTGCAAAGCCCGCCCGCGTCCGCCCTCCGCTGGCAGCGACACTCCCCAACCCATCGACCCAGATGTCGGTGTTTCTCCTGTTCGAGTGCCCGCTCCCTTATGACCCTGTCACGATTGCAGCCCTGCTTAAGATCGCGCTCCTGCTGACAGCGGGCGTGTCAGTGCACCTCTCACTCTCGCCGCCAAATCCACCGGCGCCACCCAAGCATTGCATTCCGCAGAGGAGCTTCTTCGAGCGATGTGTACGATGGGTCACATTCTGTAGCAAGGTTTGCGCCCACTCTGTCAGTACACATAGAACAAAAGGGCTGAATACAAGCTCCACCCAGATGATGGTCTGGCTTGAAACCGTCCTCGATGCACTCGCCACTTCTTCCGTCGCCTTCCCCTCCCTTCCTCATGCACCTCTTTCCTCGCATCTCACATGCCCGTCGTCATCCGCAGCACAAACACTCATCGCGCCGTCGCTCCTGCTCGTTGTGGGCATGCTATTCACGCTGTTCGGCGCGATCCTTCGGCTTATTTGCTATAAGACGCTCGGGCCGATGTTCACTTTCGAACTTGCGATCACGCCAATGCATGCGCTTGTCACGCACGGGCCATACGCGTACGTGCGCCATCCGAGCTATACGGGCGTGTACATGACGCTGCTTGGCGCGACTGCCGTGGCGCTCGCCCCAGGCACCTGGCTGCGCGAATGCTGGTTGCAAATTGGATATGGCTGCTGCAACGCCCCCTTTTCAGAGACGAATACGCATCGGTGGACATTTGGCGCCGGTATATTCTTCGCGTGGTTCGCGCTAGCATTTTGGATTCTTAAGGTGGTGTACGCGCTGAGGAGCACAAACAGGAGGCTTGTGACAGAAGACACGGAGCTCAGGCACACATTTGGACTTGCGTGGGAGTCCTATGCGGATAGGGTACGCTGGAGGTTGCTGCCCGGGGTTTACTGAGCTGTGTTAGGATGTGGTTTTGATTACACGCGTATCATATTGAAAATGTCGGTAACATACTCACGATCAACAGCCTCATGTGCTGCACCTATCATGTTCCTGAGTCTCAGCATCCAATCTCTCCCGCCTTCGTCCCTGAGAGGATCCCTTTTCTGTTGAACCATGAGCTCGCCGCCAGTTGCGATATATTGCCCATCGCCGGGAGCACGCGGCAGGTTTTCATACATCCCAGCATTGCAATTATCGCATGATACGAGCTCTCGAGTCAAATAATTACGAGATAATGCAGGACTGAACAGATCCTAAGCTTCGGGTCGTGCCAAATGTCACAGCGAACGCGTTCCTTCTCGGTAGCCGTTTGCGATCAGGATCGACATCAAGGACAGATCCAGCTGAGATGGCTGTGTTCACCTCAGGGCGTGCGCCTGCCCGAGGTGCATACCATATTAGAGTCCAGGACCTGCAATTCATTCCAATAGACATACCATGACACTCAGCTTCACCAGCGCAAGCACAATGTTGGCCAGATTGCTTCGCAAAATCTCCGGACGTGTTGGTTCCTCCAACGCCTCTATGAAATCCTCCATGTACAGCCTGAAGAACCGCCCAGGCATGCTCCGCCTTGCCGCTCCAGCCGTTGCTGCGCAGACGGTACAGGCAAGGACTCAACACCTATACAAGGGGAAGGGGGTCAAAGATGCTCTGCTGCTGCAACAGTGGAGGAGACCAGTACAGACGTGTACGCATCAATGGACCGATCCTAACAAGGTCTTGGTTTGCCAAGTCGTCTGCCTTCAACTTCATTTTTAGCATGCATTCTTGATCTTCACCTCTCCGAAGAGGAACAGCAGAACGTCGCCGGTTCCTCCGCTCGATGTACCGTGGATAGAGTCCTGATCGCTGCCTCTACGTGGTGTGGCTCGGTTCCTGAGCATAGAATACTTCGACAAGGAAGGAATATCCACGAAGGCTAAGTAACAGAGCCGATTCACCGTATCGTGATATCTAGAAATACACCGGAAATTTACGGCGCCGAGGGACGCAGATGTGACGATGATCTTGCCACGGCTTGACGGAGGAGCATACCGTCTGTGTTGTAATTGAGGAACATCATTGTTGGTTGAGTCGTGTTTTCGAGTAGCCAGTCAGCTCGCCAGGTGATACTGCACAGCGTCGCTAGACGTCTCGCATAGTATGATTGGATGCGGCACGCACCGTCCATCTCATCCGCAATTTGCTTCTCCACTGCCATTGCGACGAGGCTATATACGCGCCGCCCTTCGTATGAGAGAAATCTGGGTAACAAACGAATTGAGGTATTCTCGTATGCACACAAGCCTTCCGCTCTCGTGACCAGATACTGTCTGAGACGGAAGATACTCTACTGAGTGTTCTTTCCTAACGAGCCTCTCCACTTTTTACAATGCTCGGTTTAGAGCTAGACTTCTTCGGGCATCAGCTATGATCTGCCGCGAGCCAAGGTCCTGAATCGCCTGTGACTTCTCATCTTCAAGAACTCAACCATATGTGCATACGCGGGAAACGCTTCGCGAGCCTTGCAGATCGTCTTACACTGAGGCGCATGTCTTTCGCCTTGTGAATGGGAAATTCTCTCCCTAATGCGAGACCTAATCCAGTGAGTATCGTGCATATGATTATATTGAAAGAAAGGAGTACCATCGCCTTCTGTACTTGTTGTGCGGTGACCTTTCTAGGCAGGAACCAAATGACGGCCGTTGTCAACTGGTGATTTGGACAACGCTCTATTCGCATCGGTGAAATGGGAGGAGTTTTCTGGTTATGAGAAGGGTTTTCTATTGTAGCGTCATGAAAATACCAATCACGTCGCGACGCTTCGACACGCTAAGAAACCATCATCTCTTATGCGATATGTCGCCACCTTTGCCAAACAAATGCACGGCAGATGTCAATCAAAAGCTGGGAGGAAGAGGCATGTCTGTCTCACGCACTTTATGTTGATGAAGCCATGATTGAACAAGTTCCATAGACCAAGGCTTCCTGTAGAGACTCATCATGGAAAGTGACAGATTTCTAGTGAGCACACAGCACAGTTAGCACTTATAATATTTAGTCAGATGTTTGCATCTGTGCCGAGGCGAACAAGCATGCAAGATATTTAAGAATCAAATCCTTAGACAAGTTGATGTTTGCGGCCACAGCGGTGGCCAAACACAGACAAACCCATTTGCCACAGGGACCGACTGTGCTGTCGTTCACTGCGTCCAGCGTGTCGCGCTCTCGTCACTGTCCTGCCCTCTCTCTCCTGCATTACCCTTGTCTTCACTTTTCAATATAATGGCCGCTACTCCCCCTCCCATGTCTGATGGCATTGGTATTGCCAACCTTCCTAATCAGGTCCGTGCGTAGCCACTAGGAATGAAAGTCGGTCTGACGATGTTTCGTGTGGCAGAGGCACAAGATCGTTGCCAAGCGGGGGACCCATTTTACTGTCATGGTTGTCGGTATGTCACAATGTGCATGATTTTACACCTGGGAGACTGGCACTACAATACCTTTGCAGGCGAGTCCGGTCTCGGGAAGACCACACTCGTCAACACGCTCTTCTCGACGGAGCTCTCGCCTCCGAAGAACTACAGCCGCCGTCACCAACGACAGCTCGACAAGCTCACAGAAGTCGAGATTATTAAAGCAGAGCTTGAGGAGAAGCAGTTCAAGACGAAGCTCACCGTCATCGATACGCCCGGCTTTGGTGACTACGTCAACAACCGCGACTCGTGGGCGCCGATTGTTGACTTCATCGACGACCAGCATGAAGCATACATGCGCCAGGAGCAGCAGCCTGAGAGGAAGGACAAGATTGACTTGAGGGTGCACGCGTGCCTCTACTTCATCAGGGCAACTGGACATACGTGAGCTGGCGTGATCAGTCAAATCACGGAGAGCCGTTCTAACCCCCTGCCGATGTCCGTCAGGCTCAAGCCTCTTGATATTGAGATCATGAAGCGTCTTGGTACTCGTGTCAACCTCATCCCGGTCATTGCCAAGGCGGACACGCTCACTCAGAATGATCTGTTCACCTTCAAACAACGGGTTCGTCTCGACGGCCGCTCGTGTGTATTTTACTCGTATTGACTTGTATGCAGATCCGCGATGTCATCCAAGCGCAGGGCATCCAAATTTACCAGCCGCCCATCGAACCTGACGACGAGGCCTCCGCGGAACACGCACGCATCCTCTCCGAGGCTATGCCATTCTCGATCATTGGATCGACTGAAGACGTGACAACGAGCGACGGGCGTGTCGTCAAGGGGCGTGAGTACCTCTGGGGTGTCGCTGAGGTCGAGAACGAGAACCACTGTGACTTCCGCAAGCTACGCTCGCTGCTCATCCGCACGCATATGCTCGACCTCATCTCGACAACGGAGGAGATGCACTATGAAAACTACCGCCAGGGCCAGATGGAGACGCGCAAACCGGGCGAGTCCAAACCGCGGAAATTCGAGAACCCCAAGTTCAAGGAAGAGGAGGAGCAGCTCCGCAAGCGTTTCACGGAGCAGGTCAAGGCCGAGGAGGCCCGTTTCAGGCAATGGGAGCAGCATGTGCGTAGCCGACATTCTTCATGTCTATCAGCCGCATTATTGACTTTGACCTACGCCACAGCTCATTCAAGAGCGCGATCGCCTCAACAAGGACCTCGAGCTGGCGCATGGTGCCATCAAATCGCTGGAGGCCGAGTTGGACAATCTTCAGGGTGGCTATGGCAGAGGTACCAGCAGGCGATAGAGGGCTATTGGACGGACATCGTCGGACGTTTGTTATTTCCGTACCGTTTCTGGCTCGATGATGATACCCTAACATACATACGTCGCTCCTTTAGCTCGCTGGATCCCCGATCTCGCCGTCTTTCGTTACGTACTACTTGGCTGACTTGGGATAATATTCATAGTATCATTACAACGTGCCGTTGTCAATGCTGTTTACATTGACGTGTTAGCTGGACACCTCTTGGCGAAGAACAGACCAAGGTAGCTATGTTTCAAGAACATCCAAGGATAGAACTGAATTATAAGACGGCGTGCGACGTTGCAGGTGAATAAGCAACTGTGAAGGGAGCAAAATCAAGAACGAGACGGGAAAGCATATAGCTATGTGCTCACAGATACTTGTCGATAGCGGCAGTCCGCGCTGTCTGAGAATGCAAAGGTGCAACAGCATCGGGGTGTGGTGGAGTGTGGCGGCGGCGTGCGCATGTAGCTATGGTCTCAGCCTGAGCATAAGCCTGAACGACTAGTGTCTTCCTGTACGACTCGGGCTGATTTATGAGCCTATGCGCATCCTTCCCGTACCCAGGCTGCATACGGTTCATACTCCCTCTAGACCGTCTAATCTCGCGTCTGGTTTTACTTGTAGCACATGTATGACAGTAGCCATTGCAATGCTTCTGCAAGTAATAGCAAAGGCAAGCCTATTCACTAGGATCAGGTGATGGTGACGGTATGACGGTATGAGTCTCGCAGTTTCATGTAGTTTCTCGCTCAGCTTTACTCCCTCACTTTGATAGGATCAACGGGTGATCATGCACATGGATGCGATTCCAATCAACCGATATGGGAAGTTGCCGACGACCAATGTTCAGGGTTGCGACCATGCGCCCCAGCTCTCGCGTGAGCATCTTGCATTATAGTAACTATTTTGGCTTCGTGTCGACCATGCTACTTCATTGCATAGCTGAACTCTATCGCAAAGCGTGTACCTCGGAATGAATGAACACCATGTCGGATGTCAAGAGAATCATTCATAGATGCAGTTGCTTCCATTCTAGATCGCTCGTGAATATGCATAAATTCTAAGGTTCGCGCAATGGTACCTTGTGTGCAGGACTGGCCACCCACCTCCTCCGAGGCTACTCGGTGGATTATTTCCTCCACCAAGAATGTTCTCCCCTAGGTTCTTGGTTGTCGCAGCCTTTTCATCGACTCTCGTCCGCTTTTGTGGCGCTCGTCCTCAGCCGTCAACTAGGAGATCTGAACTAGCCAACAGCTCTACTTCGGGTAAATATGTTGTAGCGCACCATATAGTAGGGAACACCTATGATTACACCACGGACGACTGGTCGTCGGACATTCAACTGGCGTATGACTGTGGTCTTGATGGCTTTGCACTTAACGTCGGCTCGGACTATTGGGAGTCCTCGTATGTCGCTGATGCGTGAGTCTCTCGCCTTGCGACATATCACGCTAAAACATAATTGTTAGATACACCGCGGCTGAGGATCTTGGGCTTAACTTCAAGTTGTTCATATCCTTCGACATGACGTGCGCCTTCTCTGGTTTCATCTCTACCCTCGCTGACACTCTGCATGCTGGCAGCTCGTTGGCGTTTAACACTGTAGACGACGCTGCCGCCCTGCGGGACTACGTCACTAGCTATGCATCGAACGACTACCAGCTGAAGATCAACGATCACATTTTAATTACTACTTTCGCCGGATCTGATTGTACCATTCAATGTAAGCTTTATCCGTCATATAAATGGCTTCTAGCTGAAGCAGAATACTCAGTGGAACGGTGGATGGCCGACCTCACTCCAGCCTTCAGATATTCCCGGCGACCTGAATCAACCAATCTTTGACAGCGCCATCACTTCCGAATTGAAAGAGTACCTCGGTGTGTTTACCACGGACGAGCAATAGCTGAGTGGCCTAGAGGATCTGACTAGTTCTGATGGCGTCATAACGTATATCGCCGCCGTGAGCCCTTGGTTGTTCACTCACTATGGGGTAGACTCGTACGACAAAAACCCGCTCCTTCACCGTGATGTCTTCACAACTCCAGACTGTATGAAATCCTGGGTGCAGTTCATCTACCTCGCGGACTACCATTTATGGAACGCCCGTTGGGAGACGATAATTGAGAACCGTGATGATGTGGACATCGTCGAGATCCCGACATGGAACGACTATGGCGAATCGCACTATATCGGGCCGATTGAGGGTGATCAGCCCAATTCACAAGACTGGGTCGATGTAATGCCTCATGAGGGTGCGTGTACCGGTCGTTGATCCTCGATATTCTTCGTCAACTGAATGGGGTTATATCATGGTAGGATGGTTGGCGATGCTAGATGACTATGCGACCGTGTTCCGTTCAGGTATCTACCCCGAGATCACGGAAGATCAGCTCTACATATGGGCTCGTCCACACCCGAAGCTTGCAACCGCAAGTGATGACTCCGTCGGGGACCCTACTAATTATCAACTTGTGCGTATTTGCGTTTCACTTGTCAGCAGTCACTTGATCGATCACGGTGATTCGCAGATGGAGGATGTCCTCTGGGCAGCTGTGTTCGCGAAAGCCTCTGCTACAGTCGAGTTGACGACCTCTGTCACCACGACCATCACCGTCCCTTCGGGTGTAGCAAAGACGTATATGGTTCTCGCGACAGGATACGGAATGTCAGGCAAGATCATTCGCGACGACGATACGGTGGTGTCCGTCGATCCGGGAGATGCGTACACCTTCGAGGCTGATCCAGAATACTACAATCTCAATGCATACGTCGCCTACGCGAAGGCTTGACGTAAAGGGATGCATCCGAAGCCACGGCTTTGTGAGGGATTGCATTTGACCCTATCCCTCCAGTCGCAGCGTAAGTGAGACCATTGGTCGGTTAGCCTATTGTACGAAGCTCACTCTACATGCATCTGTCTTTGCATTAGAATCCTTGCTATAGCTCTTTCTGACCATATTTGTTTTCTATGTACGATCCTCTCTTGCTCCGTGTGTACCCAAGGATCGCTATAATCTCTCTGAGGCCATGTTGTAAGCAACGTAAAACCAAGTGAAGTGCACTCTATTCACAATCTCTCGCGTATCAGCACTACGAACCCCCCCTGGATAATAGCAAAATTGCCGAGACTGTTGTGCCAATTATTACAGTACTCTCCCGAACGGGGACCAATTGAACAGAAAACACCGATCTATCATAGAGCATCTAAGCATTGCAACGACATACAATCACACCAACAGTGCCCTCTATTGGCCCCTTCGTGCTTTCTTAGACGGTCGGACCAATTTCCCATTCGTATCCCCAGCATCCATGCCCGCCGCCTTTCTCAGACGCTTGTTTTGCACTCGCTGCAGAGCGCGCTTCGTCTCTCCGTCAGCGAACGTATCCAGGTCGTAGTAATTCGAAGCAAATTCAAGCAACCTACATAATGTATTATGCATGAGCGTGCATTTCAAAGCGAAGAAAGGAAACTTTGGCCTACCATTCAGGTCTAATTTCCGTGACTGTACGGATATAGGGCTTGGTCGTCAGTACGAACTCGTTGAAGATAACCCACTCCGGCTGAGTATCAAGCCCACATGAAGGGTGCAGGCTCACGACCTGGTTGTCTTTGACCGTGAGATAGGCACCCTTCTCGCCTTCCTTATGCGCAACCTGCATGAAAAAGCCGCACACAAGGGCTTGTCGCACGTTCATGTACAGCTTTCGCTGGTCTTGGGTCGAGACGAGGGCAATCTCGTATCGCTCCATCGTCCGCTCCAACTGCGAGCGCACGTTGTCTGCCTGTGCAAGCGCGCGTTGCGAGAGGTAGTTATTCCACGCCCAACTTCGGTCATGCGCATCTGGGCACGTAAGTAAGAAAACAATCGAGCTGTCGAACGCCACGGGGACTCACTCTGTACGTAGTTGTTGTAAACGTTCAGCAACGTGAGGTGGTCGCCGTCCGGGACGGTCAGCAGCGCCTTCGCAGCGTCGGCTTCTCTCCGCTGATTAGGCGGACGTAGCCAGACGTTGGGCACTGAATAAAGTATCAGTGACGTGATTAGCATTGCCTAAATCAGATAGCTCACCTGAAAGCATCGCGACGATTGTGAGGATCTCATTGCTGCAGTTAAACTCGGGGCTGACGATCAGCATCTTCGCCATCTGCAGTAGGTTCATTAGTGATGTTAGGACAGCGCAAGAACACAACTAGACATGCCTGAGGGTCAAGAGGGAACTCGGCCATAATTTCGCCAAGCGGCGTCAGTCTGCCTTCATCATCCAGCGCGGCCAGGTAGTTGAGGAGCTCGAGGGCGCGCATCAATGTCTCCGGTGCCGGTGCATCAACATAATCGAATCGCACAAGGTCCTACAAGACAGCCAAATCAGAGCCCAGGTCATGCAGTCATCGCAATGAAACGTACCTGTATACCCAGCTTCACCAGCTCTAAGACCGTATTGGCCAGGTTGCTCCGCAATATCTCCGGATGTGTTTGTTCTTCCAGCTCCTTCATGAAATCCTTCTCTGTATACAGCCGGAAGCACTTCCCAGGCCTGGTCCGCCCCGCCCTTCCAGCTCGTTGCTGCGCAGATGCTTTCGAAATCGGGCTGACAAGTAAGGACTCGACCCTTATACGCGGATTGTACACCTTTTGCTTCGAAAAGCCCGGGTCAACGACATAGACAATACCATCGATCGTGAGCGAGGTCTCCGCGATGTTAGTTGATATGACAACCTTGCGGCCAGGCGGCCCATCAGGCGTCCGAGGTGGCGGCGGTGGGTCGAAAATGCGCTGCTGCTGCTGCGGCGGGAGAGATGAGTACAGAGGGATGCACACCAGCGGACCGACGCTGCCAGGATCTTGGTTCATCAAATCGTCTGCTTCCAACTTGATTTTCCTGCAAGCATCCTCAATCTCCTCCTCCCCAGTGAGGAACAGCAGAATGTCACCAGGCTCCTCAGCCCGATGAATCATCAGCACGGTCCTGATCGCCGCCTCCACGTAGTCGGGCTCTGGCTCCTGCGTATAGAATACCTCCACCGGATGACTACGTCCAGGGACCTTGAACAATGGAGCTGGCTCCCCGGATTGTGATAGTGAGAAGTACTTTTGGAACTTGAGGGCATCAAGCGTTGCAGACATGACAATAATCTTGAGGTCGGTACGCCGCTTCGCAAGGGACTTGAGCAGACCCATCAGGATGTCCGTCGCTAGTGTGCGTTCGTGCGCTTCGTCCAGGATGATCGTCGAGTATCGCTCCAGATTGGGATCGTTCATGGCTTCACGTAGGAGCATGCCGTCCGTCATGTACTTTAGGAACGTCGTACCTGGCTCGGTCATGTCTTCAAAACGTATCGAGTAGCCGACCTGCTTGCCAAGTGGAACTATAGAGGAATGTCAGACACCTATACTGCACGGTATGTTAGAAGCCACACACCGTCCATCTCATCCGCAACGCGTTTCGCCACCGACATCGCTGCTACACGACGAGGCTGTGTGCATGCCACCATCTTGCCCTTCGTGTGAGGGAGATCCGAAAAGCAGACGAACTGCGGTATCCTGGTATCCAAGTAAGCTTCTGCTCTCATGGTCAGATATTTCTCCGACAGAAATTCTCTTACTGAGTAGTCTTCCCCGACCCCGTCTCCCCAACCATCACGATAACCTGATTATCGCTGAACTTTCTCGGACATCAGTTACGTTCTCCCGCCAGCCGAGGGTGATCTGTGCCTGAAGCAGACTCTGACCTTCCCTCATGAAGACAACGTGAAAGTGCGGGGCTTACCATCTTCAAGAATTCGTTCATTTGCGCATAGACGGGCAGCTTTTTACGGACTTCCAATATCTTCTTGTATTGAGGCGTAAGAGGCTGCTTCGTGAATGGGTTGATGTTACCTTCCTATGTCAATTACTTGCTTGTGAGTGTCTTGAGGACAGCCAATTTAGCGAGAAATCGCATACCATTGCTTTTTGCACCTGTTGCGAGGTGACCTTCCTAGGCAAGAAGCCGAATAACGGTTCCTTGTCAGCGAGCGGTTTCGCGGAGGCGGAGCCTTTCAACGGAGGAGCCTTCGTGTACGGGTTTTCGGACATGGCAAAAAACATTGGCCAGGAGACAGAAGAGATGGAAGAAGAAGAATGCCCGCAGAGATATGGACGAGCAAGGATGACTGTGGCGGACGCGCAAACGTGGGATCTTGCTCAGCGCTAATGCGGCAATTGCCGAAATTGTCTCGTGACCAGCGCGGCGTTAATCATGCCCGTGTCACGCGTGGCGTCACGAAGTCATCTCGCACACCGCAGACATGAAGCGTTTTGCACACGTGGCAAATGCTTAGCAAATGTCGACAGGTTTTTTGTCTTTGTGATCTCAATTTGCTATGGTTCCTTCCTACATTCCATATTAAGTATTTGCATATAGTGTGTTGGAGGCAGAAATTTAAAATCATATATTTTAAGAAATGACACCATTTTCAAACTCATCAAATACATTTAAAAACTGAGCGCTGTTGAATGTAATCATACATTTTTGAAATCCAAACCATCACATGTATAAAATACCCAGTAGCAGAGAAGGTGTAATTATGCCTACATTCTACTTCCAGAAGTCATTCTAACCAAGATTACTTGAATGAAAGTCATTCGTAATTACATCTTCATCTGCTACTGGGTATTTTATACATGTGATGGTTTGCAATTCAAAAATGTATGATTACATTCAACAGCACTCAAATTCTAAATGTATTTGGTGAGTTTGAAAATGTTTCATGATTTAAATTTCTGCCTCCAACATATTATATGCAAATACTTAATACAGAATGTGGGAAGGAACCATAGCAAATTGAGATCACAAAGGCAAAAAACCTGTTGACATTTGCTAAGCATTTGCCACGTGTGCAAATCGCTTCATGTCTGCGGTGGCACCTGGAAGCTTGAAGCAAGATTGTTAACATCATCAGACTTGGGGCTGTCGGCGCTGCGTTCCGCACGCCCAGTTCTGAATGACCAGTGGAAAGTGTGTTCGGCACGATAGTGAAAGAACGATGGACGTGTTATAATTCATCATGGAGGGTACAAAGTTACAGAGTTCGTTAGCAAGAGGAGTTCAGTACATTATTTTTTATTTTTTTTTGGCATTTATTTCTATCTCACGCCATGTGCAGCGTTTAAAGGGAGGGTGTACAGGCATGGGCGTACACTACGGTGCAGCGCATCTCAGGGTATGTATGAAGAAGGGACAAAAGGCAAAGCGGTGGGGCCGTGGGTGTAGCAGTCAGCCCAGGTCAAAAGGCGTGGAGCTCGCAGAGGTAAAAGCTGGAGTGGTCGCGATGAAAAATGTGAGACAATCCAAGCCCTCGGGGTGTTTCCATAGGTGGCGGAGGTGGGTGCGTGAGGGAGTGGCGGTGCCGAATAGTGTATGCCGGGCATCATCATGCAGCGGGCAGCTAAGTAGTGTGTGGGTGCGTGAGTTAAGGAGCACAGGGTTGCAAATGCACCCACGAAAACTTCGGTGGTAACGTGAATTGAAGAAAGTGCCGATGTGGCCATGGCTGACGACAGCCTGGACAAAGCGGCCATTGGTGTTTCGAGAATAAACTCCGAAGCAGAAAACGGAATGAAGAGTGGTGGAAGGGGCCCAGGGCCAGGCTTCACGCAAAGCAGTGGGTCGATCAGTAGCCATGTATTCCACCTGCCAGAAGGAGGTCACTCGCTCGCGCGCCCACCGCTGCACCCATGCAATTGTGGAGCAGATGCTTTCAGGTTGGGACACAGCCATCCGGGCGAGGTGGTCGGCCACTTCGTTA